CTGAATTTTGCATAGAGCCCCTTTAAAGGTATACAATGCAGGAATTGTCGGCTACTGATTGCAAACGGCACCACGAGCATGAGAGAAAGCCAACCCTAGATTTAAACTCGTTTTTGTATATTTGCATTTTTTTTCTGTGCCACATCAGCAATTTTTGTCACTTCCTCTTGGATGTGTGCTGCTTACATTCTCACACCTGGTCACTCTCTTTTAATAAAGTCCTGACCTTACCTGCGCACTGTGTCCAGGAATGTTCTGAATGGGAATTTGCATTTTCTTGGATAAAGCGGAGGACTGACCTGTCTTACTCTTGATTACTCTGCCTGTGACTGGTTTACCCTGACATTCTTACCCTAAACCTAACCAATCCAGCCATCCAAGGCAACGAGCACATGGGAGAATAGGGCAGTTCATTCCTTCGCTATCCTAGGAAATGCAAATTTGCATACACTGCCACACACATCTAGTGGCTTATACGATTGAGAGGGATTACTCTTGTTTGATTCTACATATTGTTTCTTAGGAAAACCCTGCATAGTGTGTCTTTAAGAACATCTAGATATGCAAGTTTGATAGGATTTAATTAAAGTACTACTACTTACAGTAATTCTTAATGCTGTTTTTTAAAGTTACTTTCTCCACCAACTCCAAACTCCCTGCAGTCTAACCTGTGAAAACCTGCATTACATTAATTAGTAATTCAAGTTGTGTTTCAGCCTCTACTGGACTGAAACAGATCACATCGAGACATCAAGAACAGCAAAAAACAATGTCAGAAAGTAACTTCTGAAAGGCAGAAATCTGCACTTACAGTTAAGTAATAGCTTCAAGTTACTGCTATTAATCAACAACCACAGAGGCCCATGTTATCATTAATATTTATGTTCTATGGGATATAAATAATCCTTCGACACACTGAAACACAGGGCTTGAGTATGCATCAGGACTGGCTGTGATAAAGCTGTAGAGGTGCATACTCATATTGCACACACACACATAAAGCCTCCCCATGCCAAGGAGAAGCACTGAGTCTTTCTTTAATCCTGGGCCGCCCTGCAGGATGATGCAGAGGACAACCTGTTATGTAACACTCAGAATGCTGCTGCAGCAGAAATGTCCATTACACACTTTGCTGCACGGACACTCACAATGGACACACACAATGCCATAAGCAGTCGCAGCGGCATTACTGCACAATGCCATTCATAAATGCCACCGCACATGGCCATGGACATGTGTGCTTGGCCTGAGCAACCACACACAGACATGATGCAGTTGCACTAGATGACATTACTTAGAGTATTCTTTCCAAAGAGCCAACACGTACACTTGTGCACACACAAACATGCACAGCCATAGAAGACAAATGGGGTAATTTCCTTGAAAGTCACTGAGAGAGTAAAGGCTTCTGTGAACATAAATGCTGACATACTGACATATTTCGAAGGCACGCTGGTGTTGCAGAAGGGATTTAAACCTCACATTACTGTGAAAACAGTTATTAAATACTGGTTGACAATGCAATAACCTGCATTGGGCCAACTTTTATAGTCTTATAAACAAAAATATTGTGTCATTATGGTCCCTGGCTATAGAAAAGAAACACTGACGTCATCTTTTTCATTGAAATGTGGGCAGAAAATAAACTCACCTGTCAGTTTAATGTTCTTGTTTGCAACAACCGGCTCCTAAACTAGGCTATGATAGACAGTTAGACCACTTAATTTAAGCCATTCTCCATATTTAGAGATCAGTCTCTGATTCATCATGCAGTCAATACAATAAAGCAGCACTTATTGCAATGAAATCTTATTTTATACAATTAGTTTTTACCTTTAAGTCACCACACTACTGCCACGGCGCCATGGAGGGCACTATCAAGCAACATGAGTACATTTTAAAGTTAAATTCGTGCAGCTTTTTGGATCAAATGTATGCCGAATTTTCCTTTAGAGTCTGTCAAGTTCTATAAAGTATAAAGTCCTTTTTAAAGAGATATCTGCCTGCCCCTGTCAGCGAGCAAACATTACACCGCAATATTTTTAATGGAGTTTGGCGTTACCTACCTTTGTACTCAGCGGCATATTTAAAGCTAGTAAACCTCTTGTCGCTAAAATACCAGGACAGCTAAGGGTATCAAACCCTGTAAAGTCACTCATGCACAAAAGTGTAACGTGATAATTGGTGTCTAAACTCACTCACCGTTTCAGCCCCGTGTGTGGAAGCAATTTCCAATCCGCAGCTGAAAGCTTTCATCTGGAAGCAACACGACCACAGCATGAATGCATTTACATGTCTAACGCAGATTCTCCAAATGTCATCACAGATATCTTATGGTTTAGGACCTAATTGCAATGGTGCAATTGATTAATTTCTGCTAGATGATCAGTGATAGCTGCAGTCCTCGAGTCTGAGCAGTTGCGTCACGACGGAGCCCACACACACTCACCTGTGGATAACAACAGTCCAGCCTACTCACATGTTCAGGGACTATAGTTTTTATGAGATTTCCTTTGACACAGTGCAATGTTGCAACTTTTTATAGGCTAAAATGAGTCACTCAAGCTGATTGTATATTATTGTTATCCTCTACAAACATTTTTTTTCGACATTTTTGAGGCTTTTTTTTTACTCCATTCTGTATTTGTGTTTATTCTGTATCATTTGTTTGGTCCTTTAATAGATGCTAAACTTCCACAGTGTGCTCAATTTTTACTGCAGATGAACTAACAGCACAGATGACCTCACCTGCTTCACCAGTGCACATTTTCATTTCTAACACTGCCATCTAGTGGCCCAAATGAAGACTGACAGGATGTGCGCTTCAGTCCTGACTCCATTCAGTCACACTGTATCAAAGGTTCTTATAAATATTTAATCACTTGGAGCAGTGTGACTGGTGTGTGGTATTATTACCAGTCTGACAGTAACAGTGTAAGACTGAGACAGTGTCTGAGTTGAAGTTTCGTGTCGAAATGGTGCCAAAGTATCAGTTAACAGTGTAAAAGTCTTGTGATGGAACAGTGTGGCAGTCTTACTTAATTATGTAACACTCTTGCAGCTCAGTGCAGTGTTATAGTTCAGGAAGTAAAACATTTTCAAATGATCAGCTTTGTATTGTGTCTTGTCCTGCTGTCTGGTTTGTTCAGTGCTGTTCTGTTAGCTTTATGATAACTCTGGTACGATACATCAACTGGCAGAAGTGTGGACTCCAGTCAGACTTGAATCACAAGTTTGATGACTTTAGACTGGACTTAACAAAATCAAAAAAGACTTGCAACTCAACATGGACTTTACCGCCAATGATTAGTGACCTAACTCAGACTTGGTAAATACTTGATTCCTTCCTTCAAGTCCGAAGATTGAAAAGCATGTTAATTAAAAAGTGTGCCACGAATCAATTAATTTCCCCTCATTATCTGAACCAACTAATATATTTATTTCCAAGGAGCTGACACAAAATTCCCCAGGTCCACTTTGTGTGAACCAGTCCAATAGCATCCAATCAAATTGCAGGAGAGTACCAAAAGGAAGAAATGTGACGTTACTGAGTGCCAGTTGAAAAATGTCTACCAAAGATACTTCACTACAGAAACTGTGAGTGGTCAACAAAAATGTAATTGCAGTATACAAAATGTGCTGGTCTAAAGTTACAGTCAGATATGCAACATCAGATATGAGGAGCGATGGGTAGATCAGCAGCTGGTAATGATGCCTTTCAGACAGCCTGTAAATGAAGCTGCCTTACCATTAAATATGCATAACTTTGGGCCTAAATAAAATGAAAATGAATGTGTTGTAAAATGAATAAATAAATAAAGTCACCCCTGTACAGTTGTCATGAATATTGAAATTAGCTGTAGAGACCCAATCTACTTTTTGAACCAGATGCTTATTTATGCTGTAAAATAAGGCATTTTGACATGGGGGTCTATGGGGGACTCTGTTTTGGAGTCAAGCTCAAGTGGTCATTTGATGAACTGCAGTTTGTGGCACTTTTGCGTAGGCTTCGTTTCTCAGCCTCAGAGGTTGCTGCTTGCTTGGGACTCCACTTGGAACTTGCCTGTCTTGACATAGAGCTTAAGACTCATTTGTGACTGGCAAAACAATGACTGGGTCCCACCTCTGTCAGTGGTAACAACTTTGTTTGCTGTTTTCCTAAATCTTAAGAATGTGTTCATATTTTAAAATGCAATTTGCTTAATGTTTGGGCCCCTATTCACAAGCTTTTGATAGCTTTGAGGAACTGTACTTTTAGATTTTTTTCTTTATCTGTTTTTTTAAATAAAATTGTAAAAAAAAAGTTAAATATTGTACAAAATCCATTTACTACTAAAACGAATAATAAAATAAAATGACTTATATATATATTCTTTTTTATTTGACCCTCTCATGAGCTATAAATATTTTTCCTTGTTCCATATACAAAAGGCCTCAGGTTTTTCACTCCTGTCGTGCATACTGGTTAGTGCAAACGACTCATTTTTGACCAAATTATAAATGTGACACGTGAAATAAATTGACTTTAATGAAATATCACTATTTTAAGCTCAGATTTGTTGCACATGATGTGTCCTAGGACGGTTGGAAATTTGATAATCCAAAGATAATGTCTGTTTTTAGCCAAATTTTAGGAAAAAAAGCAGGTCTCTCCCCTGTGCTTAAAAAATATTTGACATGCCTCCCCCTATTTGCACCACCCCTCCCCTCTCATAAGTAATGAACAGTCCCTAATCAAACAAGCTTAAAGCAATGTGAGCCAGTCCAAGAAGAAGTAGGCCACTATTTGAGTGCCTGAGATAGGCCAGTATGTTTTTCCTCACAATTAAACACATCATCATTCTTATGAGGCAGAAAAAAATAACAGAGTCCATCTTTTTGTACATTTATTTTTCAAAAGTGATGACAGAAATGACCCTGAAACGCTACTTCCGCCGGATATAAACATACTTTTATTTTGAAAGGAACAACCGGATGCTGTGTAGTTTTTTCGTCGTTAACGTGACGGAGTTGTAGTCACGCAGTAACGCCGCTGCTGTTTCAGCGTCACTATCTGTCGGGGTCGGAGGCAGACAGAGCTCGGGTACCGTTAACAACGGGCAGCGGCGGTACAAAGTCCTTTTCCCTCCGGTTTAACGGAACAAAGCCGGGATACAAGAGGACGGGAATCATGGGAAATATTCCAGGACGGTGCGGGTACAGCAGCCACGGAGAATACCGCTCATTTAATGACGTAAATCAGGGAATATAACCGCTAACGGCAAAAACCACAGAACACGTCGGGCCACTGTTTCTCCATCTCCACCATTTTGGTTGTCAGTGATGGAGCACATCCGGACGCCCAAGGTAACAACACTCGACATTTCAGCACCAGTAGCTGCTTCTGTCCTGTCTCTCCTCTGCTGGTGTGTCCATTGGTTTAGCCTTTTCTTTCAGTGACAGGTCCTTCTGTCTGTCTCCATCCCTCCATCTTCCCCCTGCCTCCGTTACTCGGCTCAGTGTTGATCAATATCTGGGAGGCATCTTAAAACTGACGCATGTCTGATTATGGGACAGCCTGCAAGAGGACGTCCTCTAATCACACTGTAATTGGACATGATGCGAGTCATACATCTTTTTATGGGCTCCAGACAGTGTAGCCAAATTAATTTAATGCTTAACAAATATGTATCCACAGCAAACCTAAAATCTCTGTTAAGCTATTATCATGTGTCCGATAATGGATTCATCACATGAATCCCTGACGTAGCTCCAAGCACACCTGCCGCATGTTGCTTTTATGATGCTCATGTGCTTCTGCTGCCAACGATTTATCTTTTCTTTTTTATTACTTCTGGAATATGTAATGTATTAATTGTTGCCCTGCCATGTACCATGACGTAGCACTGTGCTGGTCACCACCATTTTCCTCATGTCAGCCAGCCTGGCAAAGGCACAAAGGCCTCACATGGACCCCATCCTCCTCATCACCACATCACTGTGTTTATAACGGATGTGCATTAGTTAATAAAGCATGCATAGTGTGCAGAATCTTTTATAATGCATGCATTACACTAACAAATCCACATAACACTTGCTGAATGACCTTGATATTCAGACATACTTTAATTTGAGTTCAGTGAACACGCCAGAGGCTGTGTGCTGTTACACTTAAAGGGTCTGTGTTGTGTTTATACACTGGTAAGAGATGAGACATGTCTTTTGTCTGTAACTATTAGTCATGTTTGATCAGTGTATGTTTCCATGTGCCTTTGGTAGGTGGAAAATGTGCGCCTCCTGGACTGGTCATCAGGACAGAGAAAGGCCAGCATTGGGACTCTCTACCTGTCTGCCACACACACCATCTTCGTAGAGAACAATCCTGAGACGCGCAAGGAGACATGGGTAAGCATGAAGCAGGGAGCTGCGTTATGGTCAAGGTGGATACATGTAATTAACAGTTATAATAACAGCCTTGTCTTAAGTGAATCCAGCCTTTCCTTCAGACTTTGCTGACCTATATCCCTGTCTGACTCTGGATTGGCTGCTCCTGTGCATCTGAATAAGCTGCTTTCAAATATCCCGTGATTCATACATCCATTAAGAAACAGAATATCTTCCTATTTCTACAAGCAGTTGTGAAGTTTATTATCCAGAACTGACAAAAAACAACATTTTTACAGTCTCCCCTGAGGCATCTGCAGCAGATGGGGAAACTGAGAGTTTGAAACTGATAGTTCTTTAGACAACATCCTATAGACATAGAGACAGATTTGTATCTGAAAGTGAACGGCAATATGACGACTTGTTGTGACAGAAATAAGATCTGGGGGGATGTATTTGTTTGACTGTTAACCTGATGGATAGCGACACTCAGGCTCATTTCATTATGCCTCGCATTAGTTACAGAAATATCAAAATACTTTCTTCAAGCGAGACGTCAAACGTATTTGTTTCAGTTATGTGAGCAGCTGATTTAAACTGAGAGATCTGAGAGTTGATCTTTTTATCCTTTGACTATTGAAGGATGGCGGCGTCAAGCTGTGTTCAAATGAGCAAGTTGCCGCTACAGATGTTCCAATTGAAATTGAGGAAATGTTTTTAGATGAAAAGTTATCTTCAACATGAGATATTCACTCTTGAGAAAATCAGCTAATACATCCAGTACAAGTAGAGAAGCACATAAAAGTTATGCAGTTGAATAAATGAAATGATCACAGTGACACACACAGGACTGAACTGAAGCCTTCAGTCGTGCAGCTGCATTATGTCATTCTACAGTTCCTCCTCTTCTGTAGTAGGGGTTGAAATGTCATGATGACAGAGCGAGAGCTGGCATTACCACCTCACTGTTTCTGATGACAAATTGTGAGAGTGCTGAGTTTCCAGACACAGGAAGGAAAGATGCCACCCTTCCCCATTTCAGATCTCCTGCACAAAGACACTGCCCTGTCTCTGTGGACCTGATGAGATAAAACAGGCATCCAGAGGTGTCAGATTTCACCCAACAAGCACTGACTGTGTCTACTGGATTAGCAGGAACAAAGAAGACAGATCCCAATTAGCTTGTGTAAAAACACAACTGCTAAAGCAACCGTCGACTTCTTCTTCTTCACCACAGGACATGCACTTCCTGTGAGAAAAGCCCAGGAGCTTCCCCAAAAACTGATGTTGACATTCTTTCCTGAATATTTTAGCTCACAAGACAGATTACACAATGGTGTGACTCGTGTTGATGCCAGGTTTTTTTAATAATGGTTACTGGCATCACTAACTTGTGATGTGTGTTTTGTTTGCGTGTCATAATAGGAAAGATGTGGTGTGTGCATTTCAGGTGTTGCACAGTATGGTGAGCAGTGTGGAGAGGCCACCCACCATCCCCGCAGGAAGTCAGCTGATCCTGCGCTGTAAGGACTTTCGGGTCTTCCAGATCCTCATTCCGCAGGAGAGAGATTGTCTAGACGTCCACACGTCGTTGGTCAGATTATCACGACCAGGTGTGTTTATTCATGTATCTAAGTGGGATGTCATGAACTGGTGTGTTAGTGTGTTGCTTTGACAGTAAGTTGAGCGCATATAATACTGATTTAAGGTTATTCTTGTGTCCCCGCTTCTCTCAGAGAAGTACAGTGAGCTGTACTGCCTGTCCTTCAACCCCAATGTGAACAAAGTTGAGAGAGAAGAGTCCTGGAATTTCATAGACCTCATGGCCGACTACAAGAGGATGGGAGTCCCTAATAACTTGTGGGTCGCTACAGCAGCCAACAGCGAATACAGGGTCAGTCTATTTGTGATTTATGTGTAAGGTGCAGAAATAAAAAGCAAAAATAAAATATAAAAGTGTTTTCTAAGAGGAATAAGACAACCAGTCAGTTGGGGAGTTCGAACTTTTTAAGAGCAAAGGGTAACTTTATGCTGGTGTTAGTGATGAAACATATTTCTCTCATAAAACAAGGCAGGTTGAAGTACTCTATGCTTCTCTTGATAAGTGCAGTGAATGTGCCTCACACTCAGGGCATTTACAAGGTCATAGATAAGATACAAGCCTCGCTTCAGAACTGAGTGCTTATCAGCAGCTACCTCTCTAACATGAGCAGCATACAGCAGCAGCTCTCTCAAAGCAAGACCTTAGAGTACCGTCCTATAATGGCACAATATCAGTGTAGTTTACCACAAAGTGTTTAAAGTGTGACTGGTCCTGAAACAGTGGCATATAACCCACTGTAGAACAGCAAATTTTTACTTTTAGACAAGATACAACATGTGAAGTAGTGAGCTGTAGAGTGGCTGGTATGTAGATTGCATTGCCTTTGGACAGACCTGAGCTAGCTGCCTCCCTTTGTTTTTAGTCTTTGAGCTAAGCTAAGCTCAGCAGCAGCTGGCAGGAGCTTCATCTTTAGCTTACAGACATGAGAGTGATATTGATCTTTCATTCTAACTCTTGGCAAAAAGCTAATAAGCATGTTTTCCAAAATGTTTAACTTTTCCTTTTAAGTGTTGTTATTGCAGCTGCACATCACACAGGGTTCCCACAGTCAAGGAAAACCTGGAAAAGCCATAGAATCCATAAAAGTCATTCAAAGTTTTGGAAAAGTCATAGAATGTTGTTGTGTGTCATTAAATTGTTGCAGTAATCTTCTTAACTTTCTAGAGCTGACAATGTAGTGTTGCTCCAATATACGTCGATATCTGATGTTATGTTTTCCATCACGTCTTTCTCCATTTTCTCCCCACGTTCCATCTCTTCCTTTGCATATCCTGAAATTATGATGGAGAACCTGATATGTTAAGTCACGGAGAAGTTTTGAAATTCTGTCCATGAAAAAGCGTGGGAACCCAGTGCAGATTCAGCCATCAGTTTTTCCTCTTGTGGCGCATTGGTTAGCATTGTCGCTTAACAGCAAGAGGGTTCCTGATGTGGGGATCAAACCCCAGGGTGGGGGAGCTCTTCTATGTGGGGTTTGCACGTACTCCCCATGACAGTGTGGGTTCTCTCTGGGTGACTCTAAATTGCCTGTAGGTGTGATTGTGTATTGCAATGTTATAGGGGAAAAACGTTAAGCAGCAGAGTGACTGTTCAAGGACTGTATAGTAATGACTTTATTAATGAATGATCTTAGCAGTATTCAGTTTAATCCTTTATCTGCATTATCTCTTCACATATAGGGAGGACAGAAACATAGTTCAGTAACAGTTTATAATGTGTATCAAACCTGGGGTGACCAATGTTAAATTGTGTGTGTGTGTGTGTGTGTGTGTGTGTGTGTGTGTGTGTACTTTCCCAGGTGTGTGACACGTACCCATCAGAGCTCTTTGTTCCAAAGTCAGCCACACCCGCCATCATCGTGGGCAGCTCAAGGTTTAGGAGTCGAGGACGATTTCCTGCTCTGTCCTACTTCCACCAGGACACACTGGTCAGTCTGATGCACGTCAACACACACACACACACACACACACACACACACACAGAAGGAATCATGTGAATATTTGTTTTGGAGGATTGGACTGTTTACTCGCCCTTTAAATAAGAGTTGGGTAGACAACAGAGTTAGTTATGTTGGAAACACAGACTGTAAAACACAATGGATGTACCCACTGACATCACTGGTCATTGGTTTGTAGACTCTCGTTTTAAAAGCCTTAAGTTTGGCATTTTGGCCATTGTCATCTTAGATTTTTAGAGCAAGAAGTGACCATATTTGGACGAGAGGGTGGAGATAACCCTAATGCAAGCTGCTAGCTTGGTTAGCACGGTGGATTTAGAATTAACTTCCATGAACTGAAAACACTCTGAAACAGTTATACCTGACGATTATGTTTCACTGTCACACAGGCAGCAGTGTGTCGGTGTAGTCAGCCGCTGTCCGGCTTCAGCGGACGCTGTCAAGAGGATGAGATGATGCTCCAATCTGTGATGAAGTCCAACCCTGGCAGCGACTACATCTATGTGGTGGACACAAGGCCTAAGGTAACAACCCCCCACACCCACCTACACACACACCTCCTCCCTGAGAGATATAATATTGTCATATACAGTACTCTGTGTGTGTATGTGTGAGTCCAGCTGAACGCCATGGCAAATCGAGCAGCAGGTAAAGGCTACGAGAACGAGGACCACTACACCAACATCAAGCTGCAGTTCATTGGCATCGAAAACATTCACGTTATGAGGAGCAGCCAGCAGAAAATCATCGACGGTAAGAAGCAGAAGAGTGTGTGTGTGTGTGTGTGTGTGTGTGTCTAGAGCAAAGACGCAGTATGAGATGGAGAAAGGGAAACAGTTGAGTGAACACAAGGAAATATTTGTTATCACACAGAGCTGATATCAGTAAATACACAGACTTCCTCTGATAGCCTATCTGTGTGTGTCTCTCTCTTTTCCATTCAGTTGGCGAGATGAGAGCTCCGTCCATGACTGACTTCCTGTACGGTCTGGAGAACTCGGGTTGGCTCAAACATATTAAAGCCATACTGGATGCTGGGCTCTTCATAGCCAGGGTGTGTGGTGTTGTCACAGATAAACTTTTAAACTACTTGAACTGAAAGCCTCCACAAACACAGCTGCTTGGATTTCAGCATCGGGCTGTTTTTGGTCTGAATGCCTGCTGAGGACACTGCTCTTCTTAAACTGCTCACTCATTCTCTTTCTTGTCTTCAGGCAGTTGCTGATGAGGGTGTCAGTGTGTTGGTTCACTGTTCAGATGGCTGGGACAGGACGGCCCAGGCCTGCTCTGTAGCCAGTATACTGTTGGACCCGCACTACAGAACCATTAAAGGACTCATGGTAACACACACACACACAACACAGACAATCTCTTATTCTTATTCTAAGACCATCTCAGTCCTTGTCTCTGATTTGATCCTCCTCTTTCTCCTTCTCCTCCCTTCCTTCCTTCCTTCCTTCCTTCCTTCCATCTTTGCCCTGGCCTCCTTTATATTCTGACCTCTTCCTCTCCTCTCTTCTAGATGCTGATAGAGAGAGACTGGGTTTCCTTCGGGCACAAGTTCTCCCACAGGTCATTAACTGTGAAAGTGTGACTTGAAGTTTCTGTGTGTGACATTTAGAGCATTAATGTAGCAGCAAACCACTATTTGCTATTTAAAGATATAGTGAAGCAATGGTGTCCTTAACAGAGAATGAAGGCACGCTGTATCTGTGTGTGTTTTATTTGTATGTATGTTCGATATTTAATGAATAATTGGTCACAAAAAAATACACTTGATTTTCTTAAGAGTGCGTAGGGTGACAGACAGTTAAAACGGAGCTGTATACCCACAGGTACGCCCACCTGGATGGAGATCCCAAGGAGGTGTCTCCTGTCATTGATCAGTTTCTGGAGTGTGTGTGGCAGCTGTCCGAGCAGTTCCCATGTGCCTTTGAGTTCAACGAGCGCTTCCTCATCGCCATTCACACGCACATCTACTCCTGTCAGTACGGGACCTTCCTGGGCAACTGCCAGAAGGAAAGAAGGGATATGAGGTACGCACATACAGCATATGTAGAGACAGAGACATGTTAAAGCAAAGGTGTTTGCCTAAAATATAGATGATTTCATACAGCCATTAAAAAACTATAGAATACATACTTAGAAAACAAGCGCTTGTCTCTCCAGACTCTTTCTGTTTTTCAGTGCAGCATCATAAAGTTGGTGTGTGTTGTGTTACTGCAGGCTTCATGAGCGGAGTCATTCTGTGTGGCCTCAGCTGTGGAAGGACAGAGCCGAGTACGCCAACCCTCTGTACAAGGCTGAGCTGAGCCAGAGTCAGGGCATCCTGAGACCCAACACCACCCCCTTCTGCTTCAAGTGAGCTGCTGCAGCAACACTGACACCACATGACTGCACTCTGCCTCAGAAAGCTAAATGTATTATTGGTTCAGAGGGGTGTGATAAATAAATGTGGTTAAATTTAGTTTTGAGTCATTTCATTTGACTGTAGAAATGGCCAAATAAGTACTGCTGGTTTGTGTATTTATTGCCTTCTTAAAATCCAATATATGGTCTATCTTTATATTATATATTTTCTAAAAAGTCAAGCATTACTCCAGAGAGCATCAAACAGTCTAAATAGTCTTTCCTTTATTTTCTCTTCCTCTGTCTTGTCTCTAGGATGTGGAAGGGTCTCTATAACCACGTGGAGAAATCAACGCCGCCTCGCCAGTCGCCTGCTGACTTCCTGTCTGCTGTGAGGGAGGAGTCCCAGCAGCTGGAGGAGGAGCTGACCAATCACCAGGAGGTACCGCCAGGAGGAACCGCCCACCACCACCACCTGGGCTCCAGACAAGGCATACAACACACAGAGACACCCCCCGATACGACACCACCATAACCCCCTATTCAACATCCGTAGCTCCAAACTGAATCTGAAAATCTGTTCATTTAACAGATTCACTGTCTGAACAGAAATCCATGTAGTTCTTCCCTTTTTTGCCCATCTAAATGAGAATTTAAACTGGAAACAGGCAACTTTTTAACCAACCAAGTTCTCTGGATTATCTAAAGTAACCACATCATGAATTCTGTTAAGTTTTTCAAATGTATTTTTTTGGCACTAGCCGAGTGCCATCTTGTACCATAATGTTCGAGAGAAGGCAGACATCTCTATGGCTGATATCTCCAACACTCAGTAACTCACACCAAAACGATCTAAACTGATAAATAGCACTGCAGTTGAGAGGAAAAATATGTACTTTTGGTTTTGAGGTCCCTTTAAAACATGTCTGGGGGGGATCTCAGTGTTTCCTCTTGAAATGAAATATAGGCACGCCAAAGCTGCTAATCTGGCAGGATTTCTCCAAACTGGAGATGAATTAAAAGTGGGTACACATTTGGGGCTTTACTTTAGAGAAATTAAAACCAAAACTTTACTTCAGTCAGGAACTTTTTCTTCAAAGAAAACTTAATCTCCATTTGCAGTATTATATTTGGTGGTATGGCTCTGTTTTGGGGCCTCTCTGCCTTTTCTTGGGCCTACGCAGAAAGCCTCTTCCACATGCCTACGTGGAAAGCCTAAGGCGGAGAGAGCACACCTCCCTGCCCTTCCACGTGCAAATAAGGAAAGCCTAAGGCAAAGAGCAAACCTCCCTGCCCTTCCATGTGCCTACATGGAAAGCCTAAGTCATTGAGAGCAGCAGCAAAGACCCCCCTTGGGAACAGAACAAAGCAGCATCAATGACAAACAGAAATGACATTGATAGGTCGGACACTACATGAAAAGGAGGAGCTGGGGTGGAGGCAGGTTGCAAAGCAGCTCGCAGAGAAAGCAGCAACAGTAGGCAGGCCAGAGCAATTTAAATAGGGCGCCCTGAATGAGATTCACCAATTGGTTGCATAAAAAGGAATCATGTGATCTATCAGCTGACTCCCTTCATCAACCAGTTGCTCCATCAGTTGATTGGACTGTTTGAGATCAGCTGATGTAGCCGGGAGGTGAGCTGAGCTTGACATTGTGTCCTGCCTGAACTAACACTATGCTCAATATCCTCAGTCAAGTTTGAAGGAGACAACAAATAAATTTGAAATGATCCTAGTGAGAATGACAGAGTTCTGTCTCGAAGCACTGGTGTCCAAATGACGTTCAGCCACCCACATACCCCACCTCCTAACCCACTCAACATACATAGTGAGAGAGGAGTTTGTTAACACTGCTGAGAAATAAATGGAAGAGCTCTTTAATTAAGAAAATGTCCATCCTGTTCTCCTGTCTCTGCAGAGGATAACAGCTCTGACAGGGAAGCCAATCACGTGGGAGAAGGTCACTGTTCCGAGGAGGAGGACTAGCCAGCTGCGGCAGAAACACTGCGGGCCCGACCCACCCACCACCTACACAGACCCAATCACCAGCCCTGCACAGGACAACGGCCACGCCCTCTCCTTTGAACCAGCCAACCGGAAGACTCAGACCAAGGACCCTGATCTCACCCTGCCTCTACGAGTACACGCACAGCTCAAGAGTCACAACCCTGATGACCTCTCCACCTGCAGCGACCTGGAGTCAGGCGTGGCTGACCTCAGCAGCCGCTCGTCCAGCGGTGGGGACGACGGCAAGGACCCGGACTCGGACGAGGCTGTCTTCACTACTGCCTGACTTGAAAAAAGGGAACCCTGAAAAAAAGGAATGACTGCTGTTACAGTAGATCCCCCAAAAATATTTATTCAAACACCTGGAGGGGAGCGGAGGCAGACTGCGATGAGGTAAAGATGGCTACTGACTGAAAGGCAGTTGGATTTTATCTCTCGTTTCAAACTGTAGATTGTCTCATTCCTTTCAGTCTAAATGAGTCACAGTGAATTAAGAAGAAACCTCGCCGGCTGTTCTTCAGTTCACCTTGTTGATGAAGGCACTGAAAGACATTTAATTTAACTTTTTTTAAATTTAATTTTGTTGTTGAAGAAGGCCTGTTTTTTATACGTGGATGGACTCGTTGCTGTCATTTGTACCTTGTTTAAGGAATGCACTATTAGTACTGTGAGAGGGATCAACGTTACATGAAATCAGCCTGAAATAATGTACGACAGGCTCGATGAGGGGAGAGTGACAGCCCGATGGAAACACTTTCAGAGAGTAGAACAAACACACTCACTACACAAAGCTTAACTCGTATATTTATCTCTTCTTCTCATCACCAAACGCATCCGCTCTTTAAGCAAATCTAAAAATCATTTGCAGTTTACCAAATGATTCATTTACAGTCTTCCCTCTTCTTAAGTGTAAAATAATATTCATCATGATAGTAATCATAAAAGTATTTCCTTTCAGGGCAGTTAGTTAGACATTTTATCTTTAGACGCACTGGAAGAAGCAGATGTGTGTGCAGTAAAATACAGTAATGATGTGATCAGAAGCTGATTCAAAGGCACATCAATTTTACTTATATTAGTTCATGTAGAGGAAAGCAGATTGTTTCCAGTGAGTATTAGGGTTTTCATACGTGGACCATGTTTAGCCTCACCCTGAATCAGCCCTCCATCGTCCCATTTGAAGCTTTATTTCTGAGTGTAAGAATGGAAATCAAGCTGGAAAGTTGCCGCTTGGGAAAATATAAAATATTCAACTGTGTAGTCTTAACACTGGGAGGCCTGTCAGTTTCTTCCCTGACCTGAATTTGAAGGGAAACCTTGTCTTCGGTAGCACTCAAGTCTTAAATGATTTCTTATCCGAAAGCATATTGCTCCAGAAAACAAAAATCTGCCACTAGGGGTCAGTATTTAGAAACCAGAGAGTTCAAAGCTATGATGCTTTAGATGGAATAATGTGAATCCTCCAAATGCTCTTTTTAAAAATATAAGTTTGCTCTTACAGCCGTGATGGACATAAAGGAAGAGAATATGTCACAGGAAGTCTGGAGATCTCTGGAGCCAGTTTGAACCACTGGTCATCGGATTCAACAAGAACAAAATGTGAACAAAAGTATGAATGTTTATTTAAAACCATATATTTTTTATGTTTGAGTGTACTGTCAACATCCTATATCCACACTGATGTGATGATATTTATTCTTGGACCAACTGAATCCTTCCGATGATGACGTGGACATCATGAGATCAGTGAAGTTTGTCGGATGCTGCTTCGACTCTCATATAGACTGTGTTTGACTGATGTGTGCTCTCAGAACTTAAGAAGTTATAGTTTGTGTCCTTTCAGGTGAGCTGTAACTTTTTACATTCCCGTTTAGAATAATGACAAACAACAAGAACTCTGTGGGAAAATGTCCAGAGAGATTGTTTCATGGTCTGTGCACTGTCCAGAGGGATCTCTCTGTGATTTCCGTATTTTAACAAGCATATACAATGTCTGGTCGTATGGTATCTAAGAACTGACCTACTGAAACACATTGTCATGTTAGTGTAACGCTGACAGTGAAAACCTGCTGTGGCTCCAGGTAAACATGACTGGCTCCATGTTCATCTTTAATGTGGGTGGAAAGACTGTAACAGACACATGCTCAATGAGTAACACATCTCAAAGCTGCTAACAGCTGGTGTGTTTCACTGAGGACCACCTGTAAGACTGAATGTGTTAGCACAGATATTGTCACGTAGCCCACAGATTTTAAGAACAATTGGCCTAATGCAGCAACAATCTCTTAAATTGCTCATATATTTTTTCCTAATTTTCTAAGAAACAATAAGATAAGTCAACTCCAAATCTGCTATTACCCAGGTGTGCTGATTAATGAATCCCACTTGATCATAAATCAGAGGTGCATGGCCCATTTTTTGTTATTAACATAGGTTACACCCCCGAAACACTACATAAGGACAGGTGTTCTGCTGACCAATGTCTTCTAACTGGAGTGATGCCACCAAGAAAAGGGTACCAAGAAGAGGAACTTCTGCAGTTGTGGATTTGATGCACTGTTAGATAAACTTTGACGAAGTAAATGTGAATGTGTTAAGTCAAAAACCTAGCACCATGGCAGAACATTTGTGATGCTGTGAATGCTGTCAGCAGAGGGCCAAAGCATCTGAGAGCAGTACGTAATCCATTCAGAAGATGAACACGTAATGTCGTCCAAGGGTTTTATAGTGTATATTGGGACCAATGGACCAATAGTACTTATTTAGCCCACAAATAAATACAATCATAAATACTCTAAAACATATAATAATCTAAATCTGATTATACGATATTCATGCATTCTTTTGAAGTTCCTCAAATTTAAAATGTTATTCACTTATGTTAGACAATTTGTGGACTGTGAAAACAAGATGTTTTTTCCCCAACCCCTTGTAAAATTGTCTCTTACCCAAGAACGACTGTTGAGACGACTATAAAGATGAAATCTGATCGAATGTTGCTGCATCAGGTCAGCGTCTTGAAAATCATGTTTACACTTGACACTCAGCCAAATCAAGACAAAAAGGATTGTTGGTATACTTTCAAAATGTTTTAAATCTGTTTGGCTCATGCAGCTGCACTAAGTTGGACTAAAACTGAATTTCATTGGCCCTGGTGGGTGCACCAACATGCAGTAATGTGACGACACTGACTCAATCTAATGAGCTATAAGATCCCCTCTCCCTCTCAACTTGAACATTTCACTGTAGCCTGTGGTGTGTATGTATGTGTGTGTGTTCTGTATCCATTGATGTAAATGATTTATCAATAAATGCACTGTTAAAGGGAAAGAAACACAACACAGACAGGGTCTGACGTCTTATTCAACATGACATGAAAATCCCAACATGGCTTCTTAATTGTTATTACACTGAAAGATTTGGAAGACACATTTTTACCTGTGTATTTCATGACCAACTTTGACAAATCTCATTTACTATCAGGTGCAATCCAAATGTGTTTATGGCTGAGGGCTCTTATGCTCAGGGTGTGACTTGCACTTGGATGATTGCTATGAAACGTTAGTGCTGAGTGTTCTTAACATTTCAACATATGAATTTAAAGTGCATCTTTCATTTTAACAATTCAGAAACTGAGAGCAGAAAAAAAAAATCAGTTTAACTCAATTTAAGGATCCTCCTCACCAGTGGTCGAATTGTTAATTTTTAACAAGGGAGATGCAATGTAGCTTTGATTTTTTTTGCGTGCACACATCATCAAATATGACAGCACAGATGTGCAAAATTAATCAAGATGAAGAATGGCATGACCTATACCTGCTGCCTTTAAAAACACAAATAATGCAGTAGTATTGCTATTGCAATACAGACAAAAAAACATTTTAGAGAAAGTTCTAAAATAGCTGTGAAAATTAATCTTAGAGTCACTCTTATCCTATAGACATTTCCTTAGCCAGTTATAATTTCTCCTTACTTGTGAAGCCTTGGGCTGATAAGTGGTGCTGCTGTCAGGTCCCTGTCCTGATACCTGCCTGGTTTCTCCCTGTCCTTCTTCTAGCTATTGCAATAATGTAGATAATAAATGTGCAAAGCAAAATTTATAAATAGAATTAAGAATGGTAGTGACATAGCTGTGGAAATTAACATCAAAGTCACTTTTATGCTCTAGATATTTTCTCTCAGCCAGTTATAATCTCTCCTCACCTGTGAAGACCCTGCATGATCATCCTTGCTGGCCTCTGGTCCACTGACTCCTCCCTGACCCTGCTCTTTCTATTGTGGCAATAAAGATTAAAAAAATATGTGCAAAGCAATAGTAAGCACAAGTTCTTATTAAGGAGGAGTGGGTTTATTCCTAGCATGAAACTAGCTAGCAAGCGATTCAATATAGGTAACAATAACATTAGTATTCTTGTTAACTAGCTTAACTTCATACATTGGCATCTATTAATTAGTCATCATTTAGCTAACATTGTCTACATGCAACAGCATTACTCAACTTACACGGTTTGTTTGGAAGAAACTGCAAGGTTTTTTCTTCTTTCTGGCCGGGGGGCAGAGGGCACAGTTATGGGAAGTGCGTGGACATGTCCACTGTGCCCCCCCCTCAAATTACGTCCATGCCTGCACACACAGATTCTAGTTAAACAGGGGGGATGCTTTTTGGTCAATTTTCTAACAAAGGGGATGGCATCCCCCTCATCCCCCCTCAATTCGACCATTGCTCCTCACAACATACAGGTTTGTATATTTAATAAAAGCAGCTCATTGTACACCAGAGGTGGAGCAGGTGGTGGCTCCTGAAGCCCCAGCTCCAACTCTTTTAGGTTTTTACAATACCTTCAACTTTATGTCGTCCCATAATAATATATGCCCGTGTTTTTTTTATCTATGTTTCTTCCTAAAGAAATCTAAAATAATTTTGTTAATGTTCTTCTGATGGCCAGATATTCAGTTCACAGTATTCAAGACCACGTTTACTTGGCATCATTGGGGATCCTTGATTCACAATCAGAGCAGCCCAGATTGTTATATTTTACTTCAGCATAGTGTAACAAAAATAGGATTAAAGATTAGTGATGCTGTTCACACCAGCCCTACCTATGTTACATAACTTGACTTTTTCCTCTTTTCAGATAGCAGGAGTATAAATTAATTACTGTTATTTGTGTTATCTTTCTTCAGAATGATGAAGACAGCTGGAGAACACTTAGATGTACGCTCCACAGCTGTGGAGTGTGTGGCTGCAGGCCAGTGGCAGCCCTCAGAAACATTTTGTGCAACTCTCGAACATGACACAAGATGCACGCATTATCTTTTAATCATTTGTGGTCCATTTCAATACTTTCACTCTCAAAAGCTTAAGTTTAATACACTACTTGTAGACAACATCAAGCTGTGCCCCCCTAACAAGCATGTACTTAGAGATGACAACTTCTAGCTGCATGGACACTAGTGGCACTTCAAGAGTGTGTGGCTCTCAATCATATGCTGGCTCCCTAAACTGGCACTGATTTTTTCCTTTGCAACTGTCAGGTTTTTCCTAAGTGACGTACAGATTTTTAGCCTTTCTATTATCCCATATAGCTTCAAAATTTGTGCATATAGCTGCTGTAAATGGTCATGCCCCTGGACCCCCCAATATTTGGGCTGAGCCATGACTGTTTGTGATGTCTGGCTCCACCCTGTTGTACACTTCCATTTATCATAGTTATGATACATCAACATAGAAAATATTAAAGTCTAATTTGAGAATTGTGCAGATATCTTGGTATCACTATACATGTCAGGTAGTAAGAAACAAAAAGTGTCAGTATAGAGATCCTAAAGACGTCTGAGGACGTGTGCCATTATGTATTTTGTCCACTAGAGGGCAGAGACAAGTTTATTTTTAAACTACAAAATGCTCTGCTGGGTACATACCCTGGTCACAGTAATTTAGTCACTATATTTCAGGTATTATGTGTTTTTGTGACTCTCGATACCAGCCTAGAAACTCCAGTGCCAGTCGAACTCAAGTTTATAATAACGAAACATAATTTATAACCTCAACTGCACTTCTAAATCCTCATTATTTATACTTTACAACCTGACTTTGTACTTTATATATCCTTGTTTAATTACCCACTGTTCACATATCTTACAGCAGAATCCTCAAACAAGTAAATACTTCATTCAAGCTCAAGTGCCGTCACACAACTGTATAAAGCTCTTCTTCTCAGATCCATATAAAAATGGTACAATTTGCTCCTGACAGCCGTGACACTAAACAGTATGTATTGTTCTATAACATCTAGGAGATAAATCTGACAGCACACAGCAGATGATGTGTGTCATGGTTCCAGTTTGTTCATATAAAACAGAGCAGTGACATGAAACATGGCTGAATAAAGAAACCTGCAAAGACTTCAACATTTGGAAGATCTTATGGTCCCTGGTCACAACATTTGACTGACAAATTAGCTATGGGAAAAGAAAAGCAGCATTCATTGTCTGATTGTTTCATGAACAGTGACATGTGACCAGCGGGTTTAACTCGAAGTCTACCCACTGCTACAAAATCACATCTGAAGAAAATCAAAGAGACGTCTGTGTCACTGACGCAGCTTGTCAGAGGCACACCGGGTCACGAGGGAGTTCTGTTCAAAGCACATTCAGAATCAGACCGTATTGACGTGCAGTGCAAACTGATTTCTAGTTGAGTTATCTTTCCACAATTAAAGATAGTGGACCATTATTGCACAATAAAAGCTGTACTGCCTCTGACCATCCACTTAACTCTAGTTGAATTTCTTTCCGTCCTCTCAACACTGTGTTAACCACCTGCAGGCTATTTCACTTGTACCTGGGTAGCTGAAAACCTGGTGCCCCATTTCTACCCGGCTCACCCCGCTCCTTCTGGCTGGTTTGGCCCTTGTCATTGTGCATAAATGGTCTAATATTTCTACGTTACTGTTTATCTTTTATGTCTTTTATTGTGTTGTTTGGCTGTAACTTTTTGTGTGCTGCTGTCTTGGCCAGGTCTCCCTTGTAAAGGAGAATGTTAATCTCTATGGGACTTACCTGGTTAAATATGGATTAAATAATGTATGTAGGAGAGTTTATGGCGAGAGACAATGGATTTTTTGATCCCATTTGAACTGTGTCTTGAATTACACATATGTTTGTCAATTTAAAAGATAATTTTGCAAGTCAAAAAAGTCAGTCATTCCAAGTACATATTGAAGTGATCATGGAAACTGCGAGTTGCAAATTGTTGGAGTATGAGTGTGAAAAGACATAATTAGAAAGACTACACACCCAAAGGTTGCATATGACGTTGTAGCTTTCTCTCTTGCTAAAGCTACAATGCCTGTGTGTCTCATACCAGGATGTATACACACTTACACATCCATGGCTCACACAAGCACAAAGTCTTACTTTGCCTTTTGCTTCCCCGTTGATAAAAAGACCAGGAGTCACTGGATCAAACACATCAGGTAAGATGAAGAGGATAAAATTTATTAATCCCCGAGGGTAAATTAAATTTTTTTTCACTCTGTTGTCAAATACGCACACATGCACAAAGGGGGGAGCCAATGGACAGGTGTCCTGAGCAGTTGGGGGTTCAGTGCCTTGCTCGGGGGCACCTTGGTTGTGCCCGGGGGTGAGCTGGCACCTCTCCAGCTACAAGTCCACACTCCATATTTGGTCCGGACGGGGACTTGAACTGGTGACCCTCTGGTTCCCAACCCATGTCCTTATGGACTCAGATATTATATTGTGCTAGGATAACAGCCATGTTGGTGTTGGTGACAAGAGACGTAGTTCCCTGAGTGGTTACACACGGAAACTAAATGGTACTATGACAAAATGCAACTTTTTTTGACTTGTAAAAGTGTCTTTTAAATTGACAAACATATGTGTAATTCATGGCACAACTCAAAGAGGGTCAAAAATGATTCGTGTTGACGTTAACTATCGTACGTATTTTTGGGGGGAACCAGAAGGGGAGGGACTTTGCCCCTCGATAGTCTCTGCAAACAGGAACATTTTGTTGCTAACTGTTATGGCTCAAAGTTTCCCATGAGGTAATGTTAATAACACAAGCTAGAATCTCATCATAAAAAATCAAACCGTTACTTTTACCATCACATTTAAAGGCAAGACAGCTTTCATTTAAACCCCAATCAAAAATACCCAGAAATCCCTCCTTTCATTCGTCAGCGAGTGTTCCCTCTTTTTCCTCGAATTCACTAGAGACGCTATAACACTGGCTCTTTGTGCATTAAATGAATTATTTCTATGAAGAAATAAGCCTCTCTTGTCTGTCTAGTTAAAAAAGACGTGAGCAGTAACAGCAACAGTAACATCTGCTGCTTCTCTCTCATGAGAGGAAAAGCTGCTGACAAAGTTGTTCGGTTTCCTCTGGACAGGTGACTTCATGGCCAATGGTCCGCGGGTCGCTGTAGATCTCGTAGTCGTTTCCTCCCTGATACAAACACACACATACACAGTGATACTTAGATGAGGATCAGAGGCAAAGAAACCTGCTGTTGTTGTGTCTGTCTGCAGTTTGTCTGATTGAAAACCAGTTAAGTGCTATAAAATGAACCCATCATCCCTGGGACAGCTATTTCAGAACTGAATACAAACTGTGCCTTTATAAAAACACAACACAGACCTTTCTTTGTGTTTGCCTGAATCTCTAAAACTAACACAATGACTGTCTTACATGAGCGTTTGCAGGCAGTAAATCTTAGCTACATGTGTTAACGTCACCAGATTGCTATGCGCAGCAAACTGCTCAGTGAGAGCTGGATCAATGGGGAAATGTATGTGAATGGGGACGGTTGTCAGCTGGAGCTCAGTGTGTTGCCTTGTTATGTCTATGCAGCTCATCACTTGGTGTGACCCCCTCAACAACAGCACAGCATGCAGACCATTATTTACATGGAGTGTCCCCATCTCTCAGTGAACTCGGATTTAACTCACAAACTTTAGGCACATGTAGCGACCAATGATGCCATAGTTTCCTGAAAATGTGATTAAAGTTAGCATCATGTCAGCCTCCTGAAAACACTGACACTGATTTCATGTTTGGAAATGAAAACTCTAAGCCTCATGTACAATTTGAAATCTACGACAGATGGCAAGTTGTGTGTTGTCATCAGGCAAAGATGCACTGAACTAAAATCCCTGTCAAATGGGAAATGATCCCACCCAAACCTAGAATGGTCATTGTGTAAGGATCATCCGTTCGGCCAGAGTGGATCTTAAATTAGACATCATTAAAAGATGGCTGACCTTCTACAATCTCTCTCTCTTGCAGTATTAGTCAGGGTATTTTATTACATTATTTGGTTTTATTACATTTTTGATCAAGTGCAAATGTATTACATTTCGGGTGTTGGTACATTTTCATCATATTTGTACATCATTGGGTGTTACAGCCACTTCCTCATTTTATTTTAACACAATCCAACCACATCCCGAAATCAAGACGCATTTTAAATAGTTTTTAAACATCAGCAAAAAGCTGGGAGGAAATCTTGGGGATTAAGAGTGTATTCAGTGCCTTTAAACCACAATGAAGACACCACACATCATCTGAAACTCTAACAATAACCACACTAATCTGGCTAAATCTACACTGTTTGCGTAAGTAAGGAAACATCCATCCACACTAGTGTTTTCAAGTTGTTTTAATAAAGATCTTCATCCACACTGAAAGCCCTAAATAATAAGACAACAGCTCAGTGACCACACTAAAAAGCAGGGCATGTCCACACAACACTGCTTCCACCCTTGCAATTATCTTAAAATGCTGCATGAGTGACAGGCTGGTAAACTCCTGTGACAAAGTCAACTACTGCTGGAAAAATGCAAGTTTGTAGTGTTTAGACATTATTTGTAAGTGTAGAAAAAAAGTCTGAGTGAAAGTTTTATACAACATGTCACTGTGATTCTAATTTCAGATACATGAAATAGCCTAACTGGATTAGTTTAAGAATAAAAAAAACATAATGACTTAAAGTTGACTAAAATTTCAAGACCTGTCATCGACTAAAACATTTCGAATTTTTGTTCACTAAAACTACACTAAAATTACAAAGGATAAAAAAGACTAAAAACTGAGAGAAAGGGTTGATTTTTCAAATTTAGGCGTGTTAGTTTAGAGTTACCTGGATGATTAATGGTTAAACTCAGAAAGCACACTGTACGTCTCAGCTGTGGTGCCATCTAGACAACATAGACTCACTTGCATAAAATATGTTGTCAAAACAACCCATTCTTTAGCTCACTTTTCACAGAGTGTGGACTCTTGATGAGTTGTCTGTCTGGTCTTACATGAAAATTTTATTGATATTCTGCCTTTGAAAGTATCATGTGCTGTCTGCAGCCATTCAGCCCTTCCTGCATGGTTCAGTTGTAGTTCTCATACTCACAGGTTTGGTCTTGTCTCCAAAGAAGTGAACAGCTGAGAAGTTATCCTTCTCCACAAAGCTCAGACAGTATCTCTTATCCCAGCCGTCAGGAAACACATCAAAGCTGATCTGCCCTCCTGCAGAGAAACAACGACCGAGAGGCAGGAAGAGATGATGAGGAGAATTTACATCACACTGACAAAGAAACAGTCACAGCTAAACTAATGTCTCATACTGCCCGAGGCTGTGATAGTGTTCTCCTGATGCTGTGTTGCCTTTAAGAACAGATTCACTGTAAATACAAACACTATAATAGTTATAAATGCACTCACCGATTGAAAAAGACAATCCTTTTCCTTTGAACTCTTCCCTTAATATGGACACAAACTTCTCTCTAATTTTCTCTTTCTGAAAAGAGAAAAAGAAATTAAAAAATAATCACAGCCCAGCATGTGGTATCAAGTCTGTAATTAAAGTCTGGGCGGCTCTGCTGTCGGTCCCTCTTGTTGTTGCCAATGTTATTATTATTATTTGTACAATGCAACTTGCCTTCTCATGAATGAAAATAAAACAAACTTCGCACATAAGTCCAGTCCTATTCCAAACTTCCTCAACCAAAATTTGGGGCCTCAAAGTCCTGATGGTGGCCCTACAGCAACCGTCTAAACTTAGAAACTTTAAAAAATTCATAACAAATCTGTCATACGTGCAACTACTTTGCAACTTCCACCAAAATGTAGCCACGATAGAGCTGAAATGTTCACATGCTTTGACCTGAAACTAATAAAACTAATTAAACGCCTGTGTTAAATGTGTGTGTGCGCTACCTTATCTAGCTCGTAGAACTCATTCCTCTCTTCCTGTGAACAGCTGCGTCCAATGGGGGAGACGTTCAACATGCCATTACGGAATTCAATAAATGTCCCCCTGTAAAACATCACGCAATACAATGTAGTCTCCATCACGTAAACCAGATCATTATAATGTAATATCATTTACATTTTCACAGCTTCCCAGTACCCTTAATGCCCAGTGCATCACAACTACACAACCATTAACCCCTCAGAAACTAAGAAATATTGATAATGAAATCATGTTTGCACCTCTTCTTGGGCAGTATGATCTTGGCCATGTAGTTGAGACAGAAGTTAATGAAGTCTTGGAGCAGCTCTTCTCCCATATGGGCCTGGATAGACTGACAACAGCAGGCAGACAAAATAAACCTCCTGGGACCATTTACATGAGGTAACATCATTATATTCAGGCTATGAGGATGGCTAAACCTGTCAAACACAGACTCAGAGAGAATTAGTCGCGTCAAAAGGTGAGCTTTGGACACAGTTCAGCAGTCTCACCTGTACAGAGAGCAACTCTCCATTCTTATAGGCCACAAGACCATTCTCAGCAAACACGTAGTCAGCTTTCTGGATCACTGCACACGTAAACAGAGAGTCAAACTAATTCTATAGTTAAAAAAGATATATATAATTGGTAGACTCTAGAGGTACAGATGTGCGTCTCACCATCATCTCCCAGCTGCTCTTTGATCTTGCTGAGGTCCGACCCTCCGACCACTCCGACTCGAACCCGAGTCCTCAGCTTCTCAAGGAACTCGGCCATGTGTGGAGTCACACGCTGAGAGACACAGCAATTACAAGATTAATACTTACATATAACAGTCATCAGTCACTATCATAACATACATTTAGTACCAGACTATACTTTCTAAATCAAAAATCTGCTTGTATATCAGCTGTCGGGATTCATATCAGCTTTATATTGTTTTGTGTATAACTTTGTACTGCTCTCTTTGCTGGTTTGATGGTAATTCTTTATGCAGTGATTGAACATTAGGTTTCCTGTTTTATCTGTTGCACAAGAACACATGCTAAATCCTCTTATGATACAATTTCCTTCTGTTTTTTTCACAATCATCGTCCAAACACTAATGGCAATACACAATCACAGCTCAGACTCAGAAAACACATCATGAAAGGACAATAAACAGGAAGCCCAAAGTGGTAATAATGACTGTATGCAAATAAAGGAGCAGACACTTTAAGACCACTAGATATGACCAACATTTCATTGTAACTTATTAGAACACATATGAATTGTGGCTCATAAATAGCCCTCAATTTCGTGCAGACATACCTGTCACTGTATGCTCTCAACTCCCCACCTGCAGATTGATTGATTGAACTTGCATTATGCTTTGGATTTTTTTTGACAAACAATATAATTTTGCCATTTCCATCATATGTCAATCAAGAAAAAAGTTACAGGGACAGAGGGTGTTTCGTATTAACGAGTGACCCCGTTAGCTGGTGCCTTTCAGCGGTTGTAGTAGTGACGACAGAGCAAGAACTAGTGAATGTCTATCTCTAATAAATGTTGTTATTAGTTATTATGTTTTTGTTATTTGGAATATGTATAAGGAACATGATACTATTTTTGACTCTGCCACCACAGGTTATCTTCAGTTTTTAAAGAATTGTAATTTTATGAAAATGGCCACTACAAGGTCTGAGCATATTTTTACTGGAAATTCTGAATAAACCGTCAGAAATGCTTCGGACTGTGTAACACGTCCTGCAGCAAAGTTCTTTTGGTTTTCTGTAATGGGTGATTTACAGAGGGAAAAAACCTTGTTCTATTTTAAACGGTAAATTGCCCTATCAACATTTTTATACTGAATTTACCCAGCTAAAAAACTGTTGGAAAGATTTAAGATAAATATAGATTATATGTGCGCTTTTTGTATTTCAGATAGAGAAACAATATTTCATTTGTTCTTTCACTTTGATCATTCAGAGTCATTTTAAACAGATATGCACTTCATATACAGGAAATTGGATACTAATGTACAGATTAATGCAGTCAATGTGATGTTATATTTTGTGTTCTATGGGATGGATAGCAACATTACCTATAGCTTCTGATCATTACTGGTATATTCCATGTCCATAAATTGAAATGGTCTGACTCCAAACCCTGCTGTAACAGGTTTAATGTTGAATTAAGCCAATATAGGCGGCAGTAGCTGAGTCCATAGGGACTTGGGTTGGGAACCAAAGGGTCACCAGTTTAAGTCTCTGTCAGCACCAAATGTATGAAGTAGGGACTGGTAACTGGAGAGGTGACAGTTTGCCCCTGGGCACCACCGAGGTACCTTTGAGCAAGGCACCAGACTCCCGACTGCTCGGGACACCTGTCCATGGATAGCCCCCTCGCTCTGACATCTCTCTGTTTAATGCATGTGTGTAGGTCCTATTTGTGCATCTGTGTGTATTTCGGGCCTGTGTGTGTGTTACATGTAAATAACAACAGAGTGAAATCACCTTGGGGGTTAATAAAGTTTGTCCTTTGCCCTAGAGCAAAGCACCAGACCCCAAACTGCTCAGGGCACCTGTCCATGGGCAGGCCCCTTGCTTTGACTTCCCTCTATCTAATGCATTTATAGGTCCTGTTTGTGCATGTGTGTATAGTTCAGACGTGTTTGTATATAACAACAAAGTTAAAAAATTGAATCTCCCCTCAGGGACTAAAATCCACTTTCTATGTTACTTTACTTGAAGATGTTATGAACAAACACGCTACAAAGACTTTCAATATGTTAAAGTATGTACATTTACTTTGAACTCTTATTTTTAAAAGAATAAACAAATACAACTCTGACAGGACCTAATGTGAATGAACTTTTAATACCTCTGGCACATTGTTTTCTCGTATGACATTTGTTGTATACCTCTTTGTTATATTTAAAGTGTTTTGGTAGGGGAAAAAAATCTCTTATAAATTTCCTAAATACACTTTTTCATCTTTGGAGCTTAGTTAAGTAAACATATGTCACGTAAATAAACATATGTCACGTAAATGAACTTTTTTTTTTCCACGGGACTTCAGATATAAACTTTTATAGTGTCCTTGTTATCAAGTAACAACAAGCAAAACGCAGTTTGTGACACGTTGCCTAAAACAAGACTAAAAATAGGGTTCAGGTAGATATATTTTGTCATTTAAATTAAAAAAAACGAATCATTACGGCATTCACAGGGACAGCTAGATATTCACTTCCTGTTTAACAGCTGTTGGCACCAATTAACACGGTAAATCGTTAATCCGATACACCAGGTTCGACTTGTTAGAGGACTGCGGAACCCAACGAAAAAATTGGCATATTTACTGATCAGGAAAAGTAGCTATGTTTACAAAATGTACAAGATGACAACAGTGTTCATATGTCACGATTTCAACTGAAATATTTACAACAAATTAAAACAAACGTTTATAAAACGACTGACATCCTCTAGCCGTTGCGTTCCGCCGCGCACTTCCGGTGTGTGACGGTTGACCTAAGATCATATAAGTACATTATCGTTAATAACCGGTTTTCTCAATGTTATGTAAGTGAGCGTTCACACTGTAGCTCGTATAAGCTCAGCTACAAACCAGATGGAGTTTTAGGGTGGAACCTATTTCAAAGTACATGTTTCTGCGGAACACAACATGACGCGGAAGAACTACAATAACAACGTGGAGCCGGATGTTGCACTGACGCAACGTAGCCTACTACTGTCAGGTGTTTGTATGAATGAACCCATGTGTAGTTCAACATGTATAATACACAGACACAAGTTCACTACCTGTCTCGCGGCCGTGAGCGTGCCGTCAACATCGAAGAGGCAGAGCGTGCTCGAGTCCACAGTGGATTCACTCATGTCAGCTGCTGTCTGTCTCACTGTCCCTCACTGTGGACACAGTCCCTCTATGTCCCTCCGATGTAACGTTACAGTGATCCCTCAGTGTGTGTCCACAAGCTGTCTCGCTTTACTCCCTCTGTTTCTGTCGCTGTCACCACAATAAAGCCAAAGATGCTCTGTAACAACCCAGCTGCACAACTGCTGAGTACTACATTTAGAAAGTAAGGACCAGCTTCTTCTTCTACGGTGTTAATTAACGGGTTGCAAAGTGCATATTGCCACCTACTGACCCGGAGTGTGTAGCGCATGGTGTAGGCTCAGCATGAACCTATATTTAACTACAAGGCCTCTTCCTCATTCAGCTCAACAGCCTGCAAACCAGTGTCGGATAAGGATACAGAGACTTTTCTTGCATCATATAAAGCTTCACTGGTGGAGAAAATGTATTCTGCAAAAGTTATTTCTTTTACAAAGCCTTACTTTCAGCTTCTCGTGTTGGTAAGGATGTTTGGGCAAGGAGAGGCTGCTTTATTTGTATGGCACATATCATACACAAGGGCAATGCAAAGAGCTTTACAGAACAATAAAATACAAAACATAATAAAGGATACAGAAAATAGTAAAGAGAGAATAAAATGAATAAAAAGTAAAGTAATTATACACCACCCTATAGAAGAGGGTGCTGAATACCATAGGCTGGTAGAACATCTGCAGCATTCTCCTGCAGACATTAAAGGACACCAGCCTCCTCAGGAAATACAGCCTGCTCTGTTATATTTCCTAGTTTTTGTCAGGACCCTAGCAGCAGCATTCTGAATAAGATGAAGTTGCGGAAAGTCCTACTAACCATTCTCCAGGAGAGAGAATGGTTCAACTAGGCCACGGTTCTGCATTAGGATAGTCTACTGCTATGTTGTTGAGGTTGTTGCAGAGAGCTTCACTTAGTGGGGAATGAATTTGCAACCCACCATTTGCCCCAACAAAAGGAGAAACGTTTTGCTGATGTTTGGCCTTTGACATGTAGATGCCACCCACCCCCAGCTCCTTCAGGAAGATAACCTATCTACTATATGCATGTGTGACCTAAAGATAATGGTTTTGAGGTGTGACCACTGGCTCAGAAAGATCACCCTCAATCCACTTCAACTATCAAATGTGTTAACCGCAGAAAATGAAAGTGCATGTAGTCCAACTGACATCCCAACATTAACTATGAGACATCAGTCAACCAAAAAGGTTAAAAGAGGCTGGATGACCTGCTAAAATGATTAAAAAGGAACTAGGGTTGCAGTGGTATACATACTACGTATATTGTGGTATACAGGCTTAGCTATGATACTGGGGGAAAAATGCAACTGAGCAGAGTATCTCACCTTTATTTAAGCTATTTCCAAACATTTTAATTATAGGTAATAAAACATTTGTTCAGCTAAACAAACCCTTCCATTTTCATTTCTTTAAGGGTGATTCTGCCTGATAATAATATTAATAATTCTGTAATACCATGACACTGCAATATTTTCTGAGACAATTATCACACTGTGAAAATCTCATACCATTGCAACCCTAAGAGGAACATCAGGCCTGTGCATACTGCCAAAATATAAGAGTGCAAATGGTTCATACTTTTCCCCATAAAAAAATTAATTTATATTTAATTTATAAACATCCATCCATCCATTCATTTTCATACCGCCGGGTCACGGGGGCAGCAGGCTGAGCAAAGTACCCCAGACATCCCTCTCCCCAGCAATGCTTTCCAGCTCCTCCTGGGGGACCCCACGACATTCCCAGGCCAGATGAGATATATAATCCCTCCAGCCTGTTCTGGGTCTGCCCCGGGGCCTCCTACCAGTAGGACAACACCTCTAACAGGAGGAGCCCAGGAAGCATCCTGGTCAGATGCCTGAATCACCTCAGCTGACCCCTGTCGACGCGAAGGAGCAGTGGCTCTACTCCGGCTGAGCCCCACGGAGGAAACTCATTTCCGCCGCTTGTATCTGCGATCTCATTCTTTCTGTCACTACCCAGAGCTCATGACCATAGGTGAGGGTTGGGACATAGATGGACCAGTAAATCGCTGCCAAGTCTCCAAGACTACTGGAGACAGAATCACATTTTGTATGTGCCCCTTCCAGCCAAAGTGATAACAAGAGACAGGTTCCGATCCATATTTTGGAACATCCACCTCAGTGATCCTGAGGAGGATGTACAAAATGACAGAAAGAAGGGAACACCAGGCCATGACAAACTGTTTAGAGTCAGGCCTCTTTATGATGACATCCTCAGTGCCTGCCAGGCTTATTACCACCCTAGGAGGGAGCTGGCAGTAGATGATAGGATGGTAGCAACTATGGCAAAAACTGGCATGACACAATACATGAAGGACAAGCCAACTAAATTGGTTATGAACATTTTTGTATTGGCTGAGTCAAGCAGTGGCTACACCATCAGGTGCAGCATATACACTGGCAAGACTATAACTGCAAGTGTGCATGGGCTATCTCATGATGTGGTCATGAACCTTATTCAGCCACCCTGTCTTGGCACTGGGTGCCATATTTGCATGGACGATTTTTACACCAGTCCCAAACTGTTCATGTACCTGGCCAATATGAAGTTTGGAGCATGTGGCACCTACAGGGAGAGCAGAGAAGGATGCCCCAGAGCGAGGGCAAATGCTCTCACCAAAAATGTGGAAGAGGATCCATGAGATGGATCAGAGAGGGCCCACTCCTTTTTGTGAAGTGGATGGACACACGGGAGGTGTCTTTGTGTTCCACCATCCGTCCTGCATTTGCAGGTGAGACAGTGCGGAGAAGGGTGAAGGATGGAGGTGGATGCTGGGCTGTGAGAAACATTTCTTGTCCCACACCAATCATGGCCTACAACAAGAATATGTATGGGGTTGACCTGTCGGACCAGCTCATTCAATACTACTCCACCCACAGAAAAACTGGTCACTGGTACAGGACCATGTTGCTGCACTTCCTGGACATTGCAACAGCAAACGCCTTCATCTTGCACCGTGAGATGAGCAGTGCCAAGCAGGTGTAGGTGCAAAGACTTAATGGTGGAGCTGGTGTGTCAGCTTTGTGGCATGGACAAGACAGGTGTTCCCTAGAGCAGGAGAGGTGTTCATGTTCCTGCGCCCATTGTCACAGCCACAGATGCTGGCCAAGTGTAAATGTGCCTCCAGGAGGACAACAGGAGGAGTGACACACCCTGGAAGTAGGCATGTGATGTGCCCGTCCGTCACGTGTTGGACAGGAACTGTTTTTTGGAGTGGCACAAATAATTTGTGTGGCATCTTATTGTGACACCTGATTGTTTTGTAAATAGTTGCACAAAAAACGCCTGAGGCATTGCCTGCATTTTAATGTAAATAGTTGAGTATAACTGTGTTGTTTGCTAAATTTGTACATCCATTTTTGAAATTTACCATTTATATTTGCGTTCTAACTCATGTTTGTGGTTTTCATAGTAAAAAATCAAACTTTTTCCTACTCGGATTATTTGTTTTTTGTGTGATTTTAGGTCCAATAAGTTAATACAGTATGTCAAAATGAAAAAATTACTGTAAAGTCACACATGTGAGGTTGTGCTGAAAAAATGACACCAAACAAGGCAAGGTAAACAGTTTTTAAGGTGAAATTTAAAGGTAAAATCAAAAGTAGGCAAAAACAGCCAATTATACTCTTGACCCCAGAGGGTTTTAAGTGCTGTAAGGCAAAACTGAACTTTTTTTCCACACTCATTGTTTTAATATTTTGGTGGTTTAAGAATCTTGAACATAAACAGGTTATGAATTAATATAAAAAGGTTTGCTTTTTTGATTTGTTTTAGTTTGTAGGCCTACATCACACAATGTTTTATCATACCAGATATTGATTCATTGGTTTTCCAGTAGTCTGTCTAGCCTAATTGATACTTAAGGTATACTCAGTCAAAATGCTAAGTTATAGCAGTTCATTATTGTTTTTTGTGTATTCATTATTAGCTTAAGTTGTTCATTAATTTAATTGTTATTTGACATTTCCCTTATTGTCATTATTATGAAGGGTAGTCTTTAATTTTCTAGCCACAACAGTAGCGATTTGTGTGTCTTTTAGTGTTTAAATACACACTAAACATTTAAATATCTGTCAGACATTATCCAGGCATTCTGTATAGCCTACACTGGAACATCCAGCTAACTTAACTAAGTAACCTCTTACATCAGGGGTGTCAAACATACAGCCCGGGGGCCATTACCATCCCGCTGGATGACTTTTTACAGTCTATGCATTGCACAAACAGTGATGCACTTGACAAGGCTAGGTTTCAAGAGCAAGTTTAACAGAGAGAAGTCTACTTCATGTGAAACAGTACTAGGCTTCTCACTCAGACCAGAATACAGTTCTCTAAAACATCTGTGAATAGTTATTGTGATCATATTTAAAGATATAGAACTTAGAGCAAAATATTGTCAGCAGCTGTATGAGATTTCTATCTTAAACCCATATTGGTGGAAACCTGTTGCTACTACACGGCCCAAACTTTAGATGGTATTTAAAGTTAACTTCACCTGGTTCATCGATAGCTTCCACTTTAGTTTGGTGTTACACAGATTTCTACACACATTATTAGTACACAGGAGTAGAAATGTATGAAAAAATGCACATAATGGCAGTCAGTAGAGAAAATCAATTTATTATTAGTCCAACTAAAACCGGACTTTTAAAATATATGTGAACATGTTAGCCCGAATGTACTAAATGGAATTTCTCAAAGTCAGACTGATAAACCCAGATAATGCAAAATTACAGCCAATCCGACCCAAACTGGCCTTGGTGCTCTGTGCATGCTCCACAGTTTCCGCCCTTGGGTTTGACCTGAAAGTCAAATAGCATTTCAGTGCATAACAGAAGAAGAAGAAGAAGAAGCCATAACAAGCGAAACAACATGAGGATAGCTACATCGAGAGCCATGTATTTTTGGATGAACAAAATGCACAGAGCTGTAAAGATGTCCGCCATGGTACCAGTTTGCCGTTAGCTAACCACAGTTAATGTCGATTGTTTGGTCTGTGACATAAATGTCAAGTGGAAAAAGATCCAATACTAACAAGTTAAAATGGGGTATCACCATCTTTCATAGCGGTGTCCGACATATTTAGATTAAAAAATTGATTCCCCTCCTGTGCTTGTATACTAGGACAAGGACAGTAGTCCAATTTGATGGCCTTGTCGAGCTATAATAACCATGGCTAAACTTAACTGCGCACGTAAACGTAATGACAGCACTTATTTTACTTATTTTTCAGACTTCTCAGGCTATTCATCATTTGTGTTGTACATGAATGAGCGTTTTCAGGGTGTACTTGTGCTTCTTTACACTAAAAGAAAGGGAAAATTTGGAGATGTTGTTATTTACAGGTTACTATGCAATGGTTTTATTGGCCTGGTCCTGGTATATGGCCCATGAACTAAAATAATTTTGACACCCCTGTCTTACATTAATCATTGGGAACATACTCTGATTTATTTTTATGCTTTATATTATTATTCCACATGTTGTGCTTGTTTAAGTTGTATGTCTATTCTGTGTTCGTGTACATTAGAGCAACAACAAAACAGAGCCAAGTTCTTTGTGTGTGCACATACTTGGCCAATAAAGCTGGTTTGATCTGTGCCAGTTAAAAAAAACAACAAACGATCAATTTGGTTTTTCGAATTTTTAATCATTTCCTTCTGATGCAGCTTGTTGTTTGAAACGAAATCGAAACGGAATCGTTGTTGTTCGTGCTGCTGTCAGTCTCATCTCGAAAACAAGCGGTTAAAACAGAGCACAGGAACCCCCGACCACACATAAACAGACGAAGATATTTCGACTCGAATCACACAAAGGGGTTTTCGCGCCGTATGTTTAAAAGTCCAGCTCAGCCAATCAGCGACCAAGTAGCTCATACAAACATGATGGCTCGAATGCAATTCATGCAGCCAATCACAGCGGCGTGTCTTTCTTGTGCCCCACGTTCAAATGAAAATGCTTAATTCTGACCAATCCGCCGAGGGCGGGAGGAGTCGTCTAAGTACTCCTAGTTAAGTTAGGTCGACCTTATAGGCAGTGACAAAACAGTCCCGCTTTTGTCCTTAGTCAGTCGTTAACAACTTCTCTTGCAGATAGCAGGTAAGATTCCGCTGCATGACGATTCTGTTTAATCCATTTTGTTATTTAAACTCTGCCATATTGTCCTAGTAGCTTGCTGTAATGTCCAAGACGACCAAATTTCATATTTCTGCACACGCACCAAGTAATTAAAGCCTTTTCGGGAATTAAAACGTGTATATGTTATCGTAGTAAGGTAATAATGTTCGCTGTAATGTTTCTGCTGAAAGCCGTTGTATTCTGCTTAATCTAAACGACAAACGGTGAAGTTTTCGGCCTGTTTCGACGCCGTGACACGGCAGTTTAACGGTGGCCTTAGTGCATTGCTGTGTGCGCAACATGCAGTTCAAACGCCATTTGGTTTAGTAGCTTAGCCTGCTACAAGGCGTTAGCTCCAACACTTAAACTCTGAGCTCGCCATTTGGTTTTCACTCACACCATGGCCAGTTGTGTAGTAGTTAACTGCCAAATGCCAATCGTGTGATATTACAGCAATGGCTATTAGCTTATATAGTTGAGCAAGCTTTTGGCGCAGCTTAGTTTAGGCGGGAAGATACAAAATGGAGTCGCGTCTTTTTGTCCCGGAGAAGCAGAAATCCGATTAGAGCCTTAAAACACCCGTGGGCGTCCGCCGGCACTATTTGTGCTGCAGTAACGTTACTTTAAATACTCACACGGACGTCAAATGTTAAAATATACGCTTTGGTCAACACTCGCAAATAAAAACTTAAAAGACATCTTAACGTTAGTTTGGTGGTAGTGCAGATACAATCCAGAGTAGGCCTGTAAGTCTACATTAAAACGCCAGATGCCATGCCAAAAAAGGTGGTTCGTTATTACTTGTGAGTCATGTGATGTTTTTTTGCCTTGTTTTAAATGTTAGATAAACCGCAGCGATGACAAGGGATCCAAATAAGCCGAGAGGAAAGACCTCCTCCTATGCCTTCTTTATCGCAGACTGTCGTGAGGAGCACAAGAGGAAACACCCAGGGACCAGTGTAGGCTTTGCAGAGTTCTCCAAGAAATGCTCTGAGAGATGGAAGGTAAGTTGGCATTAGTAATGGGAAAAAATACATGCTTAGTATGCATGAAATATCATGGGTTGTATATGGCATTTGCCATATTGTAAAACTTTACAAATAGAACAATTCATAAACTAAAATGTGAAGCTATTGAATTGAGTAATACATGTTTGATGTTAGTCAACAGAAAACAACAGTATAGCTTGAATTGTATAATTGAAAGTATAGCCAGAAGTGGGATTTGTTTGTTGCTGCTCTCATGTGCCAATATTGCCCACCCCCTGCATGGCCTTTTGCCCTCTGTGTAGTGGGAGGATATGGGATGACGTACTTGGCAGAACAGTTTATTTTATGTTGCACAAATGCAGAGGTCTTTGGAGATGATCTTGCACTTAGAGTTTTGGTGGTACAATATTTTTTTAGAAAGAATCAGAATTTTGAGGTGTGGTTTGTTTTGTAGACCATGTCAGCCAAGGAGAAGGCCAAGTTCGAGGAGCTGGCAAAGACCGACAAGATCCGATATGACCGAGAGATGAAGACCTACATCCCCCCTAAAGGTGCCAAGGGCAAGGGCAAGAAGAAGAAGGATCCTAACGCACCCAAAAGGCCCCCGTAAGTCCTTAACCCTTCACCGCACTGCCCCATGAGGGGAGATCCTTGTTTTGTTCTGTTTCCATATAAATCATATTTAGCTTTTTCACATTGCAGGTGTGTTCTGGCATTAATGCAGCCCCCTTTCTTTCCAGCTCTGCATTTTTCGTCTTTTGTTCCGAGCACCGTCCCAGAATCAAGGAGGAGTGCCCTGGAATCTCCATTGGTGACACTGCCAAGAAGCTTGGCGAGTTGTGGTCTACACAGGGCTCCAAAGACAAGGCCCCCTACGAAGCCAAGGCTGCCAAGCTGAAGGAGAAATATGAGAAGGTAACCACCTGTTCATATATTTGCATAGTGCCACTTACGTAAACACCAATGTTAAAGGCTAAGTGGGACAGTTGATATTGTTCACGTAACCAATGAAAGGACCTAACTGAGAAATTTACCATGTCTTTGACATTTCTATCAAGAAGTTAAACAATTTGTCTTTTTTTTTTTTTATTAGGAGGTTGCTGCTTACAGAGCTAAAGGTGTCTCAGGGAAGAGTGATGGTGGTAAGAAGAGTGGCCCAGGCCGGCCCACTGCCAAGAAAGCGGAACCAGTCGATGACGACGACGATGATGATGATGAGGAAGACGAGGACGATGAGGAGGAAGACGAGGACGATGATGACGATGATGACTAAGCAGTTTATATGTTAACGGGTGTGAATTTTCCAATGCATTGTTCAGCTTAACTTTTTTTTGTGTGGATGATTCCAAAAGTTATAGTCTGCTGTCCCTGTCGGTCTGCCTCTGTAGGAAACCAGACCTGTATTCCTTTTCAAATTCAGGGATTTAGCTTTTATTTGTCACTTAGTCCCCTAATTTTTTTTTTTAACGGTTTTCTGCTGACCTCGGGTTTGTTACATCTCGATCCTCGTTGCTACTTAAATGGGCAGCTAGATATGAATTTCCTGTGAAAAATACAATGGACTGAAACTTGTGTACAGACAGTGGACAGCAGCAAATCAGCAAAGTTTTAAAAAAAATGTATTGTTTCTGGAAGCACTGCATATGTTTTCTGTTTAGTGGTGCTGTTTCTTCACTGTCATTTTACTACCAAGAGTTATCTGTAGTTTGATTAAAAATGTTGGAGCCATTTTTAATGTGGAACTTTGAAGACTGATGTAGAACAAAAAATTTTTTTTGTAATAAAATTTTGTATATTATAGTGTGGACTCAATGGTTTAATGTCCTAGGAGGAAAACTGCATTTCTTTGTGGTACTTCAATACAGGTAAATCTTTACACAAACAGCTCAGATACAATACATTTAAAGATGCTAATGTGCTTTGAATGACATCTTTTAATCCTCTTTGGAAGTAATTCTCAAGTGGCAGGAATGTTTTAGGATTCTGTATCATAGGGAACATGTCAGGGTGTCTGCAGGTATTTAAATATCTTTATTAAGTAAATAGGCCTTAGGAGTCATTAAACAGGCTTAAATTTAAATTCTGTGGTCATAATTACCACATAGGTTAACCTCATTCAACATTCCTATATAACCTTATTCTGCATTAGACCACAAACTAATACTAATGCTTATATGCAATTCATGAGACACCAAAACAATATCTAAATATTAAAAGTTGTTACTGGGTAGCTGTTGCTTGTTAACATGGTAGAAGTTAGGATGGCTCAGAGTTTCTGACAATACCACACATCGCTCATTCTTCAGTTTGTAGTATGGTATACAGTGACCCCAGGCTTTATTATTTATATTTCTGTGTATGCCTACTAAAAGTCACTGTATAATCATGTGGGACACATCCCTAGTTCAAACAGCAGTAAATGAATCTGGCACAGTTGCTAATTGGCAGAACTGCTGTCACATGTCATATCATGGCCCAGCCTGGTTTGATGTTAGCAGGCCTTTCAGTGGCTATTTATAGAGCCTACTCTCATGGGGAATCAACTCCTGTGCATTTATAGTGATATATGTTTATGTGTGCTCTGTGTTGTGGGATGAGTGTTATGGAATAAAGCTATCAGGGTTCCCACGGTCTTTTACAATCATTTAAAATATGTGCATTAAAATCCCCAAACATGTCTTAACACGACGCAAATTCAATTCCTTGTTTTATTAATATAAAGTCTAGTGCTGCTTTCTTTGACAGTTAAAATGTTACCACTATCACATGACAGGCCTACACATAGACCAGAGCCGGCAACGCCTTATTGCCAAGGCCATGCCCCCTTTTGAGGAAATAATCATGCACATCAGTAGAGACACAGGAAATGTTGAAAAAAAAGTTGCGTGGTGGGTTAACCAAGGCTTTCACACTGAGATTTCAGGCACATAAAATATGTGAACATTCACTGTTAGTAATGTAAATAGCTGAATGATGCAGGTGACAGTTACTACTGATGGAAAACTAATGTTAGTTTAAGTGGGAAACAATATTTTAAACTTTTTTTTATTAAATAAATGCATACTAACTTTTTAAAATGACATCCAAATACATGTCAAATTGCACTGACATCCACAGGACCTTATGTTTTTCTAACCCCCAAAATAGGGCACGCTTCTGATGTTGTGTGAAGTACCATATGTGCTGGTCTGTTGGCACATGCAGGTAGTTAGAAAGCGGAATGGCTAACAAGTGATGGGTTAGCACGCCATGGCAGTCTGCTTATCCACAAATGCCTGGGAAGTGTGTGTGTGCTGTATCGGTATATAGGCCTACCCATTCTAAACTACTTAAAATCATGGAAATTGGGTGAATTATTATGGAAAAGTTATGGAAACTTTTTGAAAATGCATTGGTTAACGTGTGGTAACACTGAGCTACTGTCTTTTTTCTTTGGCCTAAAACATACATAACATTATTTGTCCAATAGATTAGAATTCTCTGATCTTAAAATCAAGGGTGTGGGTGTAACCAAGTAGGTTTTATGTCCATTTTCATGTCCATTTTGTGCTATTGTATATTTCTAATACACTCCATTTCAGAGGGAAATTATTTATCTTTTGCTACACTACTTTTATCTGACAGCTATACGCAATAGTGGCACGATACACAGTCCTACTAATGGTGTCACACTATGGCACTAATTAACAAGTAAGCCCCAGGATACACAGCAGTGCATCAGCACAGGGATGGAAGACAACTACATGCAAAGAACATGTATGCATGTAAGGATATAAAATGGGCCAAAGGCTATGTAAATGTTTTATTTGGAAAGGACTGTACGCTGCACATTTGTTAGAGCTACAGGGGTGTCAAACATACAGACTGCAGTCCAGAAGAGGCCAGTCAAAAGGTCCGATTTGGCCTACTGGATGACTTTGCACCCCTAATACTGATGCACTTGTGAAGGCTGAAGGTGTTTCATATCAGGTACATTTGATTCATACTGTGTCTGCTTATGATTCTCCCCCTCTCCTACCCCCCACCGCTCAGTTTTCACATTAGTGATTGTGTTCTGTGACATTTTTGTTATGCTGCAGTGTAGAACAGGGCAGGACCTGTGGAGCACAGAGGTATGGAGCATCTGTCAGGGGTGGAGCTCTCCACCTTCTACCAGAGCTTTGACTGCAAATCAAAGGGGGCAGCAAAACCAGTTTTGGGTCTGTCCAGGGCTGTGCTGCTGTCCGATATTGAGGCATCAGTATCAAATTGACACTGTTTCATAACTGTTTAAAAACAATTTGTAGTCATGTTAAATAGCATCCACTCTCGTGTTTTGGTACAGTTGGAGTTCTCACCTGCTGCCTCCTGTAGCGGAGTACACCTGAATTGTAAATGAGACCATCTTTACAAATGGACTTGAGTTTGGATCGCTGTACTGTGCCCATGTATGGTACACGATTAACACATTAATGGAATGACCTGGGGTTTGAGGTCAAGTGCACTGGGATCTGGGTCTGAGTTTCTGATGTGAAAGGCCCCTAAGAGGAGCCCGGTTTCATGAGCAGATTAAACAGTCAGTGGCCTGCTTCATGTAAAAAGCGGCTCCAGAGGCTTTTCCACCCTGAAAAAACAATCAATACTTAATGTGATCACATTAAAAGATAGTGAGCATTGTGCCAAATATTGTCTATTAGCAACTTCAGTACAAGAGAATCTGTGTCAGACTTTAATCTTAAAACAAAATTGGATGGACCCTATTGCTAAAACACTCACAAAACTTTTGATTTGTGAGTGGTTTGTAAGGCAGGGGATAAGTTAACCTGCTTCCTCAAATGCTTTCACTTTAGTTTGATGTGACATTAACAAGAGCAGACATATATGGAAAAATGCACCAGGGAGTGGCAGACTGACTGAATGTAGAAAACTGGAACAGTTGAAACTGCACCAAATTGCATCATCTGTTATGTAAATGGATGGATGTTTTCAGAATATCTTTACACTAAAAGAAAGGGAAACAATTGGAGGTATTATTATTTATTGGTTGCTGCCCACTTGAGATCAAATTGGGCTTTATGTGGCACATGAACTAAAATGGGTTTGACCCCCAACCACACACACAGTGTGTTGTGGTGAATAACACTGAATAAAACATAACTTTTGTTTGCTACTTTTACATAAGTAATATTTTGAATGCAGGGCTACATTTATATTGCTGTATTCATGGGGGTAGCTTTCGTTTCAACATCCTCGGGAACACATGTTAGCAGGGGGTCCTCCCCCAAGAAAGTTTGAGTGTTAACACTTAATTTCCTGCATTCAGATGAATGTTTATGCACCAATTTGTGTATTTTTTGCACCAGTTTATGATGGAAATGTCATCCAACCGTGCAAAGATGCTTCATCTTCTCTCCATTTTATAGCAGATAACTATTTATTTTGAGGTTGTATACTGCCACCACTGACTTTACCAGAGATGTTGTTGCGTCTTGGAGTTATGGTCTAGCAATTTGTCGATATAGAAGTCCACTTTAGTGCGATAACTAAATTAAAATTTTAATTTGGCAGTGTATATTGGTTAAAAGAGTGAACTTTGTATGAAAAAATAGTGGAAATTTTCTGAGGCACAAAATGGTTTAGTTGGCCTCTGCACTTGGATTCCTCTCTAGACGCAGCCAAGTAAGTGACTGCTGTCAGTGGATTTGGCAAAAGCTTGATTTATCAAGGGCTCTGTTGGTGATGAAGAAGATGTTTCCCAGTGTTTTGTTACGCTGACTGGCTGAAGGAGTTTCTCTGTTATGGCGTATACTCCTGCCCATATAAAGTGTCTGAGGCGGCAGCGAGTCCAGACTGACACCTGTACTTATGACAGCTTCGAAATCAGGCAGAGAGACCAGTTCACATAGTTTCAACTCTTTTTGAAGGTTATTCCAAGTGTGAGGAGCAGAGCACATGAAAGCTTTCCTTCCCAGCTCAGTCCAAGCACTAGGAACAGACAGGTCTTGAGATCTCAGACTACAGTCAGATCTCTTTTCAATCAGAGTACAAATGTACGAAGGGAGTTTACCCAGTATAGCTTTATGAATGAACAAATACCAGTGACTGAGCCTACAAAAGGTCAAAGATGGCCGCCTAGCCCTGGAATAAAGTGTGCAGTGATGAGTGAGGGGTTTACAATTTGTAACAAATCTCAGTGCACTATGGTATGCAGTATCTAACATGTGCAAACAATGTGCAGATGCATTCATGTACAACAAATCATCATAATCCAAAACAGGTGAAAACGTAGCAGCAACCAGTCTTTTCCTAGCCTCAAGGGAAAAACAGGATGTTTATGCTTCTGACATAAAACCCTAACTTCAGCCTCAGCTTTTCAAGAAGATTGTCAACCTGAGGTTTAAAAGACGGGGAGTCATCAAGCCAAATACTGAGAACTGACAACCTCTAACGTCTTTCCCTGAGCAGCAAGAACATCGGGAGTGTTCACAAAACCAGCTTTAGTTGTGAAAGCTGAATCTGGATACATGCAGTCATCAGGATGGTCTTACCATGTGACACAGAGAGTGCTTATGCATCAGGCCCAAAATTTGGTGCAACACCCCTGTCTGCTACTTTCATGTTTTCATTGGAATGCATGTATTCTAAATATCCTCCTGAGACCCTGGGCCCTCATACATGGACATCACATTTTGGGTTTACTTGACCCTTATGCTTCATTCTACATAACTTGGACCTGTTGTCCTCGTTCATGGACACTTTTTTTGCCATCTAGTGGTAGTAAGAGCACAATACACAAATCCATTTAAAAACAAGATGACAGCCATCTCTGCCAAGTCAGCCTGCAGGCGATCCCGAAACTAAAATCGACAAGGTCCAAATCCTGATCACATTTTAGGGTTGAAACTTGTTTATTTAACAACAAATTTGACCAATTTAGCAATGATAAAAAGCTAAGACACTGTTAATTAGGAAGTACTCCTCTGAAGAGATTGGGACTTTATTGTCATCTCGTCTGAGGACATCAGCACTGAATTATTTTCCTGTTTGAGGACATTGGGACTTTATTGTCATCCAAATGGAGGACATTGGGACTTAATTATCGTTGACAATGTTTTTCATTTATACTTATTTCTGTCCTACTGATCCCAAATGGGCGGCACGGTGGACTAGTGGTCAGCACTGTCGCCTCACAGCAAGATGGTTCCTGGTTCAATCCCAGGAGAAAGTATCTGTGCGGAGTTTGCATGTTCTCCTCGTGTCAGCCTGGGTTTTCTCTGTGTACCCCAGTTTCCTCCCACAGTCCAAAGCCATGCAGGTTAATTGGTGACTCTAAATAGTTGGTTTGAATGTGAGCGTGAATGGTTGTCTGTCTCTATGTGTCAGCCCTGTGATAGTCTGGCGACCTATCCAGGGAGTACCCTGCCTCTCACCCAATGTCAGCTGGGATAGACGGATGGATGGATGATCCCAAATGCCTAGGACAAATTAAAAACTGCATACCAAACAACAGTTCTGGTCTTCGGAGGATAATGGGCCTCATTCACTAATATGTGCGTGGAAATGTTCTTACTTTGCGCACAAAATAAGTGCGTAAGAAAAATCACCGTGGGATTCATGACACCTGCACAACGGCCAATTTTGTTCTCACAACCTTGCGTATGTGTGTGAATCAGAATCATTCTAAATTGACAGGCGCGTGCTCGCAATTTGTGATTAGCATACTACCACGCCCCCATTTCTCCATATAAGGAAACCGCTTGCCTAGAGTTGATTCATGAATGAAGGAAGCGGTTACGCGAGGAGAGAAGTAGTAAATTTCACAGTTTGTTAGAAGCGATGGCGCCGGGTCATACAGGAATGCCATGGGTCACTGCAAGATTGTGGAGGACACAGCATGCCAGGATGATCTTGCACACCTTCTCAGGGGTATAAAGTAGTTTGCCACCGGCTGGATCCGATCACTTATTATAGCGCACCTCTTGAGGGGTTTCAGGGTTTGCGTATGGTGTCATCAGCCATGTTTTAAGGCCATATCCCCGGTCACCCAAACAATATAACATTTTAGCATTAACGGAATAGAGACTTACTAAAAATACTAACTAAAAACAATTGAAATAAAAGACCAGAACAAAAGATGCTCACCAACATGCCATCCACTTCTCACAGCCCCTGCCTCCAAACACATTCCCACTGTACTGTTTTGCAAAATAAATGAGTCGTGGGTGCCTCCTGGCCAGCGGGCCACAGCCTTAAGGATATGGCAGTTTATGGCATTACAGATCATCTGCACGTTGATGGAGTGATAGTTTTTTCTGTTCATGTTGTTGTTAATATTTTAATTGTCACAATGATGAGGGTGAACGTGTGTCAATTTCATGGTTATTTAATACATTTGGCCAATATATTAGTAAATTAATGATTTTTAAAAATGTTAATTAAATCTCTTTTTAATGAATGTGGTTTTATAGACTCTGCATGTACTTAAAAGGTATGTGTTTGCATTTTCTAAGTCAGTTCGGCCATCCTCATTTGTGCGTACGCATGGTCTGAGGCAGTTCTAAATTTGTTCGCAGAGTAAGAACAAATTCGGGTAAGAAAATATTGATGAATCCCAGATTTGTGTGTCAAACGATCGTACGCACAGTTTAAGCACAGATTTGTGCGTACGCACTGTTTGTGAATGAGGCCCATTGAGAGGGACATGTCCCCTGCATCCCACTCAAAATCTACGCCCATTGTTGTAGAATACTTGTACTACTCCTGTTTAGAATTGACCCTCAATCACCAAAATGCATTTAAACTGCCAAAAACAAATGAAATCTAGATTATTCTCATCCAAGCTCCAGGATCTGACCCATAGAAATGAACCCTGGCTGTATCACACTAATATAATCATACATCATGAGGGGAGACTCACACACTTGAGGATTTACACAGCAGAGACAGTCACACTGACACTGCGCTCAGCCAATAGCTGATCAGGATGATTATCCCCACGGACCAATCACAGCCGCCGTTACGGCCCTCGTCACGCGGAGGACAGTGAGCAGGGAGCATTTCAGCACCCAGGAGCTGTCCGTTGTGCACGAGCCGGCTGACAACCGACGGTAAGAGGACAAACAGACACACCTCAGCTGCCTGCTAGCACTATGATACAAACCAATGGCGATGACACTCGTAACGTAGATGTAAAATGATGCTGAACGCGCCTTTGTTATCACCAAGCTGCCGCTGTGTGATATTCAGACAGACCCACCACATCTGCGACACTCAAGTGCCTTAATAACACACAGTTTCCACACGGATTAGTTTGTGCTGCTGAAACCTGTTGATGCCATCTACATATTACTGAAATATAACCGGAAACAGGCTGAATTAAAACAGTAAATAGCAGCTGGTTAGCGAGTGGTGGCAGCAATTTTGAAAACAGCTAGTTAGTAGCGTACACACAGGGTTAGCTTATTGATTAACGGTCGTTCAGATGAGCATTACAGTTATCATGTCTGAAACCAGTTAGCTGTGTTAATAGCCTTGTAGTGTCGTGCTAATTGAATGCCTCTTCTGTTAGCCTACACAGAGATAAAACGGTTTACATGTCTGGCATTTGGGTTAAAACCGGGTTCAAATAACGTTAAAGGGACACTTCACCTCAAAATCAAAAATACATATTTTGTCTCTTACCTGAAATGTTTTTTATCAGTCTAGATTGTTTTGGTGTGAGTTCCCAAGTTTTGGAGATATTGGCCGTAAAGATATAAGTCTTCTCGCTATTATAGTGGAACCGGATGGCACTAAATACATTACAAGCATAAAATACATTTGAAAAACTCAACAGCAATGTCTCGTTCCAAAAATCATGACTTGGTTACTCAAGATAATCCACAGACCTTGTTGTGAGCAGTTTCATATAGGAACTATTTTCTTTTTACTGAACCAACCCCACCAACCTTATTACTGCATAGGAAAAAGTGTGCATCAAGTTATGGACAAGACACTCAATTCAGTTTTATTTATAAAGTCCAATATCACATATCAAAATTGGCCTCAGAGGGCTGTACAGCATACAACATCCCTCTGTCCTTTGGACCCTCACAGCGGAAAGGAAAAACTCCCCCCCAAAAATTGGGGTAGAATGGTAGAAACCTCAGGAAAAGCAACTGAGGAGGGATACCGCTTCCAGGAGGGGCAAACATGCAATAGATGTTGTGTGTACAGAACAGATCAACATAATAAATGTAAAGTAATCCACAGACATAGAGAGAGAGACAGAGAAATAATAGTATTTTGGTAGAATATATGTTATATGTTATATATGATACTATATGTATGTGACAATAATAGTAGTAGGCATCAGTTAGGACTACAGCAGCAGCGCAACCAAGACCCACCATCCAGATGTAGGAGCGATTCGACTCCTGCTAATGTCAGTGCGAGATGTAAACATTAAAAGCGCCCTCCACAGCTTGTTTGCTAGCTCAGTGGTGCTACGTGAGCTAGCAGTATCCGTATCCGTACACAGTGATGCAGTTGGCAGCTGTAGTTTGGTTGAAAGAAAATAGTTCCTACATGAATCTGCTCACAACGAGGTCTATTGATTATCTTGAATAGCCGGGTTATAGTTTCTGGAAAGAGACATTGCTGTTGAGTTTTTCAAATGTATTTTTTTTTTGGCGCATTGAGCACCACAAGCTGAGTGCCATCTAGTTCCATTATATTGGAGAGAAGGCAGACATCTCTACGGCTGATATCTCCAACACTCTGCAACTCACACCAAAACAATTTATGAACAGCAGTACAGGTAAGAATATAAAATATGTATTTTTGATTTTGGGGCGAACTGTCCCTTTTTGCATTTGAATCACTTAGTATTAGGTCTATGTAACATAGGCATGCAACACAGCCTAATTTACGTAGTGTGTTACCTTAGACACCTAGTATTTCACCGGAAAATGACACAGACCATGCTCACTGGAAAATAGAACCATTGTCTTATCTGAGTATATGAGCAATTTCAAGAGCCATCTAACAGCAACATGTCTTTTCATGGCTGCATCTTTACAGTTTCATTCTGCATTGCTTAGTGATTCTGAGCTAATTTACTGTGGGCCTATAGGGAATACTCCCCCTTCAAGATGAGATGTCTTGATTGGTCTCCGAGGGGCACGTTTAATTTTAATAGACCCTTTTCATGGCAGACTGTAATTAATACCATCATCCAGGATGCATTCATTTAGGTGAGCCAGGTCCAGGGTCCTTGTTTTGTGCATGCTGGCATATGTGCTTATCTTTCTCTGCTGTGAAAAATGTGTCATTGTGCAGACAAGGAAAATAATTGAGCCCGCCAGATTTTCAATACAAACCACTGTCTTGGCTGCTGGTTGCTTGCTGAGATAGTAGCCGTTTCCTTGACACACACCAGGTTACACACAGTTCTGTCCGACATGCTGACTGTGGGGGAATACCTAACAGGCTGGTTTATTTACACATAGCATTACTGAATTCATTATGAGACAGAGAAGCTGAAACCATGCTAACACCTGAAACTGAATGTACTGTGCAGGGTTCAGTTTGAAGAGAATCTGATGCACTTTTGACCTGGTGTGCAGGGTTTTTCTTCCTGATGTCAGCGCTCTGTGTACTGTAACACCAGACAGACAGAGGTGTGCATGTACTCATGGACAAGAGGCTTGTGCTTGTGATGGCACGAGATGTAAACATTAATGGCATCGTCCTCGACTGAGCTGAGCTGTAGGTGAGCTCGCAGTTGATGCATGCTTCCTTCTGTGCAGTGATACGGTAGGCAGGTGTGGTTTGGTTAGAAGGAAAAGGTTCCTATATAGAACTGTTCACAACAAGGGGCCTGGATTATCTTGAGTAACTGGGTCTTGCCATCTAGTTCTGTTATATTGTAAAGGAGGAAGACATCTCTGTATCTCCAACACTCGGCAACTCACACCAAAAAAAGAGGAAAAATATGTGCCTTGATTTTTTAGTGAACTGTCACTTTAACATTAGAGGAGGTAGAGGTAAAACCCTTTTTATGTTTTAAAGTACAAGTAAAATGTATTTATGGGATATCCAGAAAAGTCCACTTGTAGCATGACTTCCTCCTGTTCCTTCATCAAAGTGCCATGTGGTCATTACTATGAGAACTGCACATCATTACTGTTTGGATCATGAGGGCACCATTATCTAATCAAGAAGAGAATGAGAAATTTATATGTAAATCAGCCAATTTGCACCTGACAGGAAGAGGTTACAGGATAACTGGTCAACAGGTTTTTGAAGATTACCTTTGATAGGAAATCACCAGTCCCTGTTTGGGTGAACAGCCCCTTAGAGATAATTACGCATGATGCCTCAAAAGTGCTTTTTATTTTAAATGTCTAAAAGATTAAATGGAATTAACAAATATACCGAGTACAAGAGGCCACAGCTGTTCCTACAGGTTTATGGACTTAAAGGGTCAATTGGTATTTTTTAACCTGTACGCTATTTTCCCATGTATTTGTGTCCAAGTGACTGATGGGAATAAAGATTTTCAAAATTGGTCCAGTATTGAGTGTGAGCGCTGCAGTCAGCAGCAGCTAAACTGGCTGCAAATTAATCCCTGTGGGCAACTGAGCACTGTCAGTTTATGTCCATTAAAAGTGCTTGGTTTAACCACTTACAGGCTCATATTGTTATTAAGTGTCTGACAACATTATGGCAATGATCCCAACAGAGATAGACTACAGAGACAGAAACAGAAATAGCCATTGCTGAACCCACCAGACTCCTTCTGAATAAACAGCAGTTAAGCGTGTATAAAGCCATTATATTTTCATACCTAAATGAGCAAATTAAGGGTTTATTTAAACCAAACCAGAGCTGATGATTGTTGGAACAGAGGAGAGAATAAACAAAATGGTTATTGTGTTTTATTTTGTTTCTTTAGACTTCTAATGAAGTGTGTTTTATGATGATAAAATTACCATTTATTTAAATTAAGTCTGGTGGGTTTGGTGATAGCGAATTGGGGGCTGCGTCTGGTTAAACAAAAAGGTCTATCTCTGTAGGGATCCTTTCCATAATGTTGTAAGACACTCATAATAACAATCTGAGCCTGTCAGTGGCAAAAACAAACACTTTTAATGGACATAAATTTACAATGCTCAGTTGCCTTAAGAGATTGAATTGCAGCTTGTTTCGCCACTGCTGGTTTCAGTGCTCTCTCTCTCAATACCAGACCAATTTTAAAATTACTGTCACTTAGACACTTCAGTAAAAATGCTTTTCAGAAACACCCCACAGATACAAAGGAATTGATTCAATGTCTGGCCCATCTTATCTTCCACAGGAGTCCCTTTAGGACTTGTGGTTTGAGGATGTGCAGTTGCTGCAATGAGTCCAGTCCCACCATCCAGACATTCTGTACATTGTAGTCAGTTCCTCACATTAACAGTATTCACTCAGTGGATCAGCAGCAGTCTGAGCCAATCACAGCAGAGATTACTTCAATCCTCTCTCCACGTCTGTTTCTCTTTAATCAACTTATCCTCTTAAACTTGTGGATCTAGTATGTTGTGAGTGTAACTCTGGGGGTGATAGAACTGAACATAATCCCTAAGATATATTAGTTTCAGAGGTGTTGATTTAAATCTGAGTAGAGTGGTTGGTGTTGCACTGGACTGCACAGCAACACAACACCTAATGATGCAATGCATTAATAAAATGCAGATGATAGTCTTTCAGCTGACAAATGATGTTTAGACACTGTTTAAGGTACATGCTGTGACCAGAGACACTGAGGATCCAGGGTAGGTCATTTATTAGTAAGTTATATTCAAAAGATTTACTTATTACTGCCATTCATTTATTCATTTACATCTGAGATCAATACTTTTTTATCTACTAATTTGTGGCCACTTAAAGGAATACTTAGGTATTTTTGAATCTGGACCCTATTTTGCCATGTTTTTGTGTCTAATAGAAAGAACAATTTTTGAAATTGGTCTGGTATTGAGCGAGACCGTTTCAGCTGCAGCAGTGAAACAGACTACTGTGTAATCCCTGCTGGCAATTGTGCACCGTCTATACGTCCAATAAAAGTGCTTGTTTTTGCCACTGACAGGCTCAGATTGTTTTTATAAATGTTTGACAACATTATGTAAAGAACCAAACAGAGAAATGAAATGTTCTTCCTTACCTTTCACTGATCCAGTCTGTTTGTTAGTGTGTGTGTGTGTGTGTGTGTGTGTGTGTGTGTAACAAGTCTCATTCAAAGAGAAGTCTCTTGTGGATTTTTTTACATTGTCAAAATGAGCTAAATATTTCACATTCAGCCATGACACTGAAAATCTTTCCGTACTACAACACAGTACACTTTTGCTGATACCCTTCTCTCCAATAGTCACTATTGTTTCCACTGTTGTGTTTCTTGCAACTATAGTCACCTCTCTCGAAATTTTGATGCAAGAGACCAGCGAAAGGTAAAGAAAGATGTTTCATTTGTCTGTCGGGATCCTGTCTACAATGCTGTCAGACCTTTATAATAACAATCTGAGCCTGTCAGTGGTAAAAACAAGCACTTTTACTGGACATAAATTGACAGTGCATAATATCCGTGGGGATTACATTGTAGCCTGTTTTGCTGTTGCCACGGTCTCTCTCAATACTCGACCAGTTTCAATAACTGTTGTTGCAATTTATCACCTAGACACAAAAACATAGGAATATAAGGGCCAGGTTGAAAAATACAGAAGATTTCCTTTAATAAAGAATAGACAGAACATAAAACTGAAAGCTGTGCAAAAGATTCATCTTTGCATCTGTAAAATGACTTAAATGCAACATAATTAGTGCCTGCATGTGTTTCTGTGTCTCCAGGTCATAATGGCCAAGGTGAAGCAGGTGGGCTTGCTGGCAGCAGGCTGTCAGCCCTGGAATAAAGATGTGTGTGCTGCCAGTGGAGACCGCTTCGCCTATTGTGCTACTTTGGCTATATACATCTACCAGGTGAGCTACTTGTATGTATTTGTGTGTGCATATGATGGTGGTGAATGTTTAAAAATCAGATGGCTTTAGTGTGTGCTAGTAGTTACCTGGAGGAGAAGCTCTCACACACAATTACTTTAGTGTTATTAACTGTGTTCAACTCACCACTTCAACTTAACTTTCATCTGTTGTCACTGGAAGTGCTAGTTGCTAGTTCCCTTTTCTTTAATTCCTTGTTCTTCTCCCTGTCTCCTTGTTGCAGCTGGACCAGCAGTACAATGAATTCAAGTTGAGGTCCATCATGTCCGAGCACAAGAAGACCATAACAGCCATCAGCTGGTGTCCTGACAACCCTGACCTGTTTGCGTCAGCCTCTGCTGATAACCTGCTCATAGTGTGGAATGTAGCAGAACAAAAGGCCGTAGCACGACTGGACAACACTAAAGGTTGATGGATGATCTACACCAGGTTTTATTGGCGCACTGGAGTGTTTAAGGTTAGAGTGCTGCAATGTCCGCCCCTCCGTAAAGTATCACAGCGTTTCTTCTTCTTTCCCAGGTGTCCCTGCGTCAGTAAGTTGGTGCTGGAACTTTGCCGATGGAGTGGCGTTTGTTTCCCAACGTGGTCCGTTGTATATCTGGGTGTATGGAGGTCTTGACCCTGGGGTCACAGTGCATAAAGAAGCCCACTCCTTCCTGTCTGATATCTGTCTCTTCAGATGGCACCCCACCAAGAAGGGCAAACTGGTGTTTGGACACACAGACGGAAGTTTGTCTGTCTTTCAACCAGGTACAGACGTTTTCCTCAATTCATTTAACATTTGATAGAGGCCTTATCCACACGTACAAGGGTATATCTGAAAATATAAAATAAAATGTATATTTGGCCTGAGACATCAGAGTGTGCACTGCTGTCTCCTTTGTGAGGCATCACAAATGAGGGGACATTTTGTGCAAAGGCGGACTTTGCTAACAAGATGTTTTACATGTTTACACATTAATGTGCAGTTACTCTTCCACTGTTCTGACGAACAGAGGCATCAGAATGCACTATGGAGGTCAGTGCTCCAATGTAACCTTATGGTGATAGCTTTTTTTCAGGCCAACATCTTTTTCTTTAGGGTCACGGTTATATTGCCATCTTGGTTTGCCATGTTCTTGACAGTGCTCCAATTGTGTTTTTGCAATTTAATTCTGTTTACAGAAATAGCTGTGTGCATGGGACTTGGCCACAAACACATTCTTACACATGCATTTGCGTCTTTGACTTACATTCATTGCCTGGAGGCCTTTACTCTGAGACTAAATATAACACACTGTATACTGTGCAGTGTGATAGTTGAAATAATGTTTTAATTTACAACATATCCAACTGCTGATAACTGTCACAGTTTCTCTGCCAGGCATTCATTTACAATGCAATAAAAACAATCATGTATTAATGTAAACTTCCCATCCTGGTAGTCAGCCTTTCTAAAAATTCTTAGCATTAGGGTTGGGTTCACATTTGAACCGACACTGGAATGACACCTTGGATTCAGTACGGTACCTTTTTTGGCACCTTATTTTTTCTGTAATAACAAAAATAAAATTTCTTAACAAGCTGCACGGGTGACGTAGTCTCGTTCTCTCTCTTTATTGCCTCCTCTGCGCTGGTCAACAAACGATTCTGCTCCTCTGCTCTTTAGTAATTACACGTCAAGCTCTGCCTCTGTAAATAGACTGCACTTGTATAGCGCTTTTCTTGTCTTCTGACCACTCAAAGCGCTTTTACTTTACACGTCACATTCACCCATTCACACACACATTCACACACTGGTGGCCAAGGCTACCATACAAAGTGCCACCTGTTACTCAGTAACCATTCACTCTCACTCACACACCGATGGAACAGCCAGTGGGAGCAATTTGGGATTCAGTATCTTGCCTAAGTATACGCACTGTCTGTCCGCTTCTTGCGTGCATGTCTGCTTGTGTCTCTCGCTCTCTGTTTAGACTCAACTGACAAATACCTGGAGAAAGTACATCATTTAAAAAAAAACAATCACAAGCAGCAGTGATACTGGGCCATTTCTAAAATACAATAGCAAAGAAAACAGAACAGATGTTGAAACTACTGGTGATAGTTTTGTCTCACTGGGAAGCCAACGGAGGTCCGTTGACAGCCACAGTACTTCATGATCAGCTTCTTGGCTTCCGAGCTTCCCAGCTTTGGGGCACTTGGGGCGGGAACTGCCCATTGGTCCGACATCCCATTGTTCCGACCATAATAAACCCATTGTTCCGAAGTCTGATCCGAAATCATCATGATGCCCTGTGGTTAAGGTCTGGTTAGGTTTAGGCACAAAAACCACTTGCTTAGGGTCAGGAAAAGATCATGGTGTGGGTTAAAATGAAAAAGAAAGTGACAAATACATAAGCTGTGAGCCTGCTCCACCTCAAGCATTTCCCAGCTGACCCAGAGCCGGTTGCGGCACACCATCAAGATAGAAATACACCCGCTGGGAGCCGTTCAGTACCGCGGACCGTCGGACTAATGGGATGACGAACCAATGGGCTGTCGGACCAATGACATGGACCCCTTGGGGCTACGGCACTTTCACCTCCTGTGTAAACCCACCATTCAGTTGTACACTCAGGCACTGAAATTTAGCACCAATTGATTTAATGTAAATCAGTAGTTGACGTAATTTGGTCGGTACCCTTAAAAGTAATGAATTCCGTACCTAACCCTATTGAGCATATATCCTAATTAAGGTCTGTGAAGTCTTGAGACAGTTAGCGATTTCCATTTCCATATGGACCACTATAGTCTACTGTTGTTGTGATGGCATAAAACCTCACTCTAAATGTCAATATCATTAGAAGAGATGCTGCTGTGAACCTCTTCTCCAATGCACTGTGAAATAAATCTCATCATTGAACCTGTGATCATATGTTCTTCTGTAATGCCTAACCTTACTCTTCTGTTCAGGTTCCTCAGGCAGAGACATGTGTCTGTAAGCACACACGTCTTCATTAATCCATCTGTCCTGTCTTCTTTAGGGAGTAAAGGTCAAAAGCATGTGTTGCGTCCAGAGTCACTAGAAGGGACGGATGAAGAGGACCCAGTCAGTGCCCTGGAATGGGACCTTTTGTCAACTGACTATTTACTAGGTTGGACAAAATACATCACCAGGATTTTGTTAGCTGAAGTGATTTTAATTTAAAAGACTTACAACAAGACACATACCTGTAGAACAGAAAAATAAAGAAGGTTTTTTGTGTTTGCTGAGTAACTACAAGTTAGTACCATAGATATCATGCTTGTAATCAAAATACTTAATCTGGTCTATTCATGTAACCCCCCACAAAAATCTCTGTGACTATATTTGCCGTCTCAAATGTTAAACTGATAAACACATTCTCTCTATCACAGTGTCTAACCTCCATAATGGCATCAGGCTGGTGGACAGCGAGGCCTTGGCGTGCATCACATCCTTCTGCTTCCCCTCAGCTGCTGCATCAGTTCAGTGTTTGGCCTGGGTCCCCTCTGCACCTGGCATGTTTATCACCGGAGGTAAGGACCGTGTCATTCTGTGTGGGAGGTGTAGGATCCAACATGCCAACCAACTGGTATGGGCCAGTTGTTGCCACAGGGCCATCTGTCTATGCATACTGAATATGTCTGACTATGGCTGCGTTCACATTACAAGCAAATGTGGCCCAAATCTTTTAGTTTTTTGCTCTCATGTGACACAGAAATCTGAATTTTTAGGCTCAGACCTGGGCCACTTTCGTATGTGAAGCCCTCTACATTGTGCCCCCCCCCACTCCTGACTCCTTTCCTGGTCACATCCACACCTCTATCCTTCGTTAAATACCACCAATTGCTGCAAATAGAGTCAGTAGACCAAAAGCCCATCTGTACAACAACCTGTTATCTTGAAAACAACCGCCCATTGCTCCAAAGGGCATTTCTCTAAAAATATGCTAGACCCTCTCCCAAACTGAAGCACATTGCTAATTAGTGTGCACCACTGTTTTATTCGTTTTTCCCAAATGCCTGTTTTGCAAATGATTATGTTATTGTTTCAATGCGCATGTGCGTGACGTTATTGGTTGTGTGTGAGGCGTTTCAGGGCAGAGATATGTTCACACTGATGTCAGATATGGGTCACTTCAAACACTTCTAGGCCAGGGGTGTCAAATATATGGCCTAGGGGCTGAACCAGCCTGCCAAGGGTCCTATTCAGCCCAGTGGATGACTTTCCACACCTAATATTGATGCACTTGTGAGGGCTTAGAGATGTCAGGTTTCAGGAGCAAGTTAAACAGTGAGTAGCCTACTTAATGTGAGATGCAGCTCTCTGAAAAAAACAATAAATACATATTGTGGTGATATTTTAAGATATCAACCTTTGTGCAAAATATTGTAAATCAGCAGCTTCAGTACAAAAGATTCTCTGTCAGACTTTCATCTTAAAACAACACTGGTGGAACCATATTGCTAAGGCACTGCCTAAACTTTGGATGTATAAATCAATAAATGTTTTCAGAATGTACCATATTAAAAGAAAGGGAAACGTTTAGAAGTGTTTTTATTTACAGGTTATAATGAAGTGGTTTTACTGGTCCGTGCATTTGAGATCACATTAGGCTGTGTGTGGCCCATGAGCTGAAATTAGTTTGACATCCCTGGTCTAGGCAGACAGATTTTAACTGGGGGAATAATTGGAACTGAGCATTAAGCCTGATTTCGTCAACAACCTTTCTTGTTAATTTTTGCAAGACTACAATGAGACGATGACATCATCAGTTAATCTGTAGCTATACAAACATGCAATAGTGTTGATGAAAAATGACGAGGCCGCACTGCGGTTAAAAAAAACTACTGAAATCCCTCTGTTTTTTTGTTGACAAAAAAAGAGGAGATGAAATATTACAGTCAGAACTCGGATTAATTTACTTCAGTTAAAGTTAACAATGATACTAACAGGCCTTGGGAGAAAGAAACAAGGAGACAGACTAGACCAGACTAACTGAAACATTCGATATAATGTCATCATCAAAAATACTAAAACAGTACTAATTAGTTTTCATTGACAAAAACTATAATAAAATAGTTATGGCTGTGTTTGAGATAAAACTAAAATGCACAGACTACACCTTGACCAAAAAATACTAAAAAAATACTAAACTAAATATGATAAAATCTACATAAATCTACATGTAAAGACTACATAAAACAGTAGCTGACAAAATGAACAATCTTTGCATATTAAAGTGGAAGCAGATGCCCATGCATTATGAGAGGACAAGTTTACAGACCAAGCAAAAACATCCAACACATTTGCATTTTGGAAGAGACCTTTGACATGTTTTGACTAATTTGTTTTCCTCTGTCTGTCAGACTCGCAGGTCGGAGTGTTGAGGGTGTGGAATGTGTCTCGCTCAACTCCTTTGGACAGCTTCAAACTGAAAAAGACTGGATTTCATGCTTTGCATGTCCTCAACTCCCCTCTCGCCAAGAAAGGTGACATTCAGAACAAACCATTTTGAACTTATAAATGTGGTATCAACTCAATAATATATATGTATATATATATATACATATATATATACCACAGCTGTTACAAGTTGCAGGGGTTATATTTTTAGGTTGGTATCAAAACCTTGTGCCAAATTTACATTCTTAAGAGTTTTATACAGAAAACACATCTTCACTATTGTGGTTCTTGAGGACAGTTGTGTGTGTGTTAACCACCAAAGCACAACAGATGAGAATGAAAATCTCATAATATGTATTAAAATCTATGCTGTCTGGGTATAAAGCAGCTGTTCAAACACTGAGCAGTAGATGTTTCCTCTTGTGAGGCTTCATTTGATGAGATAAACAGCTCTTTGGCGCTGAAATCTGGTTCAGTCTGACTGTTAAGAAATGGGAGCATTGTCTTGTTTAAGATTTCTAGAATACCACAACAGGTATTTTCTTCTTTAACCGACCTCCTCCACTTTCTCTACAGCTCAGAGTTCTTGTTCTCCCAGTAAGAGTCAGCACACCAGTTCCACCAGTGAGGCTGTTCCTCCCCCAACCCTGTCACAGAACCGGTCCTTCTCTCTGCCCCCTGGCCATGCTGTGTGCTGTTTCATGGATGGAGGGGTGGGACTCTATGACATGGGGGCCAAGAAGTGGGACTTCCTACGAGACTTGGTATTCTATAACATCCTTTGTAAAGTAAACAAATGCTTACACATGACTGAATGAACAAACCAGTAAAACAACATGCCTTGTACTGTGTTGTTTGACTTGTGAATCATTTGGTCTTTCTCTCTGTTTTCGTGTTGTTTTCAGGGTCATGTAGAGACTATCTTCGACTGTAAGTTTAAGCCAGATGATCCCAACCTGCTGGCCACAGCTAGTTTTGATGGAACCATCAAAATCTGGGACACAAATACACTGACAGCTGTTTACACCTCCCCTGGCAATGAAGGAGTGGTCTACTCCCTGTCCTGGGCTCCAGGTAGATCAACTCCACACATATATACCCTTTCCCACTAAAATTAGCGCACATATGCAGGTTTTTGAAATGCAGGAAATAGGTGAAAGACTCCTTTCCCATTGCCAGTAGCTCTGCAGTAGATAGGTACACCTTTGTGTTTTTTTTGTCTTAACTGGTGTTTCAGGTTTGATGTCACATATGCACCAGTAAACAGGGTTAGTAAACAGTAGAAAGCAGCATGAAGGCCAGTGGAAATGTTACGATGGTTACTTCTTTTTTAACAAAAATCTATGTGTGAAACCTCAGGCAGGAAAAACTGACTTGAAAAATCACTTGCAATCCAAACATACATGAACACACCCTAAAAACATTCCAGGCCAACAAGTGCATACAAAGAGGTCAGGTATATGGAACAAACAAGTTCAACTCCTGTGTCAACAGCAATATCTCAGTAGAGTGTGTCGTCTGTTGCCCATGTGAAAGTTTGTGACCTTTCTGTCTGTTTGTGTTTTGAAGGAGACCTGAACTGCATTGCAGGCGCAACGTCTCGTAATGGAGCGTTCATCTGGGACGTCAGGAAAGGGAAGATCATCACTCGCTTTAATGAGGTTACTTTAACTTTCAGTGCAAAACTATGAATCTGTGTATCATTAATCAGAGTATGTGCAGGTCCTTGAAAAATCTTTACATGCCTTAAGTTCAGTTTTATAAATATGAGGCCTTAAAAGTGAATTTGTGAGGTCTTAACTGACACAAATATCTAATTTCATTGATCCACCTTTTAATATGTTTTTGTCAAAATAAGTGAAGCTCTTTTGGATGAATTCTACATTTCTCATGTTAATAATCGGACTCACCTGTTGGCAAAATGTAGATGAACCTAAATCACTTTAATAGTCCTATTCCTACTTAAAACCAACTTCTACACAGGACAATTTATTTTATACTTACATTTATACTTACGTGCAATGCTTGAATAAGAAGATGGTTTGTCAAAATTAGCCTTAAAACTTGTTAAAAATTGTATTTAAAAGGCTTTAAAAAAGCATTAAATTCAAGTGTCTGATACCTGTAGCCACCTCACCAATGTGTCCCTTATCTTAGTCAACTGCCAACTACCCTTAAGTGAAACATGTGACTCCAGCTTATTAAAAATGATGTATGGCATGATGGTGTCTGCAGTGACGGCCTCTTTGTCTCCCTCCAGCATGGTAAGAACGGCATATTCTGTATATCATGGAGCCATAAGGACTCCAAGAGGATTGCTACCTGCAGTGGAGATGGATTCTGGTAAGTCCTCATCCACCCTGATACCTCTGTTCTGACAGCAGTTTGCTCTACTGTGAAAATATTTGCCCTTCATAATATGTCTTACATGTTTTATATTGTTTTGACAACAGTATCATCCGGACCATCGATGGGAAAATCCTCCATAAGTACAAGCATCCTGCTGCTGTGTTTGGTTGTGACTGGAGCCAGAACAACAAGTAGGACCTCGATCCATCTGCCATTGTTCTCAGTGGGGGAGGCAATATGCATTAGAGTCACGTCACGCTGCAGTTGGCTGTGATTCAGACCTATTAGGCCTAATCACTGCTTTACTTCTTTCACTTATTTAAACAGTTTAAATATGACTGGACCTGAAAGACAGTATTTGAAAACACCTTATAGCCTACAGCAGAGCAAAAAGCAGTTAAATTTGACAGTACAAAATCACTGTCAGTCAGTCAGTCAGTTGTTTCAACCATTTCAAGCGTGATGTTCTAGCACATTAATATTGTCACATAGAAAGGTGTTGTGCCATCTGCTGTTTTATTCCTCATACATCCTCTTCTCTCTCTTTTTGTAGGGACATGATAGCAACAGGCTGTGAGGATAAAAATGTCCGTGTGTACTACCTGGCCACCAGCTCTGATCAGCCTCTGAAGGTCTTCACAGGGCACTTAGCTAAAGTATTCCATGTTCGCTGGTCTCCACTGAGAGAGGGAATACTGTGTTCTGGATCAGATGATGGGTGAGTGCAGACACAGAGAGGGAGGGGTAATGACGATGCTTCAAAATGTTTTTCTTTGATGAGATGAACCTTTAATGGGACAGTTCACTCCAAAACTAAATACACATATTTCCTCTTACCTGCAGTGCTGTTTATCAGTCTAGACTGTTTTGGTGTGAGATGCTGAGGGTCTCTTTCTTGTGAGCAGTTTCACCAACCGTATCACTGCGCAGAAGGACGTTTGCATCTACTCACGGACGAAAGGCTTGTGCTTGTGACAGCATGTAAACATTAATGGCATCCTCCTCTGAGCTGTAACATTAGCTAGCTCAGTGGTGCTAGGTGAGCTAGCAGTAGATGTACACTTTCTCTGCGTGGTGATACAATTTGCAGGTGTAGTTCAGTAGAGAAAAAATAGGTCCTATATGAAGCTGCTCATAACAAGGTCTGTGGATTATCTTGAGTAACCAGGTCATGATTTCTGTAATATGTATTTTTAAGGTGCTTCAAGGACCACAGTTCAAGTGCCATCTAGTTCCATTACATTAAATAGTGAGAGGGAATATAGGTGTTTTTATTTTGAGGTTAACTGTTCCTTTAAGTAATCATTTGACATTGAATATAAAAGAAACCCCTGTGTGTCTGTGTGTGCAGTACTGTTCGGATATGGGACTACACACAGGACGCGTGTATCAATGTGCTGAGTGGTCATACAGCTCCTGTCAGAGGCTTGATGTGGAACACAGAGGTTCCTTACCTCCTCATTTCAGGTAATGTCACTGAAAGTACTGTTTGATTTGTTGTGGTCGTCTTGGATTTGCGGAGACAGAAGTGACCATGTTCTAATGATAGAGTGGAGATAACCCTAACGATAGCTGCTAGCATGCTTAGCATGGTGTATTTACAGCTGTGGTTAACTGTGATAATATTAATGCTATTTTCGCTAGTGAAAAACAGCCTTAAAACCATTAAAATAAAATGTACTCACTGGAAAAACGGAACATCTGACTTTTTAGAGGCGACCATGCTCTTAATTATGCATAACTTTAAGCCTTAATAACATTTAAATAGGTGGGATAAATACAAATTCACCCCTTGCACAGTTGCCATGAATGTTGAAATAAGCTATAAACACCATAACTGTTTTTGTACCAGGCTGTAAACATGTTTATTTCTGCTGTAAAGTTCTGCACTTTAACATGGGGGTCTATGGGGATTGACTCGCTCTTGGAGCCAGCCTCAGTCGGCCATTTGAGTAAACACTGTTTTCATCACTTCTGTGTTGGCTTCATTTTTCAGCCCCAAAGGCTTCTGCTGGATTTCAACATATTGTTCTGCTCAGCATGTAAAACCTCTTACTGTCTAATCATAACCAGCATACTTTTATGGCAATAAATAATTATATATTGAGATTCTTTAGTGACATGACAGTTGTCACAATTTTAAGTTATACAGCAGAGGGACAGTGACCTCCATGTTTATGAGGACATGCTGATAGTATGTTTGAGGGTTTATTTTTGGAGTACCAACTGGTAAGCAAGTAGCTTTGCTGTCAAGAAACTTAGTAAGATTTTTGTCACAATGATCCAGGTTTAAAATACTCTGTTGTAACCTCTATAAAATATCATGTACGATTGACAGAGAAACAAGCAGTTGATGAAATGATTTAAAAGCAGCACTATTATGACCCCTACTTGCACCATTAGTAATGTTTAAGTTTCTGACAGTAAATGATGGCTCTTTACTATCCTCTGGTGGCCGTGACAGGAAACTACAACATTAGCAAATGTGTCCTCTGCAAACCTCTGTTTTTGGCAAATTATACATTGGAATTTCACTCACAAATTTCAGATTTACCACTTGTTACTTACAGCTCATATTGTGCTGCTGAGATAACCTGCAACTTCATATCTTAACAATATTTTCTATATTGTTTTACCCGGTTTTAACACATCAGTCCACACATGTACTGAGAACAAAATAACTCAAGTGACATGGTGCTCAAACTAGCAGCAAAAGATGAAGTTACTGGCCTCACATTCAGAGTTTCATTATGTGTTTACCTCCTGTAAAAACTGAGAAATGGATGGTGAGACAAGGCACAATGAGAGGATGTCTTGATGTCTGTAAAATGTTGGTCATTGTGATGCTTCAGTCAGCAGACATTTCTTCTGTTGCACCAGCAATAAATAGCTTACATGGCTAATGTTACCGATAACAAAGGTAATTTACCTTTCCAACAAATGAAATATAATCTCTGCATTAGATGTTGAAAAATTTTCATTGTTCATTTGAAGCTCATTCTATGATTTTAAACCGTGCCTGTTTAAAATCTCTGCAGCCATTTAGCTGACAGATGAGCGATTGCTGCAAGTAGTAGGCTAAATTGTAAAATATTGTATTATTTTGTAGGTTCTTGGGACTATACAATCAGAGTGTGGGACACAAGAGATGGCACATGTCTGGATACAGTCTATGACCACGGAGCTGATGTCTACGGTAAGACTGAACCATAGGTGGAAAAATCTGTTAGACTATTAATACTGCAGATACATAATGTGTGTGTCAAGTACATATTGGATTTAGGATCACAGAATTTTAAAGCTAAGCTCTCTACCACCACCGCACTGCCCCACCATTTCTATCATGACATTAATAAACTGTGTCTGTAGGTTTAACATGTCACCAGAATCGTCCGTTCACCATGGCGAGCTGTAGCAGAGACAGCACGGTGAGGCTGTGGTCTCTCACGCCGCTCATCTCTCCACTGCTGCTGAACATCCTCACCAACCAGCCTTGGGAAAAGATAATAGGAAACACAGGTAGGAACAGACTCGTGCTCTGCTCTGTTTCATGGTGTTCTGTTCTAAAACCTCCTGTAACCATGCTGGTTGTGTGTGTCTGCAGACACAGCTATGGTTCCTGGCTCACCGCCACTGCTCTGTGGTAAAGTGTCTCGAGACATCAAGCAGGAGTTGGATAAACTGAGCTGTGACATCAGGGCCAAGAAGCTCCGCTGGTTCTCTGAGTGCTTTTCGGTAGTTATACGCTAAATGCTTATTTATTATTGGTGATGATATGTGATGATGTGGCACCTAAATCAGTGTGCAGCCCAGTCACCAGAAGAAATGTTGGCATTCAACATTACTGCAAGTCATGAATACGCTACATGTTTATGTTTCATACATGTCATACCAACATTTCCAGTGACATAGTATATGAGTTGACTTTATCAATGGGAGGTAAAGGGGATGGTTGATGGTGTCACACCTATGTGAGATGGGTGACAAGCTGCAAACCACTGTTAGAGACCAAGAAAAAACAAAACAGTTTTCTTTAGGGAGTCATCACTGTGTTTTCAGTGGATTTTTAGCCCCAAGATCTGGGTGTTTTTTAGCAACCTGTTGCTGATTTTCCTGCCAGGATAGTGCTGCGAAAAGCATTTGAGACAATACTGGGTTTCCAACAGTGTTTGAATCGCCTCGATTTGGTAATGCCGCTCAGCCACCCGTCAGCAGTCGCCTGGCCGTTCACACCAGAGGCACATTTCTCCGCACTGATCAGCAAGTGATTCTTCTCTCTGCGGTTTATATCACATGTAGAGCTCTCTGTCTGCTTGTGTGTGTGTGTGTGTTTGGCTCTGCTCTTCTCTTTGCCTCTCTGTTTAGACACGACTGACAAATAAGTGGAAGGATGGGGCTCATATTCTATCATTCATCATTGTCAGATTATTTATAGAATATTTAATATACACTTTATATCGTTTCCAATACACTTTCAGTGTGTTTTATTGCTAGATTCACTCACAGCTCACGGCTTGCGGAAAACATAGACCAGACGCTGAAATTACCACTACATATTGCGAGCCTGCCTGGGCGCTCAGCACCGCGCTGCATGCAGTGTGAATTGCCCAGTCGGTTAACATGGACACAGAGAGCAAGCAAACAGCGCTCTATTGAAAATCTGCACACTTTGTGGTGTCTCTGCGTGCAGTGTGAACCCAAATATAAAGGAGACGCCTGCTAAGCTGCATACCACTTCAGAACATTGATTGAAACCAACAAACAATGAAACCACATGTTTTCTGCCACATGTTTCCACCTGGACTTTTGCCACCAAACCAGGTATTTAAAGCCAAAACATTATCTTTTTCCAACCATAACCAAGTGGTTTTTGTGGCTAAACATAAACACACATGAACTACAGCGTTCTTGAAATGTAAAGCTTCAACATATCCGCTACATCATAACATACAAATATTACATATCTGTAGTTTGCAGAAACGTAAAATGCTAACATTTATTCTGGTGATTTGGTTACATATTCTGTGCCCAAGTGATATTGCATATATTCAAGACTATTTGGGGCATTGAAGTGTAGACCATGTAGTTTCCATAGCTCCTGCTCTGGTTTTGTCTCCCTCCTCTGGCCTTTATGTGCTATTTCAGGCTTGTATTTAAAAATCACTTTGCAGATATATGTCATGGATCAACAATATTCACAAAAGCTTGTAAAAGGTTACATGTATTTGATGTAACAGTGAAGAGCAGCTGTCTTTATGTTTTCATGTGAGGAGCTTTCATAGCTAAGAACAAACTATCTTCATATAGACTGTGCCCATAAACATTGAGAGGTGATGTCACACACTGCTCAGGTCCTCGGTTTTAACCAGGAGTGTAGCTGTGTTGATTCTGCATGAGGCTCATTTCACTGTTTGACTTTGATATACAGTTGGAAGGTGAGTCAACAAGAGGCTCTCTCCTGCACATCCTTTATTCAGTGTTTACTCAAGAAAATCAAACAGAGATTAGAAAAAGACCTTAATATAGCTTCTCTTTACTGAAACAACATGGAACGAGAGGCCCACCTTTTATTTTTGTTGAGATTAAAAGTAATTTAAAATGCCTTTAACAGGCTGCAGAATGTAGAGTCAACCTAACAGGTTCAACTTGTGCCTCACAGAACACAGCAGCAGACATATTTTGAACTGAACATATTTTTGCATGCTGCATGTGTGTCTCTGTGTTTCTGAACATATATGTGTGTGTACTGTATCCAGCCTCCAGGAGGCAGCAGTAACCTGTGGGACTTGGTATCAGTCATTAACGGCCAGGATGACTCGCTGCTACCAGCCAGCTACAGCAAGGGAGTGATGCACATGAAGCACCTGCTCAAGTTTAAAACGGTGAGTATCTGTAATTCTCCGAGTCACTGTTTGAATAGGAAGGTCACCATGTGTGCAGGAACCCAGAGAGGCCTGGATGAGGGCTTCAGTTAAGGAGATGTAAATAAATACAGTAATTTCTGCTGCTAAATATGGAAATAGGCACTCTGTAAACAATAAGTTAATAACAAGCTCCTTGCTGTACAAACAGCTGCAACAACACACACATAAAAAGATCTAGACACATCAAAATGCCTGAGCACAATGATCATGTGTCTGTAAATATGATGGAAAGGATCCCAACAGAGGTCGACCTCATTGCAAGGTGTGAGATCATTTTTTGTTAACTAGAAACAGCCCTGAAATCACTTTTTTTCTAAACACACACGGTTATTTTAGTGTGGATAGAGGCAGAATATTTTCACACCTAACTGGGTGAATTAAGGATTTATATAAACCAAACGAGAGTTGGTGATTGTTGGAACAGTGGCGAGACGAACCAATGCAGCTCTTTGAGTTTTATTTTCTTTCTGTTGGCTTTGAATGAAGTGTGTTTTACAATGATTAAATTGCTGTTTATTTAAATGGAGTCTGGTGGGTTTGATGATAGTGATTTTGGGGCTGCAGGGATCCTTTCCATAATATTGTCAGTCACTAATAATCTGAGTCTGTCAGTGGCAAAAACAAGTGCTTTTAGTGGATGTACATTAACGGTGCTCAGTTTTACTAGAATAAATATCCTGACTTCTCACAGGTGATCTTTATTTACAATCATTCAAACCTGCTTGTTTTGTACTACCTACCCAACAACTGCAGATAAACTAGCTAATCCTTATCTTATTATTTCATTTACAGACCATGAGTCATAATTATTTCCCCACTATTTTAAGATTTCCTCTGTGTAATTTCACCAAAGTCCATTTAATATGTTATTTTCTCTCAGTCTGAGGCCCAGGAGCTCACCATTGTCAAGATGTCTAAATTTGGAGGCGGTATTGGAGCTCCCAGTAAAGAGGAGAGGCTGAAAGAAGCAGCAGACATCCATCTGAGACTGGGACAGATTCAGCGATACTGTGAATTAATGGTGGAGCTGGGACAGGTATGGAGGTTTTAGTATTCAACATGTTTTTTTAATCATTGGCTGGCTCCACCTTAGTCCTTTTTTATCCTTTTATACCATGTCAAATGCAAAGTTTATTACACTAAAATCAAAGGACCTAAACCAAGCAAAGTTTTCTAGGTGTTATCAAAACACAATGTCACTGATATCTATAAACCCAGTGAAAACAGTATAATGCTTTGCTTGTCAGGGTGAAAGCCCAAAAGCTACTGTCTGTTCATAGCTTGAAGTATATTTGGTCACAGCTACTGTAATGACTCTGTTTCTGTTGTCAGAAAAAGACAGAAATGAAAAGAAAGACAGTGGGTATATTGCCAATGTAACTTAAACCAATGGAAAGTGAGCATTATTATCTCTCTTACAGTGGGAGAAAGCATTATCTGTGGCACCAGGAGTCTCCATGAAGTACTGGAAGAAACTCATGCAGAGGTAAACCATCTTTAAAGTTTGTTTTCTCAGCGAAGAACTGCTAGGATAATTGTTAAAAATGTTCGCTCCCGAAAATAAGGTGCTGTCTCAGCGTGTCACAGATGTGATTGAACCCAAATGCAGCACTCAGAGGCAGACAGTTGGTAATGACCTTTATTTAAACACAGATTTACCAGAAACTTGAGGTGACGGGAGATATTCATTCTTCAGGGCTCCGAGCTCACACACAGTCTTTAGGTACAGGGGCCAGGGAGTGGACTGGGCAGAGCAGTTCAGTTGGGTAGCCGGCAGAGTTAATAAAGAGGGGCGTACGGATGGTGTAGTTTGAGGAGGGGAGGGATTCGGAACTAGGGGAGCAGTCCAGCGAAGCAGCAGAGCTGACGAGAGAGTCAGAAATTCGTGGTCAGGGACAGAAGGCTGGTGAGTTTGCCGGCAAACAGACAACGTAGACAGGTCAGGAACAAACAGGGTCGGTACTGGGGAATCAAGCCATGGATGAGTGCTGGAATGTATTGCATGGAGTTGAAGAACAATCTGGCACTGAGGGAAAGGCAGCAGCTGCTTATATGCAGGGAGAGCTGATGAGCACAGGTGAGTGGAGTTGTCTTGATGAGGGGGGCGTGGCTGTATCAGTGTGTGAAAAATAGTAATGCATATGAACAGAAATTGACAAAATATAAGCGCATTTCAAAATGTAGCCCTGTCTGTGTGTTCTGGCCTCATGTCCACATGCAAACTGCATTTTAGATCACTGAAAATGGATCATTGGTAAAACTACAGGTTGAAGATTTTTAGCTCCTTTGTGAGGCTTCACAGATGAGCAACATCTTGTGCAATGGTGGACGTGACCAAAATAGTGCCTGTTGTAACCTTGTTAACATGACTTTTTACACGTTTACATATACATGTCGGTTACTCTTTCACTATATTAAGAAGCAGAGGCGTCAGATTGTGCTAAGGAGGTCACTGCTTCAGTTAGCTTTCTGCTTCATGTCAGGCTTCAGTTTCACCAGCATCTCCTCCTTCTTCTTCTTCTTTGCATGGCTTTAGGGTTAGGGTATATCACTGCTTGATGGTTTGACATGCTTTTGACAGTGCTTCAATTGTATTTTCCATTTATTTTGATATGACATAGATTTTTTATAACAGTACATGTGTGGACAGATATTCTTTTATAAATGACGGACGGAAAAACACAACTTTCAGAAATACTTGGACAATACATCCATGGGTATGGACTGGGTCTGAGGCTGTAATGTGGAATAATCAGGGAAAGCATTTTTTAATTACAATGAATAATTAACAACACTAATGATGGCTCTGTTCCATTTGGTGTTCAGTAAGCAGAGCCAGTCAGCCAGCATGTACAACACCAGGGCCCTGAAACTGGCACACTTAACTAGACTGCAGCTATGATTAATGTTATCATTTACACCTGTTCTTTTCCTGCTATAACATGTAAACATGTCTGATTTGATAAAATGTCTATTGCGTTCACCCCCTGCATGCTTCATGAATTTAGTAGAGCTTATGTTTGTTTTCACCACATTTTTTTTTCAGTCATAATTCTGAATCTAAATCTAAATCTCCTGTTTGTGCACATTAACATGTTCCCCCAGGACTCTGTTTGCTCTGAAGAAATAACACAGATCTTGTGTGGCAAGGACAACTCAGAATATGCTTTGTAGCACGAAAGGGAAAAGAGGGTGATAACAAAAACGGCTGCTGATTATGCAGCAAATTAGGAAATGTGTCAGCCTTGTGAGTCTGGCGACCTGTCCAGGATGTACCCTGACGACCCTGAAAAGGTTAAGTGGTTACGGATAATGAATAGATGAAAGAATACATCAGTAAATGTCAAAAAAAGACAACACAGAACATGTGTGCTGCAAATGATTTAGAGCTGAATTTTTTTAGCTTGATTTTAAGGGTGCTAATTGATTTTCTCCTCTTAATTTTACCAATATTGATATATGTTACAGGAGAGCTGACCAGCTGATGGCCGAGGATAATGAAGATGCCATCCCATACTGCGTCGCCACAGGAGACATAAAGAAACTTGTGACTTTCTTCACTGGCAGAGGACAACTGCTAGAAGCCTTAATAATAGCACAGGTACAGAGAGGGGGATAAAGACACTGGTAATGAGACGACAGGAAACAGTATCTTTCCTTAGAGCTGCATGAATGGTAGATGTTGAATAAATGCTTACAGATGGGTGCATTAAGAAAAGGGGTGGATAAATAAATAATGGGAGACAAAGACAGAGAGGTAAGGAAGTACTAATGAATTGGATGGTTGTGACAATAAGACATAACAATATTCTTTATTTTTAGGGAGCGTGTGAGGGGAACATTCGTGCACCTCAAACCTCTCCAGTTAACCACAAGACTAATGATGTGGATAACAGACAACAATACCAGAGGTAAAACAAACACCAATGATAACATGCTGTTATTGATTTTAGTGATCCAAGTCTAATTTCCTCAGTCATATGCTCAGTACTTCCCAAACAGGAAGTGCTGTCTGCTGGGAATGTGAACTGGAAGTAAACTTATCTATGCCGTCCTCAAAGCCAGACTCCATTGACAAAAACACTAATTTTACCTTGCTGAACACGGGAGCTGCTGATCTACTGCTGCCTCGATCATTAGGTTTGTGTTTGTTATTGTGTGACTTTGGTGTTTTAAAGGGCCAGTGTGTAATATTTGGCATGGTTTATTGTCAATCTGAATCTGAATCTGAATATTCTACCCATTAATATGTTTATACAAGTGTATAATCGCTATAAAATAAAATTCGTTTGGTTTTCGTAGCCTTATAATTATGCTTTTATATAATATATATATATAGCAAGGGCCTTGCTTTAGAGAGGTCACCATCTTGCGCCGCCATGTATGTAAGGCAGCCCGAGCGGACAATCCAGCCAGCCAGAGAATGCGTTTCGCGTGTATAAATAAACCAACGAAGACAGCGGAAGGAAGGAAGAAGGAGGAGGAAACAGCAGAGAGTGTTAGTAGTTCGTCGATAGAGAGTAGTGAAAAGTTTTTTTAGTTATAAAGTTTGCGAATGGACCACACTTACCACGCAACAGGAGAGAATGAACCCGAACCGTCATCTGCGAGGAAAAGAAGACGCAACTTCACTCCTTGTGATGCACTCTCTGCGGCGCTTTTCCTCCTGATGATATATCTCCCCAACGATGGTAGCAGTAGCACCGAATCCCATTCTGTGCATTCAGCCTCTCTTCTCGCCCGCTCAGCATCAAACACATGGAGTTCCTCATCTGTATGCTCCGGCTCAAACAGGTATGGCTCTGGGTCTGTGTCCGCTACAAGAAACTCTTCAAAATCGCGTTCAAAGTCGTCCATTGCAGCTACTATAGTCCGGAGATATTGCTAGGCTAAATAAACAGCTGAGCTCTGTTTACCGGCTACGCTGTCAGTCAGTGTGCGGGCTGGAGATTGGTGGAGCAGAGAGGGGAGGGGGTCCCCACTTGGTATGGTAAACGAGTATGTGTGTATGAAGTGTGTGTGTTACGCTAGAAGAGTCAGAGTTTGGGACGGAGTCTTTTACCCCCTGGAGTGTTACCGGAGTTTTTGGAGTGCTCAAATAAACTGGCCTTTTTCCCGAACGCTCCTCTGGTCTCCTGCTCGTGAGGGATTCATTACAATATCGTAACATGGTTTAGATTTCTAAATAAACATTCACCTCGTCGCTAGATAGACCTACTCCTGAAAAACTCGTGCGCAAGGCTTTTTGTCCCTACGAGGCCACCGTCAGTTACCCGACGGGAGGGGTGAGCGAGTGAGCCCTGCAATCTAGAATTTGGCCACTGATGTCACTGTTTTCAACCCATTTTACACACTGGCCCTTTAAAAGGTTAGTTTGGATTCACCAAACTCACACAATGGCACTAAAGAACTACAGATAGAGGCAGTGATAGCCCAACAGCTCCAGTGTTCAGCAAGGTAAAATTACTGTTTTTATCAATGGAGTCTGGCTGAAGAGACAAGTTGATAAGAGATAAGTTCCACTTTCTGTTCAGTTTCCCATCAGAAGACTGTCTGTTTGGGAAGTGCTGATCATATGACGAGATAAACGAGACTTAGTTTATACCGCACAAGTTGTGTTTATCCTGGACCCAAAGCCAAAAGACTCCATTTAAATAAACAGTATTTAAGTATGTATAGAGCAGCATATTTTCAACTGTAACTGGGTGAATTAAGGGTAAATACTAAAGTTACCCTTTAATCCCAGAACATTTGTCAGATGATAATCTGCTGGCTTTATTTGCCCTTTTCTGTCCAGTCTCCTCCATAAGGTTTGTGAGGAACTTGCTGAGTGGTACTTCCAGGACGGATGTTCTGTCCTGGCAGCATGCTGCCACCTAGCTGTGGACAACATCAAGGTACCCACCAGAGTCATATCATTATGAGTAACATACAGTATGTTTGCATTTGTTCATTTGTTTATATGGGCATTTTCTGAGAATGTCATGCAGTTTCATATGTCTCTCCTTTATTATAACTGATCAATGATGAGAATAAGAAATCTTATTTAAATTGGCTAAAATGTGTGTGTATGTGTTTGTTTTTAGTTAGCCATGTCGAGCCAAATCCGAGGTAATGAGCTGGAGTTGGCTGCATGTGTGGGTATCGTCCTCGGAGAGGCAGCCAGTGAGAGCACTGCATACTGTCTTGAACTCTTGGCCAGGAAGTACATGACAACACCCACATGGTATTTCACCATTCACACACGTCCAGTGACAGTGTAACCTCTGTTATTCTTCTGTAAACCTTAGAAGTAATCCAAACTATCAGTTTTGGCTTTTTGGTTTGGTGTTCAATAATGAAATTTGAACAAAATGGTTTATGTTTCACTTCCCATCATGACACATGTCCCTGATTGTGAAGGTTATGCACTGAAACCCTAGTTCTCACCTCTCACCTCTGTGAAGCAGGGCACTGAGTTTTGAAGACAGTACATAGACGACCAGTAGCGAATACTGCCAAACTGTTTTTACTTTATAAATCAGCCAAAAGTCCCCTTTGCATTTATCAATATTAGTGACTGTAGACAGGCAGGGAGCTATAGTTACACACACACCTAGATTGGCTGCTAGTAAGGTATAGTTCATGCAAAGCAGAACGTTTATCTCTACCGTTTTTACCTTTAGGGAACTCTCAGCTGACCTTCTGCGAATGATCCCTGACAACCACATTTTACTGGCTAAGCTGTGTGCATTTTACCCAGGAAGTGCCGATGAGATCAACCAGTTTCATGGAAGGGTGAGTAAGCAATTACTAAAGCTGACTTAGGAAGAAAACTAGGAAAAAAATGGCAGAATTTGAAAACACACCATCCTCCTGCAGCTCTCATCTCTCTGTCCTAAGCCCCTCCCACCACAAGGACACAGGCGTAAAAGGAATATTATCAGACTCTCTTTTTGATAAGTCCAGCTTCCTTTATTTGGTTGCTTTGCAGTATAGGATTCCCTGCCATTGAATCAGGCTTTCACTGACGTGATGTGCATCTGCATTTGAAAAACAGCCAACAGGAACACCCTCTCTCTGAAATGACCTGTGATTTGCCAAAGTATCCCATCACTGACTAGTTTCCCCTCAGTCCACTTGATTTACAATATGCTCAAACATTATTATAGGTTTTTTGATCAGAGAGGCCAGAAATAAAACTGCCTACCCCAGCTTTAAGTTAAATCTAAGACATGTTTTTGGATGAAGCCAAATCAAGGCTCCATATCTGATGCTGATGATCTCATGAACATTTATGATGATTATAGTGACTACGATTATGTGTTGTTTGTCATTCAAGTGCGGTCTCCCTTCATTAGAGGAATGTAAGGCCTTGGCAGAAGCAGCCATGTCTGAAGGAGATTTGTTTTTAGCAGTTAAGTTCCACCTGCTGAGCTCTGAACCTGAGAACGCCCTGTCTATCGGGCTAGAGCACGTCAAAGGTATTGACAACTCAGTTTTATCGTGTTTCATTGTTTTTCCAGTTCTGTTATCCCATTTCATTCTGTAAAACTGTATTTTAGATATTTTTAAATCAACATTAAACTGCATTCATAACTAAAATAAGCTATTCCATGGTTGTCCCACAGTTTAGTGTAGTTATAAGTGTAATTTATAAATGACCAGTTCCCAAACCAACTTTTGTGAAGACCCTTAAAATCTGCACTTTCCAGTTGATTTGGTGTAAAACACAGTGAATGTATGCCTTTATGGAGCACTAATTACCGGTAATCAGAAACCCTTATTAATTTTCCTCCCCACCAGAACAGCTGACTGGATCTGATTGGACGGTGGATAGTGTTCAGCCAATCCTGGACCTGATGAGTTACATCAGAACGGACTGCATCATCACGACCAAGCAGACTGAGTAAGACATTTTTTTAACTTCAACATTAGTATTAATAGTTATTATTTGAATTATTTTCCATTATGTGTTACTTCGTATACATTGTCAGACTGATCACTAATCAGGTGTGCGTGTGTGTGTGTGTGCAGAGGCCGCAGTGAGCTGTTGATCCTGTGCGGTTATATTGGAGGTCTGCTGGCCATCAGAAGACAGTACTCCAGCATTGTACCTGCACTCTACGAATACACCAGGTAGACACCAACTCTGTGTGTGTGTGTGCACAGGTGTTAAAAACTCTTTATTTAATCTTTGAAAAACAAAACTTTGGTGGTGTTCTGCATGTGTCAAAAAGGTGTGGAGCTGCTTAAAAATATTTCCAACGCATAAGTTTCCTATCTGATTCATCAACTGTGATTATTTACCTGAGGTGTACCCAGTTTTCACCCTGACAACTTTTAACGTCATGAAGTGACATCTGTACTCTCAGTATTAAACCTTTATTTTACTTCTTGTTATCCTCTACGATTGGCTGTAGCTCTGTTTGGTGTAACACTCTGACAGTTCCCTCCTTATTTCTGTTCAATCATTCATTTTCTGTAACTGCTTATCCTGTTAGCGGTTGCTAGGGGGGCTGGAGCCTATCCCAGCTGACATTGGGACAGATCACTAGACTATCACAAGGCAGACACATAGAGACAGACAACTATTCACCCTCACTTTCACACTTACGAGCAATTTTGAGTCACCAGTTAACCTGCATGTCTTTGGACTGTGGGAGGAAGCTGGAGTACCCAGCGAAAAGCCACGCTGACATGGGGAGAATATGCAAACTCCCCACTCCATGGTTCAAACCTTCACCCCAAGTTCAAACCTGGAACTCTCTCCCTGTGACGTGATAATGCTAACCACTGCACCACTGTGCCGCCATGATCATTACTAAATTTTGTGAAATAAGTCACGAGTCTTCATGAACATGTTTAACAAAGTTTAAGGATTTAACTAAAGTAAAGCAGGTGGGGTGCTTTGAAAAATAAAGGAGTAAACAGCAATAATGTGTTTTGCAGTGATGATCTGATGCCTGGTGTCGAGCTGCATATTCTGTATTTCATAAATAATTGCAATAATCAGGCTGAAATTGGATTAACAATTTGTCTGTCAGTCTGACTGCCATGTTCTTCATTCTGTTTCCCAGTCAGTTGTTGAAGCGGCGGGAGGTGTGTGTTCCTCTGAAGATTGAGCAGCTGTCTGTGGAGCTGGATGCCTGGCGGGCGTGCACACAAAGTAACAGCAAGTAGGTTACACGTACACACACACACACACAAAGACAATGGTATTGAATTTAATTGAATGTTATTAATAACACTATGAAGTACCAAATTGTGAAGGCGTACAAATTAACACCAATTAGATCAAGTGTTATCAGAGGCTTTAAGGGAGGATGGTGAAGGATGGGAACACTGAGGAGGCTGTCAGTCATGACTCAGTATTATAATCATGCCTCGTCTCAGCTGCCCAGTGGAGCTAAAAGCTAAGGCTACGATGAATCCCGTTACCAAGGCAACACAAGAGAGGAGGGACTTGAGATACATGAAGAGCAGCTGAATCACCTCTGGGGAGAGAGATGTGTTGTCCTGAGTGATGACAAAGACGGTTAGGTTGCTGCTGACTGACAGATCTGGTGACTGAAGATAAACATGTTTCTGAGGTGTCAGGGACTCCTCAACACAGGGACACAGTATCGAGCCTCATGGTAACTGCACCATGGAGGAGCTCACAGTGCTGCACAGCTTTGTTAAATTCAATGAAGTCACAGAAGCTAGAGCATCTTGACAGACTACTATCAGACTTCATTGGGTTTGTGTGTAGGATGACTTCAGTTAGCCTGGAGGCCTTGTATATATGATGTCAGACAAATAAGGCAGAGGGTGGCAGCAACATTGTGGCTGCGTTCAGACGCCACTGATGCAAAAGTGGCCACATTGAAATAGGTAAAGAGGAAGAATGTTGATCTGTACATCTATAGTCAGAGAAGTATAGCACAGGGATGCTCAACTTGCTTTACCCAGGGGCCACTTTTGAAAAAATGACAGGAAGCCAGGGGCCAGTTTTTAGCATTTGAGGACACTTGAGACTTAGCCCGCACTTCTGTTGGGGGAACCTACCCTGACACTTATTTCTTGATAAACAGGCTCTATTTTGAGCGTTTTTAATGTTATTTTGCACACTGAGGTTTTTTTTCATCCGAGAAAAATCGTTACGCATAGAAACCTTGCAAACTGTTCCCGATGTGTGTCCTGTTGCCACATTTTCTTCACTGATTCTTGGGCAAATGTCTCTAAAGGCTTCTGACAGATACCAAAAATGCAGAAAATCTAACCTGTTCCGAAAAATTTTATAACGGACTAAAGTTTTGGATGAAAAACAGACTGGAACCTCTCAGTTCACTTTTAATTTCCAACGGGTGTCATCAGCAGCCATAGATCCAAATGCCTCTGGATGCAATAGGATAAACCAACAACCAGTCAGACAACTGGAAACAGACTACAGCGTGCAGAGGTGAGCTGTGATAGTGTAGTATCAATATGTCCAACGAGTGTTGCCAACTTTGCCATCAGAATTGAAAACTAGCACTTGAACATAAAGTTCCACCATCAGCTGCAGCCATCTTGGTTGTTTTCACACACTGTGATGACACAGAGCTGGTTAAAAATTGCAAGGTTTACCTTGAGCGTGAAGGCTCTGCCAGTTATCAGTCACTATATAGAACATACCTGTATTAGATAGACGGCTGTGATAGGCCAGTTTTGGGCCTGGTTGGCTGGAAATCTGTTTGAACAGGAGAGGGTGCAGATGTATCTGCCAGAGAAAATAAAGCAAGGCTACTATTTTGATGCTTCTTAATGCACTATGGCACCATATATGCAAAAAATCCAGTCTGGATCAATTTAATATCTCTGTGGGTCCCCCGGCACCTACTGGGTTGTAAGTTGATTATCACTGACACTGAGGATTGCCCATTGAATTAATGGAACCAGAGATGTATGAGTTATTATTGCCTCCACCTTACCCTCTGGATGTTTTGTTCTGAGTGGGAAAATGTCAGTCACACATTAAATATAGATCTACTCATGTTCATACTACCATATGTTTAAAGTCACTGGCAGGTGACTGTTGTTATCACTATAATACCTCTACACTGCTTATGTGCATGAACCCAGCTTCACAACTGTGTCTCTGTCTGTGTTTTCAACAGTCCTCCATCAGAGAGTCAAAGGGAAGAGTTCAGCATCCTCGAGAGGAGAATCCAGCCAACAGATTCAGGTATAAAAACGGTTCTTGACATAGTTTATCAGAGAGTTTATGGAAATAAAACACCACTCATATAAGATTTTGGTGTAGACCATTTTAGATCAGCAACATAAGCCCAAGACTAAGGTGTGTTGATGCTGGTAGTGGTCTGAGGGTGACAACAGCATCAAGAGTCTGGTCCTAACGGCTAAGGCAGTCTTTGTTAAGACCAGTCTTTAGAATGGACTTTACGTCGGTTGCATCAGCCAAATTGAACCTAGTCCTAACTAAGCCAAACTTTATGTGAATGCCACGTCAGTGTGTGTTGCTAGGATACAATATCATTGCTGTCTTGCTAATTTGTAGCTGATGCTAATCATTTCTAATTTGCAGCAATGTTATGGAGGGAAAAAAAAGGCAATTTCACAGACATTGAGATAAGAAGGTTAACAGAGCTGCTACCAGCACACCAATATGCAGACTGTCAAGCACCCAAACATTACAAGTAGTGAACTTGGAGAGAAATAACGGAGGCCATCAATAGTTGTTCAGAGTTGATCAGCGTTTGCTCGTGAAACAGTGTGAAGGAAAGTGGAAAGACCCCCTGAGCAAGGCAAAGAGAGACATTTCTGCGAAAAAATCCATCCAACTGGCAGGTTCCTCCCCTGAAACATCAATAACATCACTGTTGTTATTTTTGGGAAGGATTCACCTTTTTTTTTTTTACTGATTTGGTTGGTGCTGGTATGGACCAGCCACCGGGGGAGAGTGATGTCTCACAGATGGATGTGGTTCACATTATCAGTAGCAACAAGAGCAGTGACCTTACTGTGAATTGCGAAGGCTAAAGCCTACATGGTGCGAACCAGCGTAGATATTATGTTAGACTAAGTTCAAACCAATGTAGCTAAGGATCCGGTGCAGGCGCTGTGCAACCGGCCCCAGGAGCTGGAGTCAGAGACAGTTGCCGTTATTTCTATGAAACCTGATGATAGTGAATACATATTATGTGCAGTTGTTAACTGGTAAAACATATTTTCTCTCTCAGCTGCTTTAGTCTTGTGCGGTGCTGATTATGTGACAGGCTCCAACCTGCCGAGCCACTCAGATGTTCAACTGTCCTGTTTCACTGGACACAGAATACAGGTGAGTGCCTCTTTATTTTATTGGTGTGTTTGTATCTCCACCAATATGTCGTGAAAAACTTGTGACTTCTCTCATGTTTTCTTTTTTTATGTGCAGGGTCCAGTGTTTTTGCTGGAGGACGGTAAATCAGCGATCTCTCTTAATGATGCTTTAATGTGGGCAAAGGTCAACCCTTTCTCCCCTCTGGGAACAGGACTGCGCATCAACCCCTTCTAACACACACACACACGCACACACACACGCACACACACACACACACACACACACACACACACACACACACACACACACAAAGAGGACATACCAATTGACGAAACAAAGGGTTCACAGTTTGGAAGGAAGGAAGAAAAGTGACAACTGGACTGAAAACAACATTTCTGTGCTCCAGCTAACTGGCCAACTGTATTCCTTATATAACTTAAAAAGCCAATACAACAACACATCTCTGAATCGGAGGATGATTCAGTTTCAAACTCACTCATAGTAATGATAGATAATCATACTGGTTAGCTGTTATGTGATGAGAACTTATAGCCAACAGAATCATCATGCTTCAGTTGTGAAGGGGGATTCTTACTGAACGCCATGTAATTTATTCCCTCCTTTCTCCAGTTAACAACTTCTCAACATATGAGTATGTATATACAGGGTATAAATCTGAACTACTTTCTTCTATCGTTGTAAAAAAAAAAAAGAAATACTGAAATAAAGCAACCATTGCATATTTATACAAGACTTGTCCATGTTGTTTTAAAATCATATTTACATCAAAAATGAAATGTGTGTGAATGCTGACAGCTGAATAAAGTGCTGCTGAAAATGCAGAAATGTGAAAAGCATTGCCTGAAAAACATTAAAGCCCAACTGCATTGAACTGCACTGCTGAAAAACTCAGAAACTGAAACCAATCAGTGAATCCAGCAGAAGCAGAAGCAGAACTTTATTACCTAAAGAAGCTAAGAAATTAAATGCATCACTAGAAAAATGTCTAGCTAAACTGTTAGAAAGCTAAGTGCCAAGAGTGATACTGTCTACTGTTATTATACACATATGATTATTGTCACACATGCATACTATCAGATATTAATATATTATTATTAATTATAATATTATTACTTTCATTAATGTTGTTGTAAGCTACTGCCATTACCGTCTATCCTGCATCTCTCTCTGTTTCTCTCTCTTTCTGTCTCATTGTGTCATACGGTTTACTGTTAATTTATTATGTTGATCTGTTCTGTACAACATCTATTGCACGTCTGTCCGTCCTGGAAGAAGGATCCCTCCTCAGTTGCTCTTCCTGAGGTTTCTACCGTTTTTTTCCCCTGTTAAAGGGTTTTTTTGGGGAGTTTTTCCTGATCAGCTGTGAGGGTCATAAGGACAGAGGGATGTCGTATGCTGTAAAGCCCTGTGAGGCAAATTGTGATTTGTGATATTGGGCTTTATAAATAAAACTGATTGATTGATTGATTAATTAAAAGGCAGGAAGACAATATCGTTTGTATTTTAAAACGTGTTAAAGGTAGAAAAAAGTTGTTCTTAAGGAGCATAAAGTTTTGACATTTGAATGGTTTCTGTAGGTGAAAGCAAGCAGCAGTAGTCGTCTACGACCAAAGAGTGTATGGAAGAAGAATAATTAAGAGTCTCCTATATTTTGGGACTTTTATTTTGTAAATACATCCTACTTTGGGTGGTTCCCATGAGGTGTGGTGACATGTCTTTGGACTCTAACCACTGTGTCGCTGAGCATCTGAAAACGTCTGCAATTAGTATTTATGGTTGTTACACTGCTATGCTAAACCTGGCTCGTTAAACTGCATCAGCTAAGGCTAGCAAGCCTGTAACTTAGGGCCTATCCCTAAGTGTAGCATGAGATGTGAGAAATGTGCCTGGATTTCCCTGACTCACCACCAGGCCACCGCTCTTGCTCCTCGTGACCAGCTCCCTCTGACCAGACGATTCTGCTGGACACCCTTCAGGTGCTGTCAGACCAGTGTCTTTGTCACTGTTCAGAGTGAATGTGTAATTACATGGATAATTGGTGCGTGGCATGTCAAATGCTTTCTCAGTCTCTTTGTCTTCAGAATGTCCTGCCTACGGCATCTCCCTCTCCGCTCAGCTCAAAGGCCTCTCCAGCTCTCCCTCCAGGTGCAGCTAATAGCAGCTACCACCTGCCTAAACCACACCCACAAGACATTCATTAAACTACCAATGAAAGGTATCATAACAGTGGTAGTGATTGTGACGTCATGTCCAATAATGATCCATTTAAACCCTCTTTTACAGGAAATATTGATCATATTACTGCTATGAAAGAAGAAAATGGACGTGTCCTTTTCTTATGGCATTTGACAGTTCATATGGTTGTGATCAGACGGCCACACGGTGACGTCCACTCCACGTTCAAAGATTTGTCGGCCAATTACGGGACGGCCATTTTTTAAAAACATAAATACATGTTTATCCCATTCATGTATATTTACATGTAAATGATATTCCTGTCTCATTGTTGTAAGCCTGTGGTGTTTGTTAGAACCTAAACTCTTTATCCAAGCTGCTTTTGCACACACACATGAAAGAAGTTTTCCTTCAGGGTTTTCTGTCAGTGAGTCAGATGACATGGTATAAAGAGCGACAAAGCTGATGTAAGAGGGAGGATAGGTCACACACAAGACTTTCACCAGAATACAAGGGTTTAAGTTCTATGTGGGTCAACTTGGCCTTATCATTTTTAGACGTAGTTGACTTATTTTCATTTCATAGAATGTATACAGCTGCTGAGTGCACACTGTGTACTTAAACTTTAGCCGAGTAGAGAATGTGAGGTTGACGTCTCACCTTGTTAAATGTTTTGTACGGGCGTGCCATTTTGTGAGGATCGGCTGTTACCTGTGCCTGCTACAGTGGTAAAGCAACAGTATTTGGACAAAGTAATCACAGTAAACAACATCTAATTTTTGGACTGAGTGCATACACTTTGGTAGGAGAGATAACATGTGCATACCTCAGAAGATGGCGTGAGGTAGTTTCATGTATCAATAAATGAGCTCCATATCTCCCATATTAAACTATTCCATTATTTTTTATTTTTACACAAATCAAATAAAACAGCTGTTAAATAATAATTGTTACAGTTGTTGTGAAATAACACTGTTTAATCAAATAAGCTGCAATATCAGTCGTGCCTGAGGTTTGATGACACTTACGGTTATTTATATCCTGTAACACATAGAAAGCTTGATGAAAAAGACAGACCTGTAAATTTGGTTAGCACTGAGAACACTAGACTCTCTACTTTCAATTACCATCATTAGTATAATATTACTAACACAGGGTGAAGTCTGGTATGTTTGGACACTTTTTGGTAAATTTTATTTTTATTAAGTTCAGTCATTAATTTATTAAATCATAAATGTAACTTAGCTATTCATTGAAAAAAGATTGATCAACTTTAGATGGGGTCTAATCACCAAAGACTTTTCACATTTCTCATATTTGTGTGCAGATGTAAATAAATATTAATTTCCCTCAGAAGGAGTCTCTCCTGATTGACACATAGTTAGCAAGCTGATGCTTAGCTAACATTAGCTTCACAGCTAAGTAACTTTTTAACAAACTCGTTTTAGCAAATACATGAAAACAATAAAAGCCAGTCATTTTTTTTTTTTTGCTAATTCAAAATAAGCATAATTTTTTTTGACTTAACTTAAGACTTGTTAAGATTTGAAACTCAAAGTTTTGAACTTGAGACTTGTTAGTCTTGACTGGGACTTGAGTGCAAAGACTTGAGAATTACATGCGATCTGCAAAACAATGACTGGTCCCACCTCTGATTATAAGTCAGACAATTAATAAAATGCAACATCCTGCAAACATTTTCATTGCTATACTGTTTTAGCTGCAGCACTCTTGTTACCAAAAACTCAACATGCCACATGGTGTCACACCTTGCAAGATTTAGGGCGAGTGATTTTCTTTTTTTTTTTTTTTTGAGTCTTTGCTGTGCCCGTCTCAGACCAGTTGACATGATTGTTTCATGGAAAGCACATTAGTTGTAACGATGCAATAACATGTTCCGAGATTTACCGCTAATATTTAAAGAGCCCGAGATGTAAAACCTTATTTGTCCCAATTTACCTGACTTCACCCCTTATTAATCAGACATTAGAATATTACTGTTATTTACATAGCATTCATGTGTTCATTCAGACAGGCCTATATACACAATCAGGTCAGTTTCCCTGTAGAATCTGAATGATGCTCTGACACAGTTCTGATACAAAGTCCAGCAGCAGCCACGTGTCCTGAACCGGAGTCTGGTGTGTTAATTTCAGACAGGATAAAGCACTGCATGATTCTCCTCCTCAGCAGCAGCACAAGCAGTTCAGTGTAACAAGGCTCAAGCGGACAGAGGCTCATAGGTGTGGAAGTGGATTCCCTTGGAGCAGGTGATCTTCATCACCGCTCCGTGCAGACTGGTGTCCGTAATCAACCTCATCATGCCCTCCGCTATCAAGGATGGCCTGGAGATAATCGACACAGAGAGGAAATGGCAGATTAGACGAGATTAAAAGAAATAAGAGAAATAAAAGATAGAGACACACGCTCACACACATTCAGAGGATGGCTGATAATTAGTGATGTATTTTCTGTGCAGACCATCTTAAAAATATAAAAAATAAACCTTCTGTACTGCCCTCACTTAGAGAGGCCGTGTGTTTGTGTGGTGAGTGTGATCAGGAAGTCATCTAGCCTCAACTTCCTGTAACGCTAAACACTTCCCTCCTGCTGCTTGTCTCTGAACTGCAAAGTTTTCTGACATCAGATGGAGCGATAACAGCTCAGATCGATTCTTATCATTAACTGTAATGAACCCCCATAGTGAGCTGACGGAGGGCCTGTTGGCACATTACATCTGATCTTTCATAGCTGTCCTGGTATGTGAAGCACAAGAGCATTTATGTCTGCGCTTTGGTTCAGTCCCACTCAGAGCGGCTCCAAATAAACACTTGTCATGTTTCCTGAGAGATAAAGTGTCATTCAGCTGCCAAGTGGACTCTGGGCCACTTGTATGAAATAAGAATGTAATCAGAACGCAGACAGAAACAGGCCAGAAAGAGGCTGAGTGGCTCTGAGTGTTTTCAGCACCGTACATTTTAACTGTAGCTGTTTGGAGAGAGCCAAATGGCAAATCACTTCACAAATAGAAAATCACCACATCTCACGTATGAAGTGGAAAGTGTCATTTGTCAGTACATTAGTAGATACGGCTCAACAGTTTGTTCAACGTCTCCTGAGTGTAACACATGTGCACAGTGTCCAAACTGTACCTTGGCTTTCAGGGAGATTTTTTGTTGACATGGCAACCGCCTGAATGTGCCTCAAAGTGAGACTGCAAGCCTCTCAAGCTGCAAGTTTACAAACCCTTTTCTTTTTTTAAGGTTATTTTTTCAGGGGCTTTATTACAGGACAGCAGGAAAGAGACAGAGAGAATGGGGATGACATGCATGAAATGGACTTTACGTGGCATAAACTCTACCTGTTGAGCGAGAAGACGCCCCACTTAGACCTTTTTTCTGATACTTGTGTTATTGTGAGTGATGTTTCTGATATAGCAATGCCACACTATAATGGTGATGGCAAAAATAGCATGCCAGTATCTTTACTAACCCTTTGAAACCTGAGCAAACTGGCTTGATTTCTTTTAAAAATGTGGGAAGAAGGTAATGACCCCAAAAAATAGCAAGAAATCAGTAAAAAGGGAAAATTAAAAACAAAAAAAAAATAGTAAAAAAAACAAAAAAAAGTTAACAACAAACAAACAAATAAATGACCTGGAAAGAGTGATTAAAAATTACAATAACTATTATCATTATTATTATTATTATTACTACTACTACAAATAAAGTTTTCGCTGGCTTTTTTCTTTTCCCCCTATTTTTTAAATAATTTTCTAAATTATTATTATTATTTTATTATTATTTATTTTTATTTTTTGCAATTTGTGGGACATTTCTTCCCAAGTTGCTCACTGGCTTTTTTTCCCCCATGTTTTTTTTTTTTTTAAAGGAATCACACTAATTTGCTCAGGTTTCAAAAGTTTAAATAATTGCAAAATGTGTCTCAAAGCAGCACAAGAAAAGTGATATTGCTCCAGGTTTCAAAGGGTTAATGCAATGAATCACCGTCATACATGAATCATAAATAAGTAGTCTAATTTTGTGCATGATTCATGATAACAAAGGTCAGCAATATAGCAATGAATGGCAAAAATTACAACATGTCAACCTTTTAGACAGCCTCCAGAATTTTGCAAACCATGTTAGTGAGGGAAGCTTGTGTCTTACACACTAACCACAAACCCTTAACGCAAACCAGCAAGACATTGTACATCTCTTGCAAAAGCAAACAGTTCTTGCAAAACTCTTAAATTCTTTTTCTTGGTTTTGTCTCTACAGTTCACACGTATTCGTTGCTTCATGAGCTTACTCAAATGATGGTTTGCTTTTGCATGAGATGGTTTGCTGGTTTGGTGTTTTAAACGGCCCTCAGTTTGTCTGTCAAAATATACTATATGACGCCTGCCACACTATGTTGGAACTACGCAGGGGGAACACCACCCACAAACAGAACAGTTACCTAACAGCAGATATCTTCTGCTACAGCATAAGCGCAAAGGCAACTAGGAACGTCACCTTTAGTGAGCAGTGGAAAGTTGAGTACTTTCTCACTGAAAGATAAACAGTTGCGTTTGTATGTTTTTAATAACCCATATGACATGAGAAGCAGCTCATCCCAAGAGACCTTCACATTATCATTTCACACTATCTTATCTGGGCTGCATTTAAAAAAAAAAAAATGGACTTGATGGTGTAACGTTTTGAGATTAGTGTGTTTTGTTTTTCAAAATGATCTTGCAGTTTCAAAGATAGTATCTAAGCAATGAGAAAAAAACTGTAAATATTTTCTAACAACAGAATGTATCCAGTTATGATTCAGAGTGTTATCTGCACTCAGTAACATTTCACATCTCCCTGTTTCATGAAGAGTATTTACATTTTCTCAAAACAAGTTTATCCCATTAAGCTACGTTACCTACCTGTGCTTCAGTTTGGTGTTTACAGGTGTTTAAAAAAATTCTAAAAATTGTCTTAAATATTCTAATCTTACTATTGTGAAGCTTGGCTGCAAACAAAATTTCTCAATTAAAGACATTAAGCCCAACTAAGCTGTAAATTCAGATTCAGATTCAGATTCAGAATACTTTATTAATCCCCGGGGGGAAATTGTTTTTGTTCCAATGCTCCGTGCAAAGTAGAAATAGAAATACAGCATGAATGGAAACAAGAGACAAAGATGAAGATATAAATAAGATACTAAAATAGACAATGAAATAAATAAAATAAAATATTAAAGTAGACATTAAAATAAAATAAAATAAAATATTAAAGTAGACATTAAAATAAAATAAAATAAATAATAAAATAGTAAAGTAGACAATCTGAAATATATACAATATACAATGAAATGGTTGTAGCGTTATAAATGAAATAAGAATGAGTAATTATATTGTGTGTTTTGTTTTATAAATAGCCAAATGAGTCCGATCATCAGAGGGAGGAGTTAATGTTAATGATTTTGTTTAATGATTTTGGCTGATTTAAACTTTGTGTCATCCATTAAACTGAGAATTACAAGTTCCAAACATTCTCCTTTGCTCAAGAGTAAACCCCAACATTTATCAATTTCTTGTAAATGTTTTACCCTCAATCAGATGTCTCCTGGCAGCTGGAGATAATCTGTCCAACCATCAACACTCAGGCTGCACTTCCAGGAACCAGTGCTAGACTTCATCATGTTTACTCAACTCAGCTCTCACTCAGCTCAAATTTATTTACAACTCAGGTTGAAATGCTGTACAAAAGGAATAAAATGCTATGAGAGGCACCATAACTGTCGGGCACACAGCACCAACATTTAGAGACACAACACACACAGGCACGCGTCAGAGAAAACCACATCAGGGGGACTCAAACACTAATGAATGAAAGTAAGTTTTGAGCCTGGACTTAAACAAGTCAGTGCTGGGGGCGGCACTGATTGGGAGGGGGATGCTGTTCCACAGTTTGGGGACAGACACAGCAAAAGCACGACCACCCCTGAGCTTGAATCTAGAGCGTGGGACTAAGAATGAAAATGACTGATTACTACAAGATAATTTAAACCTTTGCTGTCTCAAAAAACATATTAATAAAAATGCTAAATGGACCTGCACTTGTATCGCGCCTTATTAGTCGTCTGACCACTCAAAGCACTTTTTACACTTCGAGTCATGTTCACCCATTCACACACTGGTGGCTGAGGCTTCCGTACAAGGTGCCACCTGCTACACAGCTTTTAAAACACTCACACACTAATGGAACAGCCGTCACGAGCAATATGAGGTTCAGTATCTTGCTCAAGGATGTTTCCAGGGATCAAACTCTTGATCGTCCAACTAGTAGACAACCTGCTCTATCTCCTGAGCCACAACCACCCTGAAGTGTATATTAATGTTCACAAAAGCTGCAGGAAGTTAGTTTCCACTTGCATATCTCAACAATAAATTCACTGTATGCTGCATATGTGAAACTGATCTCAGATAAATGGATCAGCTTCACAAAGAAGGAGAATTTTAATGACAACGGTGACACTTGTGTGAGCTAACTTACTGTAAAACTCCAAACTTGCTCATCCTGAGTTTAAAATCATCCTTGAACTTGACGAACTTGCCCATGTTGTCCTCATGTTCCACCGTGTGCAGCAGGGGAGTGTCGACGAAGGCCGGACACAGGACGTTGATACGGACACCGTAGTCGCCCTGAGAGGACGCGTCCTGCAAGAACATGTGAGTCACATCTCAAGCTTTGAGTTACCGTGAGAACATCCTATTCTACGATAAATAAAAATAACCTTTTATGCTTGTCTTATTTACTTGTGTGTCTTACCGCCATAGCTCTGGTGAAGCCAATGACTCCATGTTTAGTAGCAGTGTAGACAGGCTGATGAGGTGAATGCAGAAAGGCTGAATTACAAAGAACAAGAGGAGACACAAGGACAAACTTGTTACCAGCAGAACAATCAGTGACCCTGTTTTCATTCATGAGCCGAATTCTTGGAGTTGCCATTGTTGGTGAAAACATGGTGTCACTTACACTCAGTGTTTTCACTATGAGCTTCCCTCCATACGGTGAGTTTTAAACATGCAGGCTACAGTATGTCAGTAGAATAATAGGGTGTTTGCTCTTTGAGGGGGACACATCAGGGCTGCTCCCAAACACAGCTGCATCTGCTTCTGAACAGCAACTACTCGTTTTAACCCCTGGAGGGTCACTTGATCCAGGATCAGTGAGATAAGGCTCGGCCCTTATTTCTCACAGCTGCACCACAACGTCTCAATCTGCTGTTTATATTTTCCCACAATGAAGAGCATCAAAAATACTGTTTCTCTTTCTTTCAAAAAGTCACTTTGAGCAATGAATAATACTTTATTGATCCTCCTCCAGGACATTATGACTGTCAAACACCTAATTTTATAAATTCTGGTGAAATATTATGCATCAATTTAAGGTGGAAATGTCTTTGATTTTGTCAGAATAAAAGCCCTCTGTAACTTTCATTCTTTTTATTGAGGTGAACAAATGCCCATGTTCTAAATTTTGGGTGTCTCCTGCATCCCCCCCAAAATGTACACCTATGTATGCAACACCAAATTGCATCTGCAGCACAACATGTGAGTCTTAAGATATGAACGTTTTTACAGCAGGAGTAATAATAGCAAAACAAACAGTAAACTGTAAACAGTTGGTTTGAATCAACGTCCAGAAGGTATCGATAATGGATGTCATTAAAAACACATACATCTACACACACACACACACACACACACACACACACACACACACACACACACTAACACACTCTGTTTCATTCTTTCTCCCCAAAACAATGTGCTCGGAGTAGTATGCTTGACCATGTTTGGACAAGTCTATGTTTGCAGTGGTAAGTGCACACACATACCACACACACACACACACACACACACACAACACATAGATGTTATCACAAGTGAGATAAGTGAGAAATGATTACTACGCCTCTGCCTCTGCTGGAGGCTGAAGTGTTCGAGATCTACGAGATGATGTGTCCGACTACAAGCACCGAGAACATCCTCTGGAATCTTATTAAAACATACAGAAACATCTGGAAACATGCAGCTGCAAAAACCTGCAAACTTTAGTGGAAAGAGTCGATGAATACAGCTGAAACTAACAGAAGAAAACTTCATTCGTAACAGACACAAAACTCACCTGGAGTGCATACGCCATGCATTTATCATTACATTACAAAACATGCAACTTACAGTAAGTGCGTTCAACCATGTGGATGCAACTCAGAAATTGCAAGAATCATGCAAGCACATAAACTTGACCAAATATTACATTTAAAGGCAACTCTGGCTCAACTAGATAAAGTCGACTGACCAGACAAGAGCAGCCTGCAATCAGATTCAGGTCTACTAGCATCACAAGAACAACACACGTTTAGACAAAACAGCAGATGGAGCAGAGTGATGCGGAGAAATGCCTACATGAAAAGTAAACATACTCAGCCCAATTCAAACAGTCTTTAAGTGAGTTACCCTCAGAGGTCAAAAATGCACTCTGATGTTTTTTGCCTCTTATAGCTCAGAGTTTCTCAGAGTGGGGGTTGTGGACTTTTTCTGCCATAAGGAGCGAGTCTATAATATGTGTAACATAAAGTTGTAACTGACTGAGTGTGTCAGCATGTCCTGAGAAACACTGACTGTGGTTTGTGATGTCTGTCACGACCACAGACTGTGAAAGCAAGTGAGAAAAAAAAAAATCTGGTGAATTAAGTCTGATCTAAGATGTTTCGTCTCTTCTGTGTGTCACTTGAATTTGTAGTTGGCAACTTTTATAAGAAAATACCTTTCCATATTTGCTGGAACTGTCTCAATATTCACACAGCATTAATAATCTCTGAGAGCATTCATATTCCTCTGCCTACTCTGTTGCCTTGTAGTGCTTATAATGGCATTACTGCATTTGAACAGTGCACTAAAACATATTTCTAAAACATTTGAGGTGAGGAATAGGCAGTGCAGTAACAGACTTGTGAGTCATATTTGATCAACACGTCTGGTCATGGACTTTCCATGTCCACACATGACGTGAAAGGTACCCCTATGTGTGTTGGTTGTTGACATTCTGGGACATTGTGTCAAATTTTGCCTGTTACATGCATTGTCTTCTTTCAAAATACACTTCTGTTTTCACAGGACAACAGGTCTGCATGCAGTCTATTTCAAAATAACCACACTATGTCAGAGAATTGACGTTTTTTTCCCCCTCCAACAACTAACGCACGTGGTTGAGTTTAGGCAACAAAAGCACGTGCTTAGGTTTAGGAAAGACGGGTCAAACAGGGTTTGACTTGGACCCATCCACCATAACTCCCACCTACCCAGTCGGACTTTCATCCTTTTCCTGCCGTGTTTCCCCTGATGCTACTATAACGGCAGCCAATCGTGTATCATGCCGATGTTAAAGGATGCCTTTTTTCGTTGGTTTCTAACGCCGCAAGTCACTGCCCAAGTGCCGGATTTCGACCGCTTCGGAATGAGATCTGGCTCATTTGATCAGTGATACTAAGTTTAACCGCAGTTAAGCAGTGATTGACATGATTGACAGCTGCGTTACAGACTCTTCAGCTCTGATTGGTTGTTTTTAGTGTGAAAATATGACACAAAGATATGTACATAAAAGTTACCAACTGTAGCTTTAACGACAGGTGAAAAAGTTTGATTTTTTTCATCTGAGAAAAGACTGGTATATAACAAAGTGTGGACCCCTATTTGATGATATTCTATCACCTGCCAAAACTTCTTTTTCACCTGTTTTCACAGATGAACCCTTGGTTTCCTGAGCTGCATACAGTTTACATGTCGGATCACAACCAGGAGGAACAGTGTCCACACACAAACATGATAAAAACTACACTTTATGTACAGTTTTACTGGAACTACCACACCATAGAACAGGAGCAGCACCATCAGCTGCTTGTTGGAGGATCCTTGACCCCAAACTAACACCTGCTGGACCTTCTCTGCTCAGAGCCGAGGCCTCTCAGGAGAACAAGACCAGCAAGACAAAGGAAAACTGATCCAGGTGGGAAAATGTTTTCAGAGAGGAGCTAACTTTGGATCCCAGAGTCATGAAACAAGTTAGGTCACAGTAGTAATGTTAGTTGGCGTGGAGTTAGTAGGAATCACTCATTAACTTTCGTTCTTGCCCCGCTGCCTTTCCTCCCTAACGCCACTGAATGCCACTGAACGTTAGACTATGATGACAACCAGCTGTGTTCATGTTGACATTAAAGAACGACTTTTTCATCTGTGTCCAACGCCGCAAGTCACTGCCCAAGCGCTGGATTTCAATGACTTTGGAGTGAGACCGGGTTGCACCGCTAGCTGTCACTACGTCCCACTCACTGCTCCTTTAATTAGGAACATATTACCTACGAATTAATAACTACTTCCAGTCACATGAAAAGGTCATGCAGTGTTTGCTTTATCAGGGTATGTTTACATGATGTCATTGGGTGCTTCTTGCAGGATTTGTGTTTTCTGAGTGTGAATAAGATTGTAGCTTTTACAAACCTGGCTTGGGATATATATATTGGCCCTTCAGAACAATGTAAAACCATAAAAGAGCAGGAATTAACTTGTAAAATCTGTGTTTGTGTGTGTGTGTAAGTGAGTGAGGGTGTGGGTTTGTAGAGAGCAAACAGATGAGGAGAGGATTTTGGAGGAGTGTGAGCTTTTCCATGACGGAGACAGAGGCGCAGAATGATCCAAATTCCAGATTTCAGTTCTAGGGGCTCTCTGCAAACCTGTCATGGTGGCTTTACTGTAACACACACACACACTGGAGGAAGAGAAGAACTGTTTTCATTCCTTCAGAGACGTGAGATATTCATCATCTGTGACATTCTGACATAAATAAAGGAGAATGTTTGGGGAGCCGTGGGTTTAACGCTTCTGAACTGAACTGAGGTGTCACTGAAATTTCAGTTTCTCTGCTGATGTTTTTATCTTGCAAATCTATTGCACACGTTAAATCAGATGGATTGACTCATATTCTCCACTCTGTGACTGGAGACTATTCAAAAGGCCACAATGCAGCAAGGTTCCAGATGTTGACTCAGAATTGAAAGCACATTTTCCATCCCACCATCCAACAAGGTCAGTCCTCAGGGTCAATCTACAGTCATGTTTTTCTCCATCCTTTGTGTTCCTCAGAACTCTGCAGTATTACATAATCCACATTTCAACCATTCCTAGTGACAGCATGATCCCTGCCATCTGAATCAAATTTTCTTTTTACTTTCAATACGTATACAAGAGCTGACCTTTCAAAGTACATACTGTTGCATGGAGTATGCTTACATTTGGACGTACCACTTAGTCATAATGCGCCACAAACTTTGACCCTTTTGCTCATACATCTGTCGCAGTGCGTAGTATGAAATTTGAAGTTAAAAGAACGAGTATGCGATGTGGAACACAGCAAATTTCAATGTTATTAAAGAAATATTTGGTCCAAAGAAGATGCTCTTATCATAACATTGGGCTCTCTATGCAGTAGAAAGAGGCAAATACTTTTGAAACTGGTGCTACATGACCAGAGAAAACAGAGGAAAAGGCCTGTGGCATTCATGTTTGCTCAAGAAGTAAAACATCTACAACTACTAGAACGCACTGCACTGAATCAGACTAATACAAAAATAAAAAAGACCCCTGTTGGTGGGTGACATAATGCGAGCTCGGTCGTTTCGTCCACAGGAAACAATATTGTGGCCGGCTGGTGACAAACTATCTTTTGTTACAGTAAAAACATGTTTCTGAAAACATCAGAGACAAGTAATAGGCAACACAGTGACAGAATCTTGGTCCATATTTGATCAGCACTGCTTCCGTTTGATGTCAGTTTTTCCACCTCCATTCAATACAGGAAACGGTATTATGCCCAATTCTTGCTCACAGATTCTCATACTACAGCCAAACAGTGCACTAAAACATGTTTCGGAAGACATTTTTAGCGAGAAATAAACAATACAGTAACTGAATCTTGGTTTATTAGCTTGGTCTGAGTTTGAAGGGGAGAGAGAAAGAGAGAAGGGTGGGTCTTGCTTTCGATCTGCTTCTACACATCATGTGTCAGTGGTGGTGGGCGTATGAAAATGTGGAACTACAATCTGTAGTTTCAACAACAGCCCTAGAGCAGTGGTTCCCAACTGGTCCAGCCAAAGGGTCCAGATTTCTTTTTGATCATTAGTTCAAGGTCCAAATAGTTTAATATATTCGAAATCATACCTGCGTTTGGCCATGTGGTTAAATTAGTTTGCCGTCTCTGTCAAGTAGCTGTCAGTTAGTCACTGACTCTACAACAGGAAATCACTGTCACTGTACTTCAAAATAATGTGGTTTTTTTTGTTACAAACTTGACAATTTTGTGAGTCACTTGCAGTCCATTCAGAATGGACCCATGACCCATTAGCTGGAAACCACTGCCTTGAAGCCAGAGCTGCGCAGGGAGATCTGGGCGCTGGTAAGATGAAGGGAATTTTAACATTGTTCATTTATTTACATACACTACCCACATTGTTACGATACAGCTTGTTGAAAATCAGTTAAAGGTATCCTTTAATGTTACTTTGGAGATAAAAGATAAGTCATCGCATTTATTTTTCATTCTTATTATTTTTATCTATTTGACTGATCATCAGTCACTTGAACGCGTCTTTGTCATCTGTCACTGCGACTTCTGTCAGCTGTTAATGAGCTATCATCTGTTTGTGGATCAACTGATGTTACATATCTTGTGCTGTGCAGAGGATTGTGGGTCAGAATAGCCAGAAAAACATGCTGGCTTGCACACTGCAACATGCGACTGGATGCAGTAGGACATCCTGGTGTTTTTGACACACTACATTTGGCATACTATGTCACAATACTTAAACTTTTTGTGGCATACAAACTAGTATGATGGTATGGGTGTTTGAACGCATCACAGCATCATCCCTGCAGTGGAATGTATATATGTGTGTGTGTGTGTGTGTGTGTGCGTGTTACCTGCCATAGAGGATACATTGATAATGGTACCTCCGTCCTTGCCGTACTCTTTACTCATGTGCTCCAGGGCCAAGTAGGTCCCTTTGATCACAGAGGTCTGTAACAGATAAAGAGACAGCACGTTCACTGTGGTAATCTTTACAGCAGACAAGCACAGCAGCACATAAACAGGAAATGAAACTATAAAGAACGTGCCAATATACTGATAAGTAAAGCTGTAATCATTGTGTTTCACTGAGGGCATCTGTTTGGACAGTTCTCTATGTGGAAACCCAACAGAGAAACCCTGTGTAGTGACATATAATATGTAGCGTCCACTAACTGCCTGCTGCTGTGTCATCATGGAAGCCATATCTTTGCAACAGCAGTTACAAGAGCTGTGTTCACACCATAATCAGACGACTGGACAGTATTTTCAAAGATGTGTAGAACATGAAAAGCAGCCTCCAGTAAACACAGAAAGATCAACTCAAAAAGGCGTGCAGCAGGCTTTCATCAGATTGCAGATCATCTGACCAGGACATGAAGAGATTGGCTGAATCTCTCATCTCTGTGGAGTCTGAGGGTCAGTCCAGGGAAGTTTCAGTTTCAGGGAAAAGCTGGATTTTGACCTTACTCAGATAGAGATCGAAAGGGCCCATCACACAGGAAAAGAATCCACTAGGCTTGCTGCCCAGGCTGACGCCAACAAAGTACAAGGCCTGATAACAAAAAAATCTGACGGGCTTCACTCCATAGTGGTCAAGCTCCCACAGTAAGGTTCAAGGACAGAGAAGCAGTGCTGTGGAGGGAAAACAAACCCAAACCGACAAATACATTAATCAAGGAGGATTATCTGGAAGCTGTCACACCGAGAAGAAAAGAGCTACTGGAAAAGATGATGGAGGAAATAAATAAATGAATATGACAAAAATCTCAAGACAAAAGGTCTAAAATGCAACAATTATATTGCACAATACAAAAAAGATGTTGGACAGAACAAAGAAAAACACACTACACTGGAGATACTGTTAGAGTTACTGATGCTATACCAATGTGCTAAGTAAATTTCATGTAAGCTTGCTCTTTAGATTAGTTGGATTAGTTAGAAGAAATATATTAGTGCAGTAAATTCTTATCAGACTTTATCTTTTTTGATTGCACATGCTCTCTTGGTAATATGCGGTTAGTCATACAAATGTTTAGTCCTCATCATTCTGATACTTAGATAAAATGCTAGCGCCCTGAGGGACCCGCACAGCTGATAACATCTTTTGATGAGGAGGAATATCCTCCTCTGAATGTCATCAAAGCCCAAAACAAACAAATACAGACAGACAGACAGATAAGATCATGTCATTTAAATGGCCAGTGCCAATGTGCATAAAACGAAATACTATTTGACATGAGTCATTCATTGTAACTGGTGATGAGTGATGGCTGTGATGATGCTGGCGATGCTGGCTCCCTCCAAGGCGCTTATTTTTTTTTAAATCTTTTATTATTATTTTGACATGTTTGGGATGTTCTTGGGGACAGTGCACAGGTGAAGTCGAGACTTTACAAAAAAGTAGCGACCAGGTGCCAAACCTTAAGCAGTACGCATCCAGAAGGAAGCTACGAAAACCCGCACACACCAGAGAAAAAAATGGAAGCGAGGCGAAATGCCAAGCGGACAAAATTCTTTCAGAAATGAGAATGAACCTGGGCCGGCTTTCACTTTCACCGGCAATACTATTTAAAACAGTAGCCAACAATTACGGCATCATTTCAGGCTCACAGCCGGGCAAACACATTTACTACCCGCAGGGGACATGGTCTTGAGTCACTGAGAGCCTCATACAAAGCAGATACTGCTGCTCGTACAAACAGTCCTTCCTCCCCACATATCTAATACCCAGGTCAAGGAACAAAAGATTTTTATGTTGTACAGATTGAAAAGCTCACAAATCACACGTTTGTGAGTCATTATTTTCAGCTTTATGAATACGACTGACTTGACCTGACTGAAAGTCTTCATTGTTTCATCTTACCAGGTTGACTTGTATGGTCTTCTCCCAGTTCTTTTCGTTGTTGATGCCAGCGTTGTTGATGACGATGTCCAGACGACCAAACAGGTCCACGGTGCTCTGGAACGCATCTATGCCACAGAAACAAAAAGCCATCAGTGAATTACTTCTTTCAGCTTCAGCTCACCCACACCGGAAAACTACTAACGAAACGTGGCGTTACATTACTTCGACACATTATGTTACGTTGGTAAAATAACTCAATGTAGACTTTTGCTTCAACACAGGACACAAACACTGGTCCTCTGCATGAAAGTCCTGTGTTTGTTACCTCACACACTAACCAGACTTTGTTGCTCTTCATACTACGTCGGCTTCCTTCTTTGCTCCCGTCATATTTATAGACCACTAGAGGTCGCTGCCTATCCTCATTCATTCATTCATTCATTCATTCATCTTCTAACCGCTTCATCCTCTTGAGGGTCGCGGGGGGGCTGGAGCCTATCCCAGCTGACATCGGGCGAGAGGCAGGGTACACCCTGGACAGGTCGCCAGACTATCGCAGGGCTGTCGCTGCCTATCAATAAATATAAATATGGATCGCAGTTGCTGCTTGTACAAACAACACATTTTGGAGGACAGTCTCCTCTTAGGATGTTTGAGTACTAGATAAACTTGCAAAAAATTGCATCATACACATCCTGAGAGGAAAATCTCAACTGAAATGTCTGCATGAAAGAACGTGTGTTTTTCCATTCCTCTGTCAACACAAATGAGGAATCTCTTCACTGCAGAGTTTCAGCCTGCTTGTTTTGTTTCTTTGTGTATGTTGCCAAACTGACTTCAGATATGTTAATTAAATATTCACAGAGAGACACTGTGAAGGTGCCATACATTAGGCGTTTACACAATGAGCCACTAGCAGGTTGTTTATTTTCCTACGTGAGCAGACAGATAAACAGCTGAAAGGAGACACCTGAGGTGGTAAAGCCGGCATGTGTCATTGCCTGCCGCATTCCACACTTGGATACCCCACAATTAGAAGTAAACATACCTGCTTTTAACAGACTAATTTACCTATCAAACACACACACACACACACACACACACACACACGTGCACAAATGAGTCGCATGTTCTGAAGACGCTTACACGAAAAAACACACATGCAAACATGCACAGCTAACAAATGCACGCAGTGTGCATACTTGCAAAGATGCATGCATCCATGTAAACACAATTAATCCCTTCTTACTGCACACACACACACACATACATACAGGCACACAGTTTCATTAGCTCCACGCAGGCTTACAGTGTGTGTCCACATCAAACTACTATCACACAGTAAGGAGCAACACCAAACAGCATTCCACAGCCGTAGGCCTGCAGGGATTTACTTTTTCAATGTCAGACAATGAAACCTTGTTCCTCTTTCCCGCTTACTTATTCACTTACACACGCTTTAATTCTCTGCGTCTTCTCTTTCTCACCCAGACACGCCCATGCGCACACACACACACACACACTGAAACATCTGCAGAAAAGCAAAAGGTTAAGTCAGTTCAGAGCAGTATTCTGCTCACGTGGAGCTACGAGCAGGCATTTTGACATCTAATCTGAAATAGAATAAAACAAATGATCGTGTGACTACAAAGCAAGACCAGGCAAGCTCAGTCTTAACTGGACCATGAGTGCAGCTGGTGGTGAGATACACCTGAGTGAGCAGACTTTGCTGTTTTTACAAATGTCTGTTTGACTGAGCGCGCTGAAAGCAGCTATCACCTCAGTGCGCAGGAACAGCAACTCTGTCCAAGAAATAGTCTCTACAGGTTTTAGGTTATTTTAAAGTCACTTCCTCATTCATCATGTGCACGCTGAAAATGAGTTCAACCCTGTAGTGAACAGCCATGTTCTGCAGGCTGCATAAAGAGTCATAATAAGTGGCTATTGTGTTATGCAATGACCTGGATAACTGAATACCTGATCTTATCTAAAGTCTTCACACTGCGTCACTCAACGAATAGTAAGGACAGGCATTGTCCAACAGTCCCACAGACAGTCTTACCTCTCAGCGCTTCTCCATTGGACACATCACACGGGATAAAACAGCAGTTGCCTTCTCCAAACTCGGCGTCCAGCTGTGCCTTGCACTCTTCACCACAGGTCTTGTTCAGGTCGACCACGGCCACCTGGGGGACCAGACTCTGGTTGTGAGTTGGACTTTTTTAAATTCACACACACAGCAGAGGCGGAGGAAGTTCGGTGCTAAAAATTGAATCCAACTCTGCAGAACAGAGTGCTGAGTCAATGTAGATCATACTTTGGTAAACGGCTACATCTGTTAGGTCTGTGGTTTGACAAGTGTCAGTAAATATGGGTCACAATATACTACACTGATGACACAGCCCTGTTCTGCAAATAGCCAAGTTTCAGTTCTCAGGAAGTTCTCAGAAACTATTTTGCCTCTTAGAAAAAGGTATGCATGTTTCCTTCACTGTCTAAATAATAGTTTAAACATGCAATGCCTCTTGGCTAATCTCAAAACATTACCCTATTCTTTTTAGACTCATCATCTAAGACAAGTCATCACTAGCTCTGTTTCAACGTATGTACCTTAGAAAACTCTAAAAGCAGGAGTGCAGGAACAATGACAGATTCGTTTTTAAAAAATGTGATAAAACAGTAAAGATAAAATGTTTAACATACATTTCCATGGTGTTAAAACAGTCACAGTAAAGTGTGAAGTCAACCCATCCTAGTTGAATCACTAAACCACAGCAGTTCAGTCCAGCTTGTGTTTGAGCAGTGGAGATAACAGTCATGTCAGCAAACAAGAGTTTGAGTTGGATCACAGAGCATGTGGCAGTGAATTCAGCCAAAAAACAAAAGCAAAAGCACTTGTATTTAATTTGAAGAAAAATAAATAAATAAATAATGGAGACGTAACTCAAGTGATAAAGCAACTGTCAAAGCAATAAAAAAGTTATGTTCTATCTCTTCTGTATAGTCATGTTCTTCTTGTTAAACTTTTGTAAACTTGCAAAGCAAAAAAAAAACCCTCTCACACTCGTAAACTTGCGTAATCAGACTGAGCAGTACTGACCTTGGCTGAGCTCTGAAGCAGTGACTGGACCACAGCTCTCCCAATGCCCTGAGCCCCCCCGGTCACCAGAGCCACCTTCCCATTCAGAGACATGATCCCAGCACAGCAGCAAAACCCCTCACACTTCCTCCTTCTGACTTTACCTCTCTCCCTTTCTTCTCTTTCTCTCTCTTCTCTCTATGTCTGACTGAATCTTCTTCTCTAAGTCTTTTTTTTTCTGTCCTTCTCTGTGTGTTCATGCACCTATCTGCTCTCTGTAACACAATCACATAGGCTTTCTCACCCCTGTGTGTGTTTTCACGCTTGTAGCAGGGCTGTTTTCCCTCCCTCCCTCCCTCCCTCTGTCTGTCTCTCTCTCTCTCTCTCTCTCTCTCTCTCTCTCCCCTTCAGCTTATCAGTCTCTACAAACACTGCACTAGCGACAGAGGGAGAGTCAAAGGCTAAGTAAACTCCGTAGGATAATAATTATAGGTTTTACCCAGCTTGTTGTACCTGCCCTCCTGCCTCCTCCCACTTCCTTCACACCTCCTCCTCCCTTTTTAAACACTCTTTCGCTCCACTCCTGTTTCGTTAATACACCTGAGCGCTGCACACGTCACTGTTTATATAAGAATCTGTATTTCTGTACATGAAAAAAAAAAACTTTGGCCACAGCAGCTTCTTAAGTAACTTAATTTCACACTCTAATTTCTCCTCTTCACCACATTGATGTTATCTTATTGTGTGTTTTCTGACTAACTTCTGTTACACATAATGGAAAAACTATTCAGTGATACATTACACTGGGTTCAGGTCTGTGCATGTTGACTTTTAAACTGTGCTGAACTTAATGGAAAGCAATAGCTGCTATGTATAAGCCAAGTGTAATAACACCACTTTGGTACTTTAAAGGGAACATTTGCCACCTTTTATGTGGATGTCCAGTCGGTGCTGATGGTAAATGTGATGAAATCCTTAATGCGAGTTCAGCAGCTGCAAAGTGTGCTTACTATATCATCAATTGTGGTGACAGTGACATAGTTGGAAGCAGGAAGGACTACAGGTTGGATTTTTCCTCCAGTAGCCAGTGGGTGTGCTCAAGGTGTCGCTCAAAAACAGCATTTCCTTATTCTCCTTACTTGCACTGCAAACTAGCTACATTTTTAACATTGAAATGGCATCCTAGAATATGAGTGCAAAGGATTTTATGGATGTTTGAAAGTGTTTTAGCTGGCTCGGATGTTCAGCTGTATTTATTCGAGGCCATGGCTGCACAGCGGGGACTCTTGACAACCTGAGCTGCCGAGAGCAAACACTGACTGGCGGTACCTTTGCCCACATTGCCCTCTGATGCCAACAAAAAGAAACTAAATCATTTATTCAATGAATTTCAGTGTGGGCAGTTTTTGTTGGATGCTATCACAGACGCTGTGAGAGTGTGTGTGTTACTATGCATGAAAATTTTACTCCTCACAGAGGTGTGCTGGACGTGCCAGGAATCCGTCCACTCCAACAACTACAGTGATTTGTCTAGCATCATGACACAAAACAGCTGTTTCTCATTTACAATACAAAATGATCCAGTGAGAGCAGAGGGAAGACTGATTAGCCAATCAGTGCAAATTGCGGGAGTAACGCCTTTATCAAGCTGTAGTGAAGTGGTGTGCTGGAACCAATAAGGACTAACACCAACAGTGGAGAGCAGATAAATGCTGCCGTTGGAGCCATAATATCTTCCTGAGACCCTGTGTCCTCATAGGTGGACATCACATGTTGGGTTTATTGGACCTTATACTTCATTCTGCTTCACTTAGGCCTGTTGTCCTCATTTGTGGAAGCTTTTTTTGTGCCACCTAGTGGTAGTAAGAGCACAATGCAATAATCCATGTAAAAACAAGATGGCAGCCATCTCTGCTAAGTCAGTCTGCAGCCGATCCTGACATGAAAGTGGACAAGGTCCAAAACCTGATCACATTTTGACGGTTGAAACTTGTTTATTTATGATTAATAACATTTGTTGTTTGATACGGCGACAAATTTGACCAATTTTAGCAACAGAATTAAGACAAGATGCTGTTAATTAGGAAGTACTGACACTGGGACTTTATTGCCATCTCATTTGAGGACATGAGGGCTTAATTATTGTTGTCAGTGTTTAGGTTTTTATGCATATAGGAGCCTACTGGTCCCAAATAGCTAGGAGAAATTAAAAATGTGAACCAAACAAAAGTTCGGGTCTCTGGAGGATATAGTCTTTGTTTATTTTATCCTTATCTTAACACAAGGTAAATATAAATATACACAAGCAGTTATTAAACAGTTTATGGAAGCATGTCAAAAACAATTAAAGGTATAATATGTAGTTTTTCCACATAAAAATGTCTAAAAACGACTAAACCAATATTATATATTTTGTTTAGTTGTGTACTTTGATTATCAGAAATGTTTCCAACAATTTTTCAGACCCAGATAAATATTAAATATTAATAAAAGTTACGGACCGTGTCATTAGGTCGCATGTCAATGGCGACGTAACTCCAGTTACCATAGCCATTAAATGAAGGAGAAGAAGAAGAAGCAGACCGGATGAGACGTCAGAGAATGAACGTTACTGTTGCTAGGCTAAGCTAACTCGTCATGGAGCATGATTATGCATTGACGGTTGCTGCACCTTCTGACACCGAAGGTAAACAAGCTGGTAAAACGCAAACGTACAGGTCAACCAAGCGATCCCAGAAGAATTTGGGATAAGAAGAGAGCTAAATCCAGGATAAATATTGGTGTGACCTTTCCGAGATGGAGAGAGCTTTGTGAAAATCTAGGACTACAATTCGACGCCGGCCTCGTGTGTGTTCTACTAGACAGGTGAGCAAACATCTGGCTGATGTTATTGAAATATTAATCATTTCCACCAGTGTATTGCAAGCACTGCTGCCCGCCGGGGCACCAGCGCTCCAGCTGGCGGCCTCCGCTGCGGAGCAGTGTGGAGCGGAGGCTGGCTAACCACAACATCTAACGATAGGTTTCTATAATGCTGAGCTGATGCCGGTAAATGAACTGCATTTATAAAAGAGGCAGAGGAATAGCTAAACATAAGACGCACTGAGCAAGAGAGAGCAGCAGAGAGGGAGAAGCCATCGCTAACTGTAAAGCTAAGTAACTAGCAGTTTGCTCAAATAACTAGCAGATTGCTAACCGCTCAGCTAAAGTAAGTAGCTCGCTCTGCCAAAAAAACTGCCACAGTCGGTTTCGGTTTCACAGAGTGAGGAACGTCAGATCTGTATCTGTTATATGACTACAACTCCCATGATCCCACGCTACTTCGTGACATCAACTACGTCTTCTGTTATTGTTTTGGTTTGAGACCCCTAGCAGCAGAAAATTACATATTGCACGTTTAAGTGTTAGCATGTTATAATGAATTTGCTGAATGCAATGATTATTACATATGGACATATGCTGTCACTTGCTGTGAGCATGTGTATATTGTATTGAGAATAAATGGATCGCCAAATCCAGATGGATAACATGCACTGGACATTGGTTTATTCTTAGCCCCGAACACACATCCGGAACAAGTTCACCTGTTCGCCCCTCAGTGGCCTGTTAAGACATTTTGTTTGGTTAAAAAGTCACCACAGCTGCTATCAGGGCTGTTCTAAATAAAAAATGTCTTCACAATATTGCCTAACATCGTAGTTTCGCTCTGCCTCACTCTTAAAACTCTCGCAAGACTGGTATGTCGACATGGCTATGCATCAGTGTGGACTTAAAAAATGATGTTAGATTCAGCCTTATAAGTTGGTGTCTAGATTGGTCAGGGAGTTGAACCCCCTTCCCACACGTCAATCAGATAGGGTGGACACAATGTCACACTGAGGATGGGAACAGAGTGTAACACGTTGACAGTTTTGTTTGATATCAGGCAACTGGAGACCTTCTTCAGGAGCCCGAAAATAAACTGGAAGAGACAACCAAGACCAGCTGGGTTGAGAGGACAGGTGACCACAGACTGAATACTTTTGTCACTTAATGCTGTTGCAAATTATTTTGTTGAGTTGCCTCTCAGCAAAATGCTCTTTACATGAAGGTTTATAACTACGTTCAGGAACAAAGACCATGCCTTAATCTCATCCATATCCGCACCAAAAGTATTTAAGCAAACCTTAAGCAAACCTTATCTGTTTCCCTAACCTTTGACTCCATTCTCACATCCCTCACCCCCAAAACCCCTTTCCTTTGTTTTTCTTTTCGCTATTATCTCTCCCTTATCTCTCTCTTTTCACACAATACAGGACTCACCAGGGGTCTCTATCCGAAGAGATAACTCCCCCACTCTATCTCAACTTCCCTGGTTTGTTGCACTCTTCCCCTTCAGCCGACACCGAACAGCCATCGATTCTATCCTCCACCTGTCTGCGACCCTAATTTCTCCCATCATTCCCCCCACCTTCCTTACTTCTCTGTCTCTACATCCCCTCATCCTTCCATCCCTTTGACCCTCATCCCTTCATCCCACATCTCTTGACTCTCATCCCTCTATCGCTCATCCTTCATCTCCATCATTCATTATACGTAATAAACTAATTGCAATCTATAACTCCATTGGCGTGGTCTTTGTTAGTGAAGTTGGGCTTTTATTGTGAAAGGTAAAGAAGTAAGTAAAGGAGTGGTAATGCAGCACCTTGGACAATGTGAAAAATAATAATTAAGAGTGTTGCCATCTTAAATCACGCTGGTTCAGAGCCTCTGTGTTTTTATTTGATCACTGGCAGAAGTGTAGCTGCAGCTTAAAACCCTGGAAACACTGCTTTGGCTAACAAAGTAATAGCTATAGGCTAATAGGCTAATAGCTATGGGCGCCAGAGGGTTACACGCAATGAATCCTGGTACATGTAGGCACTGCCAGCATGGCTCCATGAGCAGGATGGCTCAGCATTTTTCAGTTAATATAGCACACACTGAGGGTTTTATTGCTTCAATAGACATAATTCACCTGTTTGGCACATCCACATTAAAGGTGTCAATGTTTCCCTTTAAGTAAACTACAATGACTCCCACTAATCTTCTGTGTAGATATGTTGTAGGCTTTCTTAGACTAATACAGAATACATACAAAAGTTTTTGTGTATAAATAAACACCACTATTTATACTTTGCAAAATATCAGATTCAAATTCAGGATCGTCCCTACACCGCCTCCTCCTCCTCCTCCTCCTCCTCCTCCTCCCTTTACACCCTTCCTTCCCTAATCCTCCTTATCTCACATCCTTCCTCCATTCCTCAGCAGGAATCAGAAGATGTCATCCTTCAGGTTTCTTGGATCTCCCAGGACCGGAAGTAGC